GCCTCCTGCCGGCAGGACATGCCCGAAACACCTCCCAGGGGAGGCGTCCAGGAGGCATCCTGACCAGATGCCCAAACCACCTCAACTGGCTCTTTTCGATCCGGAGGAGCAGCGGTTCTACTCCGAGTACCTCCCAAATGTCCGAGCTCCTCATCCTATCTCTAAGGCTGAGCCCGACCACCCTACGGAGGAAACTCATTTTGGCCGCTTGTATCCGCGATCTTGTTCTTTCAGTCATTACCCAACGCTCATGACATAGGTGAGGATTGGGACGTAGATCGACCGGTAAATCAAGAGCCTGGCTTTCTGGCTCAGCTCTCTCTTCACCACCACAGATCGGCTCAGCGTTCGCATCACTGCAGATGCCGAACCAATCCGCCTGTCGATCTCCCGATCCCTCCCACCCTCACTCATGAACAAGACCCAGGAGATACTTAAACTCCTCCACTTGAGGTAGGACCTCTCCCCCGACCAGGAGTTGGCAAGCCACCCTTTTCCGGTCGAGAACCATGGTCTCAGATTTGGAGGTGCTGATCCTCATCCCAGCCACTTCACACTCGGCCGCGAACCTACCCAGCAAGAGCTGAAGGTCAGAGCTGGATGAAGCTAGGAGGACCACATCATCCGCAAAAAGCAGAGACGAGATTCTCCTGCCACCAAATTTGACACACTCCACACCACGGCTGTGCCTAGAAATCCTGTCCATAAAGGTAATGAACAGAACCGGTGACAAAGGGCAGCCCTGGCGGAGCCCAATCCTCACCGGGAACAGGTCTGACTTACTACCGGCTATGCGGACCAAACTCACGCTCCTCTGGTAAAGGGACTGAATGGCCCTTAACAGAAAGCCACCCACCCCATACTCCTGGAGCGTCCCCCACAGGGTGCCCCTGGGGACACGGTCATAAGCCTTCTCCAAATCCACAAAACACATGTGGATTGGTTGGGCAAACTCCCATGCCCCCTCATCACCCTTGCAAGGGTAAAGAGCTGGTCCACCGTTCCACGGCCAGGACGAAAACCACATTGCTCCTCCTCAATCCGAGATTCAACTATCGATTGGACCCTCCTCTCCAGTACCTTGGAGTAGACCTTTCCAGGGAGGCTGAGGAGTGTGATCCCCCTATAGTTGGAACACACCCTCAGGTCACCCTTCTTAAAGATGGGGACCACCACCCCAGTCTGCCAGTCCACAGGAACCACCCCCGATGACCACGCAATGTTGCAGAGATGTGTCAACCATAACAGCCCTACAACATCCATAGCCTTGAGACACCCAGGACGAACCTCATCCACCCCCGGGGCTCCGCTGCTGTGTAGTTGTTTGACTACCTCAGCAACTTCTGCCCCCGAGATTGGACAGTCCTTCCCCAGGTCCCCCGGCTCTGGTTCCTCCTCGGAATGCGCATAGGTGGGATTGAGGAGCTTCTCAAACTATTCCTTCCACCGTCTGACTATAGCCCCAGTTGACATCAGCAGCTCCCCATCCCCACTGTAAACAGTGTGAGCGAGTTGCTGCCTTCCTCTCCTGAGGCGCCGGACAGTTTGCCAGAACTTCTTTGGAGCCGATCGATAGTCTTTCTCTATAGCCTCACCATACTCCTCCCACGCTCGAGATTTTGCCTCGGCAACTGCCACTGCTGCACCCCGCTTGGCCATATGGTACCTGTCTGATGCCTCCGGAGACCCACAGACCAGCCACGCCCTGTAGGCCTCCTTCTTCAGCCTGACGGCTCCCCGAACCTCTTGTGTCCACCAGCAGGTACGGGGGTTGCCACCATGACTGGCACCGGCCACCCTGCGACCACAGCTAGCAACAGCCGCCTCAACAATCGCAGAGTGGAACAAGGCCCACTCGGAGTCTATGTCCCCCACTGCTCTCGGAACGCGGTCAAAGCTCTGCCAGAGGTGGGAGTTGAAGACCGTCTTAACAGGTTCTTCTGCCAGGCGTTCCCAGCAGACCCTGACTATGCGTTTGTGTCTGCCAGGTCTACGTGGCATCTTCCCCTGCCATCTGATCCAACTCACCACCAGGTGGTGATCAGTTGACAGCTCTGCTCCTCTCTTCACTCGAGTGTCCAAAACATACGGCTGCAGGTCAGTTGATACGACTACAAAGTCTATCATCGACCTGCGACCTATAGGCTGCCCTGGTACCAAGTGTACCGATGGGCATCCTTATGTTCGAGCATGGTGTTCGTTATGGCCAAACTGCGGCTTGCACAGAAGTCCAATAACAAAACACCACTCGAGTTCAGATCAGGCGGGCCGTTCCTCCCAATCACACCCCTCCAGGTCAAGCTGTCATTGCCCACATGACCATTGAAGTCCCCCAGCAGGACAATGGAGTCCCCGATGGAGCACTATCTACCACTCGTCCCAGGGACTCCAAAAAGGGTGGGTACTCTGAACTGATATTTGGTCCATAAGCACAAACAACAGTCAGGACCCGTTCCCCGACCCGAAGGCGCAGGGAAGCTCCCCTCTCGTCCCCCGAGGTAAACCCCAACACACAGGCAGAGAGTCTTGGGGCTAACAAAAATCCAACCCCAGCCCTCCACCTCTCACCCGGAGCAACTCCAGCAAAGGAGAGTGTCCAACCCCTCTCAAGGACTATTTATAATTGTATTAAATGAAATATTTTTTTCTATGTTTTCCAGTTTTTCCACATCCTGTTAACTATGTAATGCAATTCCGAATTAAAATAAGAAAACAAACATGTATTATAAAAATCAGTGTTGCTTTCTGAAGTATGAAGTAGGCATTACCTCTCGTGTAGTCTGGAAGCCATCATATGCATCTTTGTGTTTCTTGTTCTTGACTGAGTTTACTATTATTACCTTGATGTTTGTTGTGCAGCACTTTCGTGCAGCTTTGTTGGTTTAAAAGTGCTTTATAAATAAATTGACATAACAAGCATCCAGCAGTAAAGTCAAGGAGATAAATAAAATTGTTCTCTCTAATTTAAACACACTTTATTTTTACTTTAAAATACTAAAGTATCATTTACTTTGATGTTATGAATGATTAAATAAAGACTGCATTATATACAATTTAGACAAAATAAACAGTTTCCATTTAAATAATAGATTTTCTCCAGGCCTCAGCTTCATACACTCTGTACCCTTTGCTTGACAAACTTGTTGTTTATTAACAAGTGGTTGTGTGTACACACAACCCCACTCACAGAGGGCAGTCCTGGAGTGACTGGTACAACACTGCAGCATGCAGCAAGAGGGCAGGACGTGATTACGTAGGCACACACACCATGTCTGTGCAGCTCGCCTGCGTGGCCTACTTGTTCACTCACTTTGCCTGCTTTGTGTGTCTCTGGTTGAGTGCCAGCGTGATATTTGTGGGATGCAAATGCTCAGCAGAATGATTTGTTCCAGTTTGTGTTAACTGTATGTTGTGCTTAAATGCTTGTAGTCTGATAGAGCTTGGTGTGTGCACATGCGTGTGTGTGTGTGTGTGTGTGTGTGTGTGTGTGTGTGTGTGTGTGTGTGTGTGTGTGTGTGTGTGTGTGTGTGTGTGTGTGTGTGTGTGTGTGTGTGTGTGTGTGTGTGTGTGTTCGTTCAGAGTGACATCTTCCTTTATGAAGACAGAGTGTGGTACACTCTGTGGTGCTCTTGCCTTAGATGCATTCAGCATCATTGAGATGAAATGATGATCTTGTTAGTCCAACTGCATTGAAGGAAAATTGATTTGTGACTTTTCACAAGTTATTTGCCCTTTGACAGCTGTTCACAGTAACACGTGTGCTGATTCTCCTGAAAGCATGATGCTGTCATGCCACTAAGTTTGTAGAACATCAGATGATCCAAAATCATCAGCTTAAAGCCATCCCGATTCCATACTCGTTGTTTTTGAACCATTCCAACAAACAGCCCAGTGTGGTGATGACGTCAGTTTGGCTCCATCCGTAGGCTAATCAGCCGTTTTTTCCTCTCTCTCCCTCTTTGTTGTTTCGTGGAGCTTTCTGAATGCTTACCATTTAGCAAGAACTGATTTACTGCAGCACGGCACGCTCTGAAATTCCTCTCTGTATTCCCCCTCACATGTGTAGATTGTTTACAGAGAGGAGGAATTCTGGAGGGATGGCGGTCCGCAAGGGGCTTGGTTGCTATGGTTACTAACCCCTGAGCTTGGTTGCATTTAGCAGTAAGGAGGTAAAATTATTTGCAGGCAGAAAAGAGTATGCCCATGAAGATGGGGCTTAATAAGTTACAGTTTGCCATTTCACTTTTAATTTTCTTAATGTTTTTTAAGTAGTTCAACTTGTTTGTTGACAAAGTTCTGCTTTTGTCTGATTTAATTTTTATTCACCCCAAAACTTTAATCATTTGATTTGTTCATTATACTTTGTGATGTGAAGTTGTTTTGGCTGTATAAAGAAGTAATTGGGTTAGGGTAACTGATGAGAATAAATGTATTAGAGATGGATCTGGAACTTATTCCAGTATTATTTTCAATTCATGATGAATGCAATATGAAAACAATTATTACTATCAGTAAACATCAAGACAAAACAACGCTAGTAGAGAACACAACACAAAAGGGACCGTAGACAATGTACGATATCAGACAGAATGTACTTATTTGAATTATTTTAGGGTTAAATGTGCTTTTCCCAGGTTTATTTCTTCACCATAGCCAGATATTATTGTATATAGTAAGTTTCAGAAATTAATGCATTGCCTTATTTCTGTATAAAATCGGATAGAGCTTATCTGTATATTTTTAATCGGCTTTGTGTCTGATTGTTGATGAGTTGTTTTCATGAAGCCCTCTGAAATCCCATATAGTTGTTCCATCTAAATAATACCAAATCAGTAGAACATGCAAAATCTGGATGTTTTAGATCGCTTCATACAAAACAGCCAAAAAGAAAAGTTTCTTTCTTTCATTGAACTCATGATGGTAAAGCCTGTTTGGGTGTTAATATCACCGTTGTTAATGGTTTTTCCCCCTAATCTTTTTTCATTCTTGTTGTCTTGCAGACCACGTTAACCGAGGTGCAATTTGGACCAATGAAGTTATTTAAAGACCCCCTTCAGGTACTGTAAAACAATACCAAACATCTGATTGAGTGATGCTCAGTCCAGTGTGAAGGTTGTGTCCACACCTTTTAGGATTTTGGAAATTAAGAGCTAACCATGATGGAGTTTCTTTCAATTTGATTTAGTCTTTTTAAAAATGCATCAACTTTGTAAGAAATTGAAAAATAAAAAAGCAAAAATTCTTATGCAAAAGGATGAGAAGAGCTGGGGCCTCATTTATCAAGATTGCTTACGCACAAAACGGGGTCAGAAAACTGCATTAGCAACTTTCCACGCAAACTTTGGGATTTACGAAAGAAAACTTAGCGGAAAAATGTGCGCAACTTTAAGTTGACTAAGGACCTGGCTAACGCACATGTTGGACATGGAGAGCACCTGCAGTGCTGCTGCTGAGAAGGATAAAATTATAAAATCCTGCAGCGTTACCACTTGCACCGCTTCATTTTCACAAAGAAGACCCCCCACATGCACACACACGCGCGCGCACATGCACGTGTACACTCACACACACATGCGTGTGCACACACACAGCCTGAAGCGCAGAATACGGAATGCAGGATATCAGCAGGGGGACAGATTGAGACAGAATGTCATGCGTCTGTGACAGTTTGTGTCCTGTCACTGTGACCCGATTGAACATGCGCCCTGGCTACCCGGATAAGGAAGATCTCTGTTTGGCTGACTGGTTAGCGTGCGTGACTATCACCTGGGAGTCTGGGGATCGAATCCCGATTGGACCATTTTTTCATTTCCGCCACAGATCTCTCTGAATTCACAACATTGACGGCTTCAGCAACGCTGTGCCACTCCGTGGATTTTCTCTTATTTGTTTTGCAAAAGCACTTCCTTTCATTTCTCCACCTCACCCACAAGTACCTCAACTTCTGCTTGTGAAATAGCGCTTCCTTGATCTGTGGTCGTGATCGAAATGCTGCAACAAGCCGGCTTATGTATATGCATGAGATCCACAAGGCACTTTGCATTGACTATTTATGGCAGTAAGTGGGCGTGGTGAGGGCGGGATGTGACTAAAAAGCAGCTGAGAACCTTTCTCGTTAGTCTCTGATTTATGAAGCGGAGATTGCGTTCAGCTGTGCGTACTCCATGTTTGATATATCACAAACCTACTTGGCACAAGTAAATTTTTTTTTTGCTGAGCTTAAGTACGGTTTTAGTAAGGATTCTACGCAATGTTTGATAAATGAGACCCCTGGACTGTTCCTGCATTGCATTTCTAAGGCAATGGGCCAAATAATTAAGACCAAGAACATATATAATGAACAATGCATGTTATGGAAAAGCAGGACGGAGGATCAGCAGTGTTGTCACTGCAGACTGGACATTCTTTGGCCTTCAGAGGTTTGTTCAGGCTGGGTTTTTTTGGCCTGTGTTAAAGCTGGAATTAGGAATTTTCTTGGCCTTTCGAGAATGATGGGATACAAATGGGTTAATCCTTGTTTTATGCGTTTGCTGCAGAAACCAAAATAATTTTTATCAGAGATGGTCAATGTAACAATAATGGTTCAATCTTATATTTTGACACTACACAGGTAAATTGTTTGTTGGCTTTGGTTTTACCTGCACTCAACCAAAAATTGCCATGTCAGCTTTTGTTACCTAGAGTCCTTCATTCCCGTTGCGACTTCCGTTTAGCTTTCCAAATCGGTAGAAAACCATTTTCCCCATTAGACCCTAAATAACTCTTCAGTCACAATAAAGCTAGGAGGGAAAAGAACCAAAGCATTTCCTTAAAGGTTGAATATGGAACACAAACTCCAAAGCAACATCTAGTGTGTGGAGGTTGTAGTTGCAACAATAGAACAAGGTTTCCAGCCGTCGACATACCAGCTTTGCTGCCGATACGTGACATTTTTTGTTTGGGTCCATCTGTTGTATGCTCCACCTAAACTCACTCTTGTTGTAGATCTTTTATCATCGCTCCTCTTCTGAGAAGGATAATAACATTTTCTGGGCTCAGTAGCAGCTGCTTGACTTGCTCAGTCCGCCATTTTCCACAGGGCCAGTCTCGCTGTGCCGAGTGGACTGTTTGGCAACCCGCAATGGTGCCCTCTACTGGCTGGTAGATGTAAACATAAACCCAGTGTCGTGCCCATCAAAATAAATATTTGATTATTTTTAAAATAAAATGAAGCTTTTAAAGTAAATTCTGTACTTTAATTCTGCACACCTCTAAATGCCCGTGAAAGAATATGTTTTTTTTAATATTGCTTTTAAATTGTTCCATATTTAACCTGTAAAACCAAATCCTCAATTTGGAAAATTGCCACATTTTCTTCATTTTCTCTCTATGAATCATAAACACACTTGTTTCATTAGATATTAGTTGTGAATCTTCTGCTGAAGAAAACAAAACCACATTTGAGTTTGATGATGCATCAGTCTGATCCACCTCCAGCTCTAAGGTCATGTGCAGCTGAAGTGCGCAGACTCTGCTTGTCTACTGCACTCTGGTCTGGTCTGTTAAGGAAACAAGGTAGAGAGATATCCCCTTCCTGTTTTTGTTACTCACAGCTGATCCTGCCATGCCCTCCTCCACTCTACTCCTCTTCTTTTTGCACTTCACAGGATCTGGTCAGGTCCTTTCTGTTTTCAACAATGATGTTTTCTAGCCTGAGTCACTCACAACCCTCCATTTTACTGTTGTCTAATTTCCCTGCCTCTGTTCTGTGAGCCTTTGTTTGGGGGGGGGGGGGGTAGCTTCAAAGAGCTTTTAAATCAATGGATTTTTTTGTAAAATTCAGCTGCATGTTATAAAACCAAGCTGGATTTATCTGTCCAGTTCCCTCAGACATATCCTAAAAGACATTATCTTGTGCTTACACTTTCTTCCGCCTCTGCGGGAATGTTGACTCTTCTACCAACATCCCAATGTGGAATTCTGATCTAATTCCCTGTGCGTACCGAACATAGCTGCAGGATTCAGAGGTGATGTATTTATGACCTGTACACTTATTGCAGATTGTGGGGGAAATGTTGGTACAGTTTCTAGAATATGGTTTGCATTAGAAACGCCTCTCTCTGACAGAAGGACCGTCTGCTGGCTCTGTTCTGGTTCTTAAACCCAAAATAATCGTCTGTTTAAATCAAAGGTAAAACTGTAAAAATCATCAGTCCTTGCAGTGAAGTTTTCCTGAGCAGAGACAGCTTATGTGTCCTGACTCAACCTCACAGGTCTGAGGCAAACTTTAATCTGCAGAACACGCTTTCTGTGCTTTAGATTTTCCCTGCTACCCAGTTGCACATGACGTCTGTGAGAGTGACTCATGAATCTACTCTTAGTGCAGCGCTGCTCTTGGAGGCGGGCCCAAATCTCCCTGTCCGGTATTTACGCAAGTAAGGGGGTTGTATGCAAGTATGGTGGTGGGGAGGAAGCAGACCCTTAACAGCCAGTTTGACAGTGGCTGCAGCACTTTCAGCCACACGGCCTTGGCAGACTGGTGGGAGGGCTGCAACCAGTCAAGGCCACCAAGACTAATTGTGTCATAGATCAAAGCAGCGGACAATAAAACATGTGACGCACAAGAATTAAGAGCTGAGCCTGATCAATCTGGGCCTGTCCGCCGGAGGCCCCAGATCACGATGTAGGCTGATTAAGATGACAAGCGCAAATGAGCATGAATCCAACTATGACGACACCTCGGAGCCATTGTTACACTGAGGTGTCAAAATCACAATCATTTTGTTCTGATGTTCCCTCTTTATATTCTCTCTCATAAATGTTAAAGCACCGTGTTTGGCACGTTATGTGTGACTAAATCTGCTAGTTTGAGTGAGAGGAGTGTACATGTATAGTTTTCTTGTGCTGTTAGATTGATATTTTTGACTTACTTTCAGGACTTTAGCCACATGATTATTGTGGTAACCCCAACCATATTTGATAAATGTTTAGCATTAAGCACTTAATTTACTTTAAAGGGATATTGGACAATGGGTTTCCATAGGCTCCAATAACACGTTTTTGAGGCCAAACGGGAGGTGGCCACCACCGCCATTTTGACCGTGTCACAGGTTCCGTCAAGCCCAGACAATTCCACAAAAGGGAAGAGAGGTGAAGCTGAGGGTGGGGCTGTAAGGCTGGCATCAACTGACGACACCCGGTAGAACTAGCTACAAGCTAACCTGAAGCTAACCCAAAGCTAAGGTGGGAGCTAAGCTAGCGGAGGTAGCAACCTAGCTACAACCGGAGTTAACTGTGCACAACACCAGAGCTTCTGAGTCAGAGATACGCCGGGCTGACCGCTGGATAAAACCGGGTGGAACACAGAGGTCTCTGAGAGCTCCACAAGCTGGCAGCCGCACAGCAGACAAGCGCCGCTGTGATCTGAGATGCGCAGAGCTGCCGCTGGGGAGAACCGGGTGGAAAGGTTTCCATCCCAGAGCTCCACAAGCCGGCAGCCCGCACAGCACACAGAAGCCGCGATCAGACAGAGATGCGCCGAGTTGTGGGGAGGGGAGAACCGGGTGGAAAACATCAGTTTCCATTCAGAGCTCCACAAGCCGGCAGTCCGCGCAGCAGTCAGGAACTGCGATCAGACAGAGATGCGCCGAGCTGCTGGGAGGGGAGAACCGGGGGTGAAAACAGAGGTCTCCCGAGAGCTCCACAAGCCGATAGTTGGAACCCAGCTCCACCAACATGTTATATTTCAACCCATTTTCTAAAGTGCAGCATTATGTTAAATGCACTGGGTTTTACCCTATTACATTTAAATTTCATGGTTAAACAGTACATGTTAAAATCTAAGCTCAGCTAGTGCAAGAGCGGCAGTGACCTAAAATACATAAATATAATTTAACTTACCGAAAAAAATGGAGACTCCTTGGATGCTCTATTAGTGCAATTAATACCACAGCAAGTCATTTTGTCCAACAATTGCACAAATAATATCCAAAAAAGAATGAACAAATGCTATCAGGCGAGGCCGAGGCTCTACTGAGGCCTTTTCCCAGAGCTCTGCGGTCACGTGGGTCGGATGCTCATTAATTATACAGAATTTTAGGCTTTTAATACACTTAAACAGAAGAGTGAGAAATTAATTCACCCCCCTCAGAGTTGTCATGAGTGTAAACTAGATCATTTAAACAAAAAACATGTTTTGGAACCAGGCTGTAAACATGTTTATTTCTGCTGTGAAATGGGTATTTTTAACATGGGAGTCAATGAGGATTTGCTCCCTTCTGACACCATCCCCCAGCGGATGAGGGTGGAACTGCAATGTATTTCATTTCCGGGTTTGCTTCAATTTTTCACCGCATTGTGGGGGCTTGAAGGCCACCCAGCCCCCATCCCCACTGTGGCCAGAATACTGTACTTGCAACTTTAGACTGGCAGGCTCCTCTGCTGGGGGCTGACATACCTTAAAGGAGGCATTTCATAAAAAATCCACCTTTTTTAGTCTTTAAATACAATGTGTTGTGCATTTTAAATCTCCTGGTGTACAAAAATAATTAAACTAGTTTTGCAGCTCTTACTTCAGATTTAAAGAGACAGAACCAAAACAGCTCATTTTCAGACTCTCCTCAGTACTGGGGTAAAGGAGGGGTCTGTGCAGCAACAATAATGAGGAAATCAGACCCAAGAACTGTCGTTTCACTATATTTGGACCACAACTGAAGGATTTACTTGTTAAATGGAAGAACTTAAAAGTAGGGATGCATCGATGCCACTTTTTCCCCAAACCAATGCGATACCGATACTTGGAAGTGGGTACTCACCGATACTGATTACAGAAACCGATACTTCTACCACACAAAAAAATGCAATGAATTGTAATACAGGTTTTATTTTCTTCTCTGCTTTCAACAGGAAAAGACTGTGAGGCAGATAAAAGAAACAAAATATATTAATAGAAATGATCACAAAACTAAAATTTTAGGTGAGCAGAAATGACAAGTTACAGTGAAGCCACTTTCAGGCAACTGCATTGGTATCGGTTCCTAGTATTGGTTAACTCTTACCAATGCAGGTATCGGTCCGATACTGTATCGGTGCATCCCTACTTAAAAGCATGCTGTATCCCCTTTAACACAGCTGATTTGTTTATTTTAGTGATGAATCACTCCTGTAGACACTAAGGAAGGCTGGGGAGACATTTCGGCTGTTAGATTAAGTTGTTAAAAAGACAATTACACAGCGAGTAGAAAAGTTAAGTTTTTGGTTCTTCAAACGGACACTAGGGGTGCTAAAAGTAAGCCAAAACTGCCCAGGTCCCCTTTAAAGCTACATCAACTAAAAAATGTCAGAAAGAGGTAAGTTCCATGTCTCCACAAATCCTCTGCTAGTGCTGTTGCTGATAAATAAATAAAACAAAACATATGGATTCAATAGAAAATGGATGAGTGGACGAGAAAACAAAATAAAAAGCTTAAGAATGAACCGAATGATCAACATCTGATAGTCATGTGTTTATAAACAGGAACAATCCAGAACATTTTTCTGTTGATAGTTTACTTTATGCCAAGTTTTCAGCTAATACTTATTTTGGGAATCACTTTTTTGGTGCTAAAGTACTGTTCTGTGTGTGAAACAGTGTTATCTTTGGTATTTATAGGTTTGAATAAAGTGATTGGAACAAACTTTGTCTTTGTGACAAACCACTGGTAACAACGTGCCAAACAATGTAATTAAAACAGCTTCCAAGTCATTTGTTGGGTCGACACGAGACTTGTTCATTGCTTGAGTTTAGGAGTCTTTTAAAGTAGTTAATATCAGATCCAGTCATTCTCCGTCAGTTACCGGACTGAAATGGGTGAAAAACAGCCGAAGAAAAACTTTATAAACACCCAGAAAAGATTAAATTTCTTGGAAATAAAATATAAAGAAATTCTGACTGACGTGTGGATTTTGCATCATCGTGTGTGTTCTTAGCCATCTTTTCCCCCTTGCAGGTACTTTTAGTTTTTGCCAAAGAAGACAGTCAAAGTAATGGCTTCTGCTGGGCATGTGAGAAGGCCAACTACAGATGCAGCTTGGCACACACACCTGAGTCCGCTCTGGAATGCTTCTCGGAGAAGCATCACGACCTTGTCATTGTTGACCACAGACATTCCAGACACTTTGACGCTGAAGCACTGTGCCGGTAAGATAGCTCTCTCATTACCAGTACACTTTTAACTCCTTATTGTGAATCTGAAACTACAGAACATGGTGTTTACCCGCTTTATCTGAATGATAACTTTGTCTAAATGAATCTTTTTATTCTAACACCTTTTGACTTCTTTAAAGTGATCTTGTCTAAAAAGAACAAACTTAGATATTTCACCTGTCAGGATTTTACTGGAACTGAACACTGCAGGCTTTAAGTTTTAGCCAGTTATCAGCTGTTTCAGCTATGTCTTTCCAACTCAAAACCATGTCATCCTGTGTTCCATTACTTGAAGCATACCATGTAACTTTTAGCTCCTTTAATTCATTTTCAGAGCTTTTTATAAACTATTGAACAATTTTCCATTCTCTTGAGTGGCCATATATTCTGTCCTGATACCTTAAGACAAATCAAAGCATAAGAAATGGATCACTGATGCTAGGAATACAACTGAACTGAATTTTGCTGTAATGTCATCTGAAGCTGGTGACCTGATGCCGCTCAGATGATCTTGGTAGGGCCGGCTGCAGCGCTGCTTTGCACGTGTCACAGCGCACTTCTCATTATGTCTGCGTGCGGGGGTAAATGGCCAACTCATTTTGGGCTCACCAGCTTTCATTTCATGCTACCTAGTGGATTTATTTCACTGAGAAATGAGCGGTGCCTGCCCACACCACTCTATCTTTAGCCTCGGCTCAAACCAAAAACACATTTACAAACATTCATTTGCCCTGCCTGTCGTGTATGTTAACCCTATTCATTTTGGCCAATCCATATGTTCAGTGTACACGTACAGGCTGTGGTGGGGTGGGGGGACTAAAGGGCCTTTATGGACACTGGCTGGGGGAAACCACAGGCGGATGAGTGGCCCTGTACACTACATTCTTTCAGAGGCCTAGGCCTGCTCACAGAGCTCCACCACTGGGTTCTGCCGGCCTGGGAGAATCGGAGCATGAAATACTGAAAATACATTGATTTGATGCCATGGGCTTTTCCAGCAGCCTGTTCACTGGCTAAAAGGCTCCCTCTGTTTACTTTCAGGTCAATTAGAGCGGTCAACTCCTCAGAAAACACTGTGATAGTCGCTGTTGTGAAAAGGTACAGATTCACTTTCTCATTTTAGATGATCTTGAATTAATTTCAAGATAATTAGGATTGTTGTGCAAAACTGATCATTTTTTTCTATGGTGACTCTTGGATTTATCATGTGCTGCTTTGGTTCTGACATGTTGTTTGTTTTGAAGGCCAGACAGAGAGGAAGCCTCTGTGATGCCACTGATCAATGCTGGCTTTAATAGGGTGAGCAGAAAGTACACACTGTCTTTTGCTGTTGGCAAATTTTCTTTTTTTTTATTTATTTTTTTATTGATGACATTTATGTTGGAGATTTTGATCTATTCCTAAAAGACCAGAGTCCAGACTTTTGATTGTTCTGGGTGGTTTTGTATCCTTTGGATGAATCAGCCATGTGTGACTCAGTGTTACAGATAGGTTTTGCCTGCTTTTGGTTGACCTGTGTCACTCTGACCCTTAGAGATATGTGGAAAATGCCAATATGATGGCCTGCTACAATGAGCTGCTACAGTTGGAGCATGGAGAGGTTCGGGCACAGTTCAAACTGAGGTGAGTCATGCATGTTGCTGCACTGCAACTCTGCATCAGCAGGACAGGAATGTACTTGCTGTTTAAAGGTGCGGTTACTGATTATAATCAGTCATTCTGAGTTTTTTATGCAGGCTGAACATGAAAATAGTCTCTTAAACCTACCTCATGCATTAGCTTCTGATAGAAAATAGATGGTGAAACTCTAGGATTAGAAAAGCCTGACAGATCTACATCACACTGTCACTTAAAAGTCATGGACTCACCCATCTTGACCCACGACGGGAAGGCTGTTTTTGGTTTAGCATCCAGGAAATAGCAGAGAAGGTAACCGTTAGCATTTGCAACTCCACCACACAGCAGAACTCCTTTAGGCTTGTGTTATTTGCATAGACAAACATCAACATTTCAGAGGAAATGGAGTCAGAGGTAGAGCTGCGTTGCCGTTACCTAATCCAAGGGCCAGATGTCGAAATGTCATGAAAAAGACTCCAAATTCAGCCGTCTGATGCTCAGCTCTGATGTGGGTCACTTTTAGTTCCTGAAACTAGTGTACTGGATCTTTGTTTCCCCGAGTACAACTTCCAAGGCATTCATTCCTACTAGATACCACTGCAAATGTATTGATTAAATGAGTGAATCAAACCTTTAACCTTTAGGTGTTGAAGCAGGGAGACAACTAAAACATGCTGGATACTGGTCTTCCAGGACCAGAATTGAGATCCCCGGGGACAGGTATTTGGAAAATATCTCATAAACTATTTGATGGGTTGTAATGAAACTCTCAGAAAGTACTCACTGGATGAACATATACATTCTTCTTCTTCTACTTCCTCTCGCTCTCAGCTGTGGTTGATTTGCTTGTCCAGTGGGCGTGATTTGGAATCGTAAGATGTCCAAGGATGATCCCGCCTTTCTCGCCTCTGATTGGCTAGAGGGGCTTTCCTACAATTGGCTATTGGCTAAGACAAAATGTCTACAAAAAAGTTTGTATTATCTGTTGGAGTCAACTTTGTCCAGGTCTAAATATCTCATGAGCAAACTGGATGCCATTAAGATTGCAGCTCCAGCTAATTAATCTTATCAACCCAAAAAATGGCAACAAGTCAGTCAGTTTTAAAGATATTAAAAAGGGACATATTATATTTTCCATATAAATGGTCGATGCAGAACTTTTTCCTGAAGTTCTTTGCCAAAAAAAAAAAAAAAAACATCCAGAATCCCTCTCACATGAAGAAATTTCGGCAGTAGTCTGGACAGTTTCAGAGCCTTCCAGAATGAGCCTTTTCAGGGTTCTGTCACTTTAAGAAAAATAGCTGCTTCTGGTCACACCCAATCTGTCTATATGTCATTTAGTAAAATATCTCATGAAACACTGGATAGATTTGAATAAACTTCACAGAAGGTTTTTGTTGGATGTACACCTACAGCTGATTAAGATTAGGTGTCAGCCTAATTAAAAATGGCTGCCAGTACTAGTAAGCACAGAGAATAGGCTTTAACTGCTTTAGTTTAACAAATACTGAGTTATTATATAAATGCTAGTTTTAATCATCTATCTGTTTGAACATAACTGTTAGCTATGTAGAAGCTGTACACTGATGAACATGTTGATGGTGATAGTATGGCCACTGAGCCGTCCCGCCATCATTTGGACAGCCTGACTTCAAAAACGACAGCCTAAATAATGAGTGACAGCTTTTAAATTTGATGGCAAGCTGTCCCTGGTTTCTGTAATATCAAATCTGGAATTTGCCTTTTGTGGAAGTCAAATAAAAGTCTGATTATTGCACAAATCATTTGGCAAATATGTTCAAGTGGAAATATGTAGATTCATTGCAGGAGGTTAACCCAGCAGGCAGGGTTCAAATAATGGCACCTGAAAACGTGAAGGGCTCTGCTATCCCTCAACTTACACACCCATGGGGAGCCCAATAAAATATATAGTTTACTTATATTACATTAATTCTATGGACTCTCGGTGTACCAGGGAGTCTTTTGAGTGGAGAGGACAGAAATCACTGACCATTGATGCGCTCTGGGCAGCTGCGTCCTGCACACGGCCACAGTAACATTTTCAAAGTGGCACCACCAAAAGAAAATAATTAACACGCGATCGTTCATGTCCAGCTCATATTCTCTGGTACTTCCTGTCTTTTAATTGTGCCTGACGCGCTCCGCTGCAGCAGAACTCATCACCCGTTGTCCGGTGTCTTCCCCTCACTTGCGCAGTCATGCAGTGCATCCTTTACCATTTAGCGGACGGTAAATGACTTTGATCTGCTTTGTTAAAACGTAACTGAGGTGAAAAAGTAGGAAGCCAGGCAACTGATTTTCTGCAGGACTGAGAGGAGATGCAGGAAGATGAGAGACAGACTGGGCAGGAAAATAATCAAATAAAAACCAAGAAAAGAAAACAAAGAGCTTGAAAAGGAAGGAAGATTTATCCCACTGCATGGTTTACCTTTATAAAGCAATAATTTATAAGCATATGATATTTATATACATGAAACAAATTCAAAACTCAGTCCCAGGTACCTTGATACACCCAGGACTGTATCAAGCCATTTTGGGGGCCAAGACAAAATATACCCCCCCCCACCCCCCCCCACCCCCCACCACCACCACCGGGGCCCCCCAGATGCCTCTGTGTAATTTTAAGAATTCTTGTGTTGCATTGTTTGGAAAGTAATCATAACAATTACTTGAAAGGTTTTGTTTTTTTAAAATAAGTTTTTGATGTGAAACGATCCTTAAATGGTATTATACAGTTTTTAGAAGTATTATGACAAATTTATGACACTCTCTCTCTCACACACACACACACACACACACACACACCTGAAGGGAGACGATCACCCTTTCCTGTAGGGCACCCACTTTCCCAGGTTCTGGCTAATACCCTGGTGGTGATTCTGGTTCTGTTTTCTTTCCCCTAAAGGGCTTGCAATGCCATTTTCACAGCTCTGGAACAAAGCCAAGACGCCATAGAGATCACTTCTGAAGATCAAGTTATTCAGGTGGGATTTTGGTAACTAACTCCACTTTCATTAGCTCATTGCAGTCATTCTCTCTCTCCATTCTCTCTTTGTCCTTTATTCGTTTTTGCTTACATCTTGTTATCTCAGTCACAGTAGTTTTGTATCATTGAAATGCTCCCTAACATGTAGCCTCAGTTCTCAGCATGGTGCCACCTCAGTCTGATAGCACTGGGTTTATTTGAACAGATTTTTTTTTTTCAAATCTCAGATCAATTCTCTACTTTCTTGTTATTTGCAGTACGTGAATCCTGCCTACGAGGCCATTATGGGCTACCAACAAGGCGAGCTATTAGGGAAGGAAATAATAGAAGTGCCTAAAAGTGAGAAGAATAAGCCTGATCTTCTTGAAACCATAAACACCTGTATACGGAAAGGAAAGGTAATGCTCGTTCACGAAACCATCCCGTCATTTTAGAGTTACTTAACCATAATAACCACATTACTGCTTCAGACTCAGATCATTCTGCTCTTCATGTCCGTGCATACATGCACGTGCATTCACGTGCGCTGTTGCTTGGCACCGCCGGCCGGCCATCAGTTCTGTTTCATGTGCAAAAGAACAGCAGCTGATTTCTGTGCTGTAATCTTACTACACAGAGAGCGAAGGTCAGTCCCAGGCAGGCAAACAGCAGGAAGGGTCTTTTATAAGTGCCAAAGCAGTCTGCGGGTGGTGGGCAGACATGAAACAAGCACACTGGACACACTGAAGCATTGCCATTTGCTGAAAAATCCTCTCCAGCTATACAAATCCTGTCATGCAGCACACCTACTCCATAGGATGGTTTCAGCACCTACATTTTAATTTTGTTAATTATTTGTTTTTAACATGTCTGTCATTCTTTTGTGTTCCAGGAGTGGCAGGGGATTTATTATGCCAAAAAGAAGAATGGAGACAACATTCAGCAAAATGTGAAAATCACTCCTGTAATTGGACAGGGAGGGTGAGTGGAAGCTTAACTGTTGGTGTCTCTCAACGTGACAGTTACACCTCCCAAAACCAAATCGTTTAAATGTACGCACCAGACTTTTCTAATATTCAGATGAACTCATGTGCATTTGTCATTCACAGAAAAATCAGACACTATGTGTCTATCAACAGGCCTTTAAATGATAATAATAAGGTGGGGTAGATTTCCTGTTTTAGGTATTATTGATTGACAAATGAAAGTTTCTGGTTGTCAATTTGTTTTTCTCCTTTTGATGGTGCAGAGCGAAAAATCCAGTGAACGTGTGCAAGCGGAGTCTCAAACAGGTGAGGTCAATCCTAAAAGTCTCCCACCTCCAGGTTTAGCTAGCAGATGTTTCAGATTGCTAACGTTTTGTTTGCAATTAGCAAATGATTGCGATACAAGGGCGATAATTCTGTCTGGAACTTTTTAAACTCCCGACTTTTGAAAATAAATAGACAAACGTCCTGCATCATGACAGAAAATCATTCAGTACCCAATAGTTGAGTTGAATTATTTTACTGTTCAAAATGATAAGAACTTCTTTTTTCTCACATCAAATCATTATAAGCACATGATTTGGCATAAAAATAATCAAATGAAACAAACAAAGAAAGAATTAGAATGAGTCTGGCCTTCTTCATGTGGCTGGGAAATATCTCTCCTCTGTTGACCTTAAAGTCTTTTTATTTTGTCTAAATGGGCTATTGTTCTTGTTGTGTTGTGGTATGAACTGTGAAGTGAAGCCGCAGCTGCAGCTGATTTCAAAACGCAGCAGCTTGACTTCTAACAAGTAAACACACAGGGATCATATCTCTCCTATGCTCGCGTCACTAGTAACTCTTATTTGTTCACAAGGCTTTACACCATGTTCCAGGACAACGTATTTTCTCTAAAACTGAGCCATTTCACATGAATTATGTTTGTACTCATTTGTGTCTAATTAAATCAAAATTGACTGCTCACTTTTTCACTACTCTGTTGTGAGTCTGTATTCTGCCATGTTTAACTAAACTTACAGGATGTCCATAACACAACTGCCTACGGTACTTAAACAAAGAAACAAAGAAAAGTTTCCTGCCTACTTCTGTGAAAGACCTGGTTACACTAAAGCTTCCCTCTGAAATACACTCACAGAAACGTGGTTGGATAACAGTGACACATGTTCTAAAAACTGGAAATCAGGCAGATACACACAAGATTTACACCCAAGTTGACGGCGTATTTATGATGACTATAAAACTGTAAAAAGTGCATTCATTTTATAAAAGCTAAATGTAACGGGTGTTATCACTATAAACAATTATTTATTTTATCAGTCCATTTAACAATTTTAAAAAGGAAAATGCTACCAAATATGAATTAGTACATGGACATTTTAATGAACTTCAATGTGTAATTGTGGAACTTTCGCCTGATTTTTATTAAATTTGAATGCCCGTCCTTTGATAATGCAGATAAATATTACAGAAATCCATATTTATTCACATTAAAAAATGTATTTTATCAGAGAGCGTCATTTTGTGAAACAATGAATCAAATGTATGCAAAAAAAGCAGCATCTACATTCTAGTTGTAAAAGTGAATTTGTTGTGATTTTCAACCAAATTCAAACCAACCTGAACTGTTTGTGTGTGTGTAAATGTAAGGTGTTTCTCTTCCCCAGATATACAATCCAGTAAGCACAAAGACAGAAGGAAAGGCTCTCTGGATGTAAGATCCACAACATCTCGGGGGAGTGATGGTGAGAGTGAAGGGAGATAGATGATGGAAACGCTGGGCATCTCGTCAGCTCATGAATCCCTCCCTTTTGTCTGTTTGCATTATGTGTTGATTGGATACACACACACACACACACACACACACACACACACACACACACACACACACACACACACACACACACACACACACACACACACACACACACACAAACACACTCACACTGAATCTGCTCACAACAAAAGAGCCAACTGTTAATTAGAAAGTGGTTCACAAGCAGATTTTAAATCCCGATCTTTCAGGACACTTATAATGTAAGATTTGTTTGCTCTTTACTTTTTAATTATCACAGGGAGTTCACAGAGAAGACACTCCTCGATGGCCCGGATTCACTCCATGACTATTGAGGCTCCCATCACCAAGGTGGGTTGCTATCTGTCCCCATCGGCCCTCCCAGCCTTTGTCATGTGATCATCACTTCTAATTCAGATGTTTTATCATGACTGCACCCTTGTTTTATAAAAGTACTACAACCGCCATGAGCAATTTTTATGCAGCTGCCAGGACCGAGTGCGGTGGTCTCTCTCACACCATTTCAGGAGGAGACTGGCTGATAAAATACCACATTTTATGCACAAGAGGAAGAAAGCATGTTGGACCAGAATGACCTGCTGTTGAAGTGGTTTATGCTGCGTGTGAGCCCGGATAGTCAGAAACAATGAAAGTCCCCAGGGATAAGTCATATGACACACTGCAGTTCCTCTGCTGCATCATTTGACTATGTAGTCAGTTGCTGTAGGCGTGTTCCTCTGGAGAATAAAGCACTGATAGAAGCGTGCATGCGCGTGTACAGATGTGCATACGTCTGTTGTGTCCTTGGGCAAGACAGTTAACCCACCTTGCCTGCCGGTGGTGGTCAGAGTGACCGGTGGCGCCAATGTTCGACAGGCCTCGCTTCTGTCAGTGCGCCCCAGGGCGGCTGTGGCTACATCATAGCTCATCCCCACCAGCGTTGGGATTTTCAATAGTTTTTCTAAATGTGAGCAAACTTCACCAGCTAGAAATGTTTATTTGCAAGTTCAGAAGTCTTTTTGCAAGACCTTTAATAGTTCCATGGAGGCACAAAACACAAAACCACATCTACTCTAGATGCTTAATCATTTTGTGCATTCAGGTGTCAGGATTTTGGAGTGATAATTTAAGGGAAGTTTGAAAAAAAATTCAAGATCAAGTTCAAGAAGCTTTATTATCTCCTAGGAGTGATTGTTTTCTTACCAGTGATTCCAAACACAACTAAATTAAAAAAATATATACATTCTGCATTATGTCAAATTTGATCAAGTTTCATATTTGCTAACTTTTACTGTCCAGAAAATATATTTGGCACAGATCTTTGTTTCCTTTTAACAGCCTGATGTGGCATTGAGGGGTCGCTTCAGGCATTCCTTTATTCTTTTATTTACATCGTAGCTTCACACACCATCAGTGTGTGAATGTGTGTGTGAATGGGGGAATGACACTCTGTAGTGTAAAGCACTTAGGAGTCCTCTGTCTCTGATAGGCTGCAGGTCATTTATTCGTTTTTGGCAGAAATCTTAAGTTTTTCCAGTGTAACTTTATGCATCTGAGGCTTGACTTGCAATTCATTTCTTTTCTGTGACTTGAGGTCAGGAAAAGAAAAACTAGAGTTCGGGATAGATTCATACTCTAGTTTATGTTTTTGTCCAGCTGAATTATTCAGTTTCTCTCCAGTATCTGGTTCTCGTCTGACTAGAAGACTGTCACAATTTACTGATTGCTTTAATCCAGGAACTGAACTCCCCGCTCGAAAACAAAAGTAGATGAATTATATGACTGCTTCAACAAGGTGCTGTGTTTGCCTTTTTTTCCCATTTTCTCCAACATGCCTCTTTTTAATCACCTTTTGTTTATCAGGATGCTGCTTAGCATATTTTTTGATAACGTCTATCATGAAGTCACAAATTGGGTTTTATTTACAAGGAATCATCTCTAATCAATGCAAATTATAACTCTTGCCCCAGCTCATCTCAAACTGTTATCGTTTGAAATTAGTTGATAGATTTCCACGTTTATCACAATTCTCTGGCACTTTCTTTCATTGGTGTAAAGTGTCAGTTACCAGATGCTAGAGTTCTGTGGCCTCGCAACATTTTCCCTTTCTGACATGTAAAGAAAACGGTCTTGATTTTCATTCTTCTCATGTGCAATGAGAAAGAGCATTAGTACGTGAAATAAATGATTATTAAAATATGTGTGAGCTGCAGGGGTTGTTTTTTTATGTCTGTTTGAATCAAGAGAAAATGCCGCTCTTCCAGGGGTGCTCAGCTGTATTAGTGACCTTTTTGTCCCTGTGTATGCCTAAATCTACAGGGGACAGGATTTGTAGACAGAGTCCAAAGGCTTTGGATGACCCAGATAAAGCGGCACTGGCTTAATGTGTATAATTGATGTAAATTTTATGAACCGGCTTTATTGTTATAGATTTTTAAATATTTCATTTTTATTCCTGTTACTGATAATATCCTGTCATTTTATTTTTCAGGTAATAAACATCATCAACGCAGCACAGGAAAGCAGTCCCATGCCAGTGGCAGAGGCCTTGGATCGGGTGCTGGAGATCCTGAGGACCACAGAACTCTACTCCCCACAGCTGGGCACCAAGGATGAAGATCCTCACACAAACGACCTCGTGGGGGGGCTGATGACGGTAAGCAGCAAAACAATTTTGAGGCAAAAAAAAAAGGTCCTTCAAGATGACTGAATCACCCAAACATTTTCCATTGCCATGCACACACAGACCTTCCATGTCCACTGAGGATAAGAACTCAGATGTGTTCATTTGAACGAGTGCGTTTGGATAGGATGTCTGTGTGTTTTTTTTTCTTTTGGGGGGGGGGGGGGGGGGGGGGGGTCTGTCCATATTGGAGAGGGAAAGAAAGAGACAAAGAGAGTAGCAGACAGTGATGGTGAAGAACTGAAGTCGAAAGACTGCCAAGTTGGCAGTCTTGGCAGCAAACCCAGAGGAAGTGTTAGATTGTCCTTTGTGCTCCTGTAGGCTGGAGAGGAAAGCCCCCCCCCCCCCCCCCCCCCCCCCTCTCTCTCTCTCTCTGTACTCACTCAGAGTCACACTCACATGGACGTTTTCCTCTCGACTCCACAAGCCTGGAAACATCCTGCTCTTTGGATCAGATGAATAAGCATATACGTGTGGAAACGCAAAGGCACAGAAGTGTTGGTCTTTCACCAGGAAAGCTTATTCTGCATAAGCGACAAATTCTGTAAAACCACGAGTAATTTAATCAGAACTGTTCTGAACTCTAAAGGATCAGTGAACATCAAAACAAGGTAGCTGTCATTTATCTGGAGAGAAAGCCCTAAAATAGCTAACGTGTACAGAGGCAGCACCAACATGAGACAATGCATGGGTCAAAGATGAGCCAGTCTGCTCTTCCTTTTGCTCTTGTGAAGTAAACATTTCCCTGTGTGACACACACCCATGCACTCTGTAACCCCCAGTGTTGAACATAGTCTATAGTAACCGATTCAAACAGAATCCAATTTTTGTCAAAGGGAGAAAAGTCAGTCTTTAAAGTTTACATAATTTGGATTAAATGTAAAACTATTAGTTTCTTCTCACAAAATGTTTTTTTTTTCGTTAAGCAATTTAACAAAATATTAAGATCTTCTATTTGATTATACTTGTAGAAACTATCTTTCAGCTATTTTAAAGAGCGTTTCTGAACTAAAGTTAGATACAAATGAAGCTAATTATAGGAAAGGTTGAGATTGTAATTCCTTCTCTTGAGAACATAAATGTCTTTGCGTTATTTCATGGCAGTTACATGAGACGTTAAATATCCCCTATCCCAACAGGAGGTCTGATCTACACAGCTGGTCTGAATCACAGTCCTAAGAGAACCGGATCATGATACTTCTCTCACTGCTTGTTTGATTATCAGGAAGTGTTTTCCCACCCATAAGTCTCGTTTGCTGTCAAAAACCCAGAGGAAGACATATGTCATGATGGACTAATAATTGTGAATTAGGAGACATGTGGACATAAATCAGTGTGATGTAATTTGAGACAGAACTAGTACAGATCATAAATCTGATAATTATTCACTGTGCTGCATATTTAATTAATTTGCTCCGAATGTCCGCAGGAAAACAGTTTTAGGTGTTGGCGCAACGAATCCATGTATTGTCACTGCGCTGATATAAGGTTGCTCACAAAGCTTTAACATGACGACCCATTTTTAAGAGTACATGTTCAGGTTTTTAGGGCTCACAAAAGCGTTTTTGAGAGTTTTTGATATTTAACCATTATTTTGTGATGTGTCACTTATCTCATTCTGCAGGAAGAAAAACTAATTAGACCCAGATTGGTTTTCAAGTCCAAGCTGAGAACTGTTTGTTCTAAATTTAGCACAGAGGTTTTCTACATCCGACTTGAGATTCTGTCCTCTTCCAGATTACCTTGAAGGCACAATCAATGCTGATGTTCTCAAAACTCCACTAAACTCCTCTCTGTGACTATTACAGGAAGGATTATTAATCATGTTAATGCTGCAGCGTTTTTTTAACACTTCCGAAGACTTTAAACATTCTTTCTGTTTTTTTTCTTCACAGGATGGTTTACGCAGATTGTCAGGAAATGAATACATCCTTTCCACAAAGCGTGAGTTTACACAAAGAGTCAGTCTGAACGGAACTTTATTTATAGAGGGTTTTTCAGCTCGAATGTTTAAAGATAAAGTTAACTGAGAAACAGTGTGATCAGTCACTCTGAGTTAAACCTGCAGGCTGAACATGAAAATAGGTTTCCACCCCTACTGTCTGCATTAGCTGTCGATGGAAAATAGACGTGAAAACTCAGTTTGGAGAAGCTAAAGAATTCTACGTCACATTGGAAAATGTATATTCATGAACTCGCCCATCTTGGCTTGTGATGGGGAAGGTTGTTCTTGATTTAGCGTCCAGGAGAAAGCAGAGAGCATCTTGGCTAGTAACCATTAGCGTTAGCAACTCAATAACATGTCAGAACTCCTTCAGGTTTGTTTTACTTGTGGAGATAAAAGCAAAAAGAGAGTTGCTTTGTTTTATCCAGAGGCAGATGTCCAAATATCAGGAAATAAAACTCCAAATCCTGCCATGTTCTGCTCACCTCTCCTTGGGCTTACTTCCTGTTCCTGGAACAGGAGCGCCAGAACTTTTTTCCCCACAGAGGTCAACTCACAAGGCATTCGTTTATACAAATGTGTTGAAATAAATGAGTGAACTTGGTCTTTAAAAATGTGGTACCTCCATTCCTTCATGTAGTTCAGGATGCAGTAATGGACAATGTTAAACCCTTTTGAATGAAAGGTTCTTTTTTTTTATCATTTTGCCCCCAGAGCCCCATCATCTCCCCAGTCACCTGGCAACCCCTCTGTCATTAAACGACATCCCTCCTCGTATCGCTCAGACCATGGAGACCGAGGGCTCATGGGACTTTGACATCTTCAACTTGGAGGCTGCTACCATGAAACGGTGAGCCACATCATTCATTTTAAGGATGGCCTTTCAAGTTAGTAATTTAGGGTGACTGTTGATGTTAAATTGTATCCTGCTACAGGCCTTTGACCTACTTGGGTCTGAAGATCTTCTCCAAATTTGGGGTTTGCGAGTTCCTAAACTGCCCTGAAGCTACCTTGCGCTCCTGGCTCCAAGTGATTGAAGCCAACTACCACTCCAGTAACTCCTATCACAACTCCACCCATGCAGCTGATGTCTTGCATGCAACTGCATATTTCCTCTGCAAGGAGAGAGTCAAGGTGAACCAAAAAAAAAATCCTGGAAAAGAATGTCTTTGATTGGAGAGAAAAGAAAACAAGATTAGTGTCACTGAAGTAAAAATCTAAAGTAGACATGTATAGTGAGTATTAATATGTTCAAATGGCTTCAACATCATTCTGTTTGCCAAATGTCCTATCTGGTTCTACTTGATCCTGGAAAGTTCGCGTTTTGCCCAAGTGTGTCAGTGATTCAGTAACCCAGTGACAGCATGAACTTGTTAAGCTGATTACCAAAGCATCTATTTTCAGATCTTGGCGTTGCGATCTTTATTGGTTTAGCTGATAAATTGTGATGTTACATAACTAGTAATCCTCGGGAATTTAAAAACAAGTGGTGTTTAACTGAACGATGCTGTTTACATCATTTCTTGATTTGAAAATGCAATAATAAATCTCCTGATACAATCTGCCTAAGCTCAAAATTATGCAAGTTTTAGATTTTTTTTCTTGCGTTCCAAAATAGGATTAGTTTAATGTTCGATCCTTTTAGTTTGTCATTCAGACTGCTGGGTTTCACTTCTCTGGACAGCAAAACTATTATTTGGTTCCAGACATCCCCTTTACTTTTCATAATGTTTACCTCAACAGCAAAGTTTGGATCCCATTGATGAGGTGGCTGCCCTGATTGCTGCCACGGTGCATGACGTGGACCACCCAGGACGCACTAACAGCTTCCTGTGCAATGCAGGAAGTGAGCTTGCCATCCTTTACAACGACACAGCAGTTCTAGAGAGCCACCATGCTGCACTGGCCTTTCAGCTCACCACAAGGGATGATAAGTGTAACATCTTTAAATATATAGAAAGGTATGAGATTCACTGAGCTCAAGAGATAACTGCAAGAAAACTTGTTGCTCTTCTTCATGTCTTGGTTGTTCAAATTCCCACTGCATTCATCCCATTGTAATTTTAATACATTTGATAACTTTTAAACATCTTCATACAACAGAATTACATATAACTTATTAGGATGAATAACATTTCAAAAGATATATTTTGACTTCTTGTTAGTATATTGAGTTTTAACTGCAAAGACTTTTATTTTTGTTCCTTTAAAAATACAATATATAAGAATTCTACAGTGAAATATTTACAAAACAGTCCAATGTCTCAATCATGTTAAGAGGAAGGTTACATTGAAAAGAGATTTACTTCTCGGCTGGCTGTGGGGGGGATCAGTTATTCTCCTTTCAAAAAGGTTGAAGAGAGACAACAGACTTCGTTTACAATCTGTGAGCCTGCTGGGTTGCCACGTCTGTGCTGCAGCAGCAGCATTTATATTTTGACACTGGCTGGCAAAGCGCAGCAACATTTTATAAAGATCCTAAACCAGAAACTGGAGTGGATCAACAGTTATTTTCTAATCCTAAGAAGCCACGTTATTGTTTTGTTTCACTCAAAGATCGAGTGAAGCAGGTTAGAGGCTAACACTGAGCTAACAATGCTAACGGTGAATTAGAAATTAATAGTCTGCTTCAACAATATGTCAAGCTACTTTTTCAATTACCAACAACTCAACATTACAGTGAAATGTATTTCTTTGCTTACCAACTTACTCTGAATGACTTGTCTTCGCTTGTCATCTAGAATCTTCTAGCACTGATCTGTAGCAGGCAACAGCCATTAAACTCATGGAAAGGTAGATAAAAAGTCACTAGTGTGTTTGGAAAATGGGCTGCAGTAACAACATTTGACCACCTGATGCCATTTTTACTTCATACTTACATAATGCACCTTTAAATTGTAGATACATGTACTCAAAATTGTAATGAAGCACAACAAAGGGTAACACTTAAGAATAAGGTCCCTTTATTAACATAACTTAGTGCATTATTACGCATTAATAAACAAATAATTCCTTTATTAACGTTCTTCATATTGTTCAGTGTCCTTAATGTTGGGACAAAGGGCTGGGGAGTGTTTACTTAGTAATGCATTACTTAATATTAACATTAATTTTTAGCAGTTAATACTTTATTTTATAGTTTATTGATGCTTAATAGTGCACTAAGTAACATTAATAAACAGACCCTTATTGTGAAGTTCATAATGTAAACCTAAATGATTTCTTACATAATACAAATGTAGCTATTAAGCACTTTATCTCTATTGATATCATATTGGAATATAAAATTTCTATACATTTTTATTTTATTGAAGCAAAAATATGTGCATATTAAGTTAGTTTAAAGGGGTGTTTAATTTGTCCTATGTGACCCTGTAACAGTCCTTGGCTCAGTGGTTGTAGATAATTTTGGTAGATTATTGTGAATTAAAAGAGCTCAAAAAATGTAGTGACAATTATCATCTCTTCACCGTATAGGTCCTTCTCAAAAAATTTGCATATTGTGATAAAGTTCATTATTGTCTGTAATGTACTGATAAACATTAGACTTTCATATTAGATGCATTACACACAACTGAAGTAGTTCAAGCCTTTTATTGTTTCTGATATTGATGATTTTGGCATACAGCTCATGAAAACCCAAAATTCCTATCTCAAAAAATTAGCATATTTCATCCGACCACTAAAAGAAAAGTGTTTTAATACAAAAAAGTCAACCTTCAAATAATTATGTTCAGTTATGCACTCAATACTTGGTCGGGAATCCTTTTGCAGAAATGACTACTTCAACGTGGCATGGTGGCAATCAGCCTGTGGCACTGCTGAGGTGTTATGGAAGCCCAGGATGCTTCAATAGTGGCCTTAAGCTCATCCAGAGTGTTGGGTCTTGTGTCTCTCAACTTTCTCTTCACAATATCCCACAGATTATCTATGGGGATCTGGTCAGGAGAGTTGGCAGGCCCATTGAGCACAGTAATACCATGGTCAGTAAACCATTTACCAGTGGTTTTGGCACTGTGAGCAGGTGCCAGGTCATGCTGAATAATGAAATCTTCATCTCCATAAAGCTTTTCAGCAGATGGAAGCATGAAGTGCTCCAAAATCTCCTGATAGCTAGCTGCATTGACCCTGCCCTTGATAAAACACGGTGGACCAACACCAGCAGCTGACATGGCACCGCAGACCATCACTGACTGTGGGTACTTGACACTGGACTTCAGGTGTTTTGGCATTTCCCTCTGCCCAGTGTTCCTCCAGACTCTGGCACCTTGATTTCCGAATGACATGCAAAATTTGCTTTCATCCGAAAAAAGTACTTAGGACCACTGAGCAACAGTCCAGTGCTTCTTCTCTGTAGACCAGGTCAGGCGCTTCTGCTGCTGTTTCTGGTTCAAAAGTGGCTTGACCTGGGGAATGCGGCACGTGTAGCCCATTTCCTGTGTATGGTGGCTCTGGATGTTTCTACTCCAGACTCAGTCCACTGCTTCTGCAGGTCCCCCAAGGTCTGGAATCGGTCCTTCTCCTCAATCTTCCTCGGGGTACGGTCTCCTCTTCTCGTTGTGCAGCGTTTTCTGCCACACTTTTTCCTTCCCACACACTTCCCACTGAGGTGCCTTGATACAGCACTCTGGGAACAGCCTATTCATTCAGAAATGTCTTTCTGTGTCTTACCCTCTTGCTTGAGGGTGTCAGTGATGGCCTTCTGGACAGCAGTCAGGTCGGCAGTCTTACCCAGGATTGCGGTTTTCAGTAATGAACCAGGCTGAGAGTTTTTAAAAGCTTCAGGAATCTTTTGCAGGTGTTTAGAGTTAATCAGCTGATTCAGATGATTAGGTTAATAGCTCGTTTAGAGAACCTTTTCATGATATGCTAATTTTTTGAGATAGGAATTTTGGGTTTTCATGAGCTGTATACCAAAATCATCAATATTAGAAACAATAAAAGGCTTGAACTATTTCAGTTGTGTGTAATGCATCTAATATATATGAAAGTCTAATGTTTATCAGTACATTACAGAAAATAATGAACTTTATCACAATATGCAATTTTTTGAGATGGACCTGTATATAAAAAAGCTTTTAAATGTCATCATTATTGACCTGATTGACATAATGTTGCAGCAAATTCTTTAAAACTATTCAGTTAAGCAGCTTTAGTTTGACAAAGCAGTTTCAAGCTTACAATAATTGAGACAACGTGAACGACAGCCTGTTAATGACATGCCTTGTGTGGTTGTTTTCCGTTCTGCCTACAGCCTTTTCTGTTAAGGCAGTGGGATATAGTCAAGATTTATTGTTTTTGAGTTGTACCAATATTTAAGACAGCATTTTCCTACGAAAAACAAATTATAAAAAAAAATCAGAAATAATTTAGAAAATCTCTACTTTATGTGCAGTAATCTTTATTTAAAAATTGTGGATATTTGTGCAAACATGTAGAAACTGATATTTTTTGTGCTGATAAACGACCAACATTGTGTTTTTGTGAGATTTTGTGTTAACAGTGAAGGGGTAGAAATGTGATTTGAGTCCCAAAACAGAATGGCTCTCATGTGCTGGTCCCCTCAGAAGGGGGATGGGGAACAAAGCAGCCATTCATGGCTGCTGTCACTGCCGTCAGATGGAGAAAACTGTTTACACGGGCTTCCAAGATTTGTACAGCTCTCGGTTTTTCTTTTTCACTATTCTCTCTGCCTTTCTCTCATTTCTGTCCACTTCTCTCCCCTCTCCCTAGGAATGAGTATCGAACATTACGACAGGCCGTCATAGACATGGTGCTCGCAACTGAAATGACCAAACACTTTGAACATGTCAACAAATTTGTGAACAGCATCAACAAACCCTTGGCTGCACTGGAGGAGAATGGGGTGAGATTAAAAATTTTGAATCTTTTTTTTCTGAATAAAACTCAAATTTATTGAAATTGATTAATGTTGTGGGTCAGGAAAGAGAAGGAAAGGATGCACCTCATTCTATCACACATCTTTACGTCTAACGTAACAGTGAGAACAGAACAATGGTTTAAAACTTCAGAGATGACAATGTTTCAGGGGATCCATGTTTTGCTACGTGTGCACAGGAGAGAATTTTACATCTTGGCACCATCTTTCTCATGCCTGTGTGGAATCATCTCGTTGGACATTTAAAAGCTGTCATGTCTTTTGAAAAATATGAATAATTGACACTACATCAGACAATTGTTTCATATAGACCGCAACTGAGCTTTAGTTAATAACATTATTTTTACTCACTAAATTGTAACTCCAAACTTTGCTTTCTACACTCATACACAGTCAGTTATATTTTAAATAATTGGGCTGATGAGTTTGATAAGTAGAATGTTTTAGCTTTGCTTTGTCTAACAGTTTATTTTTTATGTTTAGGGAAACAATGATGAGGAATCGGTCAAGAGCATACTGACTTCTCCTGAGAATCGCATCCTTGTTAAGCGGATGCTGATTAAATGCGCAGACATCTCCAATCCATGCAGGCCTTTGGAGCTGTGCATAGAATGGGCTGGACGCATCTCAGAGGAGTATTTTGCACAAGTAAATGGAAAATATTAATAGCTTTCAATGATATGTGAAAAAGGATCCAGTAAGCAATACTATAGATTTTGTAATTTAGTCATATTTGTACTTAATGGTCACCTGTGCTCTTTTCTCTGGTTACAGACAGATGAAGAGAAGAGACAAGGTCTACCAGTGGTTATGCCTGTGTTTGACAGGCACACGTGTAGCATCCCAAAGTCCCAGATTTCCTTTATAGACTACTTCATTACAGACATGTTTGATGCATGGGATGGTAAGGCAGCACATTTTAACGTGAAAACGTATGCTCTCTTTCTAAAATAAACTAAATGGATCTTAAAGCTGTTTTAAAAATCAGTCCATGACAAGTTTCAGCTACTGTACTAAATACTCATAAAATTCTGCATGCAAAAGTGAACACCCAATGCAGCTTTTTTACAGGTTACATGTTCAAGCTGTTATAGCGAATCTACAGAACAAGCTAGGCAGGAACCATATAAGAAGCCCACAGGCCATTTCTCCAAACACCACAAATCTTACATACAGAGAATGCAGAATTATTAGGCAAATGAGTATTTTGTCCACATCATCCTCTTCATGCATGTTGTCTTACTCCAAGCTGTATAGGCTCGAAAGCCTACTACCAATTAAGCATATTAGGTGACGTGCATCTCTGTAATGAGAAGGGGTGTGGTCTAATGACATCAACACCCTATATCAGGTGTGCATAATTATTAGGCAACTTCCTTTCCTTTGGCAAAATGGGTCAAAAGAAGGACTTGACAGGCTCAGAAAAGTCAAAAATAGTGAGATATCTTGCAGAGGGATGCAGCAGTCTTAAAATTGCAAAGCTTCTGAAGCGTGATCATCGAACAATCAAGCGTTTCATTCAAAATGGTCAACAGGGTCGCAAGAAGCGTGTGGACAAACCAAGGCGCAAAATAACTGCCCATGAACTGAGAAAAGTCAAACATGCAGCTGCCAAGATGCCACTTGCCACCAGTTTGGCCATATTTCAGAGCTGCAACATCACTGGAGTGCCCAAAAGCACAAGGTGTGCAATACTCAGAGACATGGCCAAGGTAAGAAAGCCTGAAAGACGACCACCACTGAACAAGACACACAAGCTGAAACGTCAAGACTGGGCCAACAAATCTCTCAAGACTGATTTTTCTAAGGTTTTATGGACTGATGAAATGAGAGTGAGTCTTGATGGGCCAGATGGATGGGCCCGTGGCTGGACTGGTAAAGGGCAGAGAGCTCCAGTCCGACTCAGACACCAGCAAGGTGGAGGTGGAGTACTGGTTTGGGCTGGTATCATCAAAGATGAGCTTGTGGGGCCTTTTCGGGTTGAGGATGGAGTCAAGCTCAACTCCCAGTCCTACTGCCAGTTTCTGGAAGACATCTTCTTCAAGCAGTGGTACAGGAAGAAGTCTGCATCCTTCAAGAAAAACACGATTTTCATGCAGGACAATGCTCCATCACACGCGTCCAAGTACTCCACAGCGTGGCTGGCAAGAAAGGGTATAAAAGAAGAAAAACTAATGACATGGCCTCCTTGTTCACCTGATCTGAACCCCATTGAGAACCTGTGGTCCATCATCAAATGTGAGATTTACAAGGAGGGAAAACGGTACACCTCTCTGAACAGTGTCTGGGAGGCTGTGGTTGCTGCTGCACGCAATGTTGATGGTGAACAGATCAAAACACTGACAGAATCCATGGATGGCAGGCTTTTGACTGTCCTTGCAAAGAATGGTGGTTATATTGGTCGCTGATTTGTTTTTGTGTTGTTTTTGAATGTCAGAAATGTATATTTGGGAATGTGGAGATGTTATATTGGTTTCACTGGTAAAAAATAAATAATTGAAATGGGTATATATTTGTTTTTTGTTAAGTTGCCTAATAATTATGCACAGTAATGGTCACCTGCACACACAGATATCCCCCTAAAATAGCTAAAACTAAAACAAACTAAACTACTTCCAAAAACATTCAGCTTTGATATTAATGAGTTTTTTGGGTTCATTGAGAACATGGTTGTTGTTCAATAATAAAATTATTCCTCAAAAACACAACTTGCCTAATAATTCTGCACTCCCTGTATGTTGTATGTATGGTGGTTTGGTAAGATCAACAACCAGATGATCCGTTTTTTAGACAAATGCCAGAGAACCACTTAACTTATTTTTTCCATCTCCACAATATATTTATAGATGTACTATGTTGGAACGTTTTTAAGAGGAATGAAAATTTATTTTTATTTTAAATTTGCTATGGCAGCTTTAAAGATCACTATGCAAATTTTTCATATTTTTAAATAATTTTCTTGAGCCATTATGTGCTAAAATGACCCTTTACAGCAGGGGCATTCAATTCTGGGCCTGGAGGGCCAGTTTCCAGCATGTTTTAGTTTTAACTCTGTTTCAACACACCTGATTTCAATCAGCAGACAATTTAACAGGCTTCAGCAGAGCCTGGTGAGCTGCTGCTCTGGTGATTGAACCACTGAATCAAGTGTGTTGGAGCAGAGAAACCACTAAAACGTGCTGGATACCAGCCCTCCAGGAATGGAATTGAATATCCTGGTCTTACAGGGTTAGTGAAAGGCCACCCAGCGCCTATCGCCCCCCTGTGGCCAGAATATTCCACTTGCCTGTTGAGTCTGTTGGACTTTTAAAAAATGGAGCTGACATACCTGGCACTGCAGTCTGCTTCCAGCATGTTTCCTGCATGTTTTAGATCATGAACACAGCTGATTATTTTAATTTAGTGATGAACCGCTCCTGTAAACACTAATAAAGGCTGAGGAGACATTTCAGCTGTTGGATTAAGTAAGGTGACAAACACAAAGGGAGGAGATAGATTTTGCTTTTGGCTATACTAAACGGACACTAGGGGGTGCTAAAAGCAAGCCAAAAATGCCCAGTCTCCCGTTAAAAGTGTGCCACACAGTGTCTGATCTCTGCTTCTTCTCTCATCGCCACAGCCTTTGCAGACCTCCCCAATCTAATGCAGCACTTGGACAACAACTTCAAATACTGGAAAGGCCTGGATGAGCGGAAGCTGCACAGCCTGAGACCCCCTCCTGAGTAGATCTGGTTCAGCCCTGGAATACCACATACCGGGGAAGGCCATCTTCTTTCCTGCTGGGGTGTCGCTCTCCCTACCAGCCCAGCCAGCCGCAAGGCCTCCTCGCCTTCACTCTCCTGCTTCTGTAGCACGCCGAGCGTCCACATGTCCGTCCATACTGAAACCGCAGAGGGACTTCCGGACGCCGCAGTAACGATGCTGGCTTTACAAGCCTGTCAGACGAGGACTGTGACAAGAAGACACAGATAAACAAGCATCCTCATGAACTTCTCGTGCCTCTCAGGCATTTTTTTGTGGTGTAGCTGGTCAAGTGATGTGACTGAGAGAGGGTCCGCTCAGGTCCCTCAGCAAAGCATCCATCCTCTGATTACCATGTAGGCATGCCTGCCTGCCTGTAAGGTTGCTGTTAGGAGTAAAAACTGCTTGTTTACAGAAAGAGAGGGCAGAAGTGGGGTCTGCAAATGACGGAGCCTAGTCCCCATCAGACCATGTAATCACTTTTGACCTCCGCTCCTGTGCTCACAGCGAGACAGGACTGCTCTGTGAAACATTTGGAGGCTGCACCATAAAAGTACACTCCACTGCTTATCTTTTGTTTTGTTTGTTGGTTTTCAGGCAATATTTTCACGTGTCCTTCAGAAACACTAAGTTGACACACACAGCTGTTGTAACAGACACGTATGTGGGCGTGCTTCCTTTTGGGTCAGGGAGTGGACCTTTAGTCTAGGCCACTTCTAAGAGACAACACTTCAACATCTTGATCATAGGGATCTCATTACAAGTGATTTGGTAAGGCAAGTTTTCTTAAAAGGTTTCATATTTTCTATATTAAAATCTATAAATAAATTTGTTGATCAATAAGAATGAAATGCATTTAACAAGACCGAGAAAAGCCAAAGTTAATGAAGATGAGTACTACTACAACTCTAAAAATGACAACGATTATTCATAAGATGCATTACTTTATTAAACATGTTTATTTTCATATCAAGAGTACAGTACCAGTTTGAATGATCCCTTTTGTATTGCACTGTAAACAATATGAGAAATGTCTACGTCTCAGTGATTTGTCTAGGAATGGGATGTTGCATTGAAGAGTAAGCTGTTGAATTGTTGAATATTGTGAGTGAGTGAGTGAGTGAGTGAGTGAGTGAGTGAGTTTTGGTTGTTAGTGTGAGTGCATGGGCGTATTCATTGTTGCAACAATCCCTTACTCTTGGTTTCATGCTGTAAACCGCTTGACATTTGACAACAGCAGAAATATGTGACAAGATTTTGGACTTGAAACATTTTTCCTCCCAGAAATTTTTGTACCTGGTTTATCCTACTGAAAAAGATTGCCTTATTTTGTACGCTATTTATACAGTACACCCCACTGTGCAACTGCAGCAGACATCTGGAGTTTTTCTTATAACACAGTCGGAAGGTTATCTTCAAGTAAATCTCAATATTTTTATAGACGATGAATTTTACACTGGATTTGCAGCAGATAAGATCAACCATTACAGCTATCTGAATACCTGTGATTGAGAGAGCCTCACAGAGCATGTATACAGAGCACTAAATGGTAAAGCAGGATTTGGATTGCAAAGTTGTCTATCACTGTCTAAGCAGTCTCCTAGAGGCCAGCTTGCATTGATTTTTTTTCTTGATCAAATGCCGTTTTATTTTGGCCAATCGTCCAACATTCTTATGCACAGACCTGGGTAACATATTTTTTCCTTAAGGGTGGATTCAGATTAGGATACTAATAATGTGTTAAAAGATTGTTGCTTATTAGGAATATTTCCTCATTAAACAGTATATAAATGCCATAACAGCTAAGCAAGTGGTGGTTAATAAGATGCATTAACTGCAGTTTATTTTGTTTCTCTCTTATGGCAAAATTGTACACTCAATCAGGGGATTTGTTTGTTCCTTCTGATTTAAGTTTTGGTCTGAAGGCACGGAAAAAATGAGCAATTATTCAATGAAAATAAAATAATGTCAACCATATGATTGCAGTCTTATTTTCAGCAAACTGATGAATATCAGGCTTCTTATATATCCATCAATCAATCAATCAATTTTATTTGTAGAGCACCTTCCACAACGTTATCAGAAGCCCAAGGTGCTGAACAGCATCATCATAAAAAACATTCCCAATACCTGGGCATGAAAGCAAGATAAAAACATAAAATCATAAAATAACAAGCAAGCAATATTAAAAATACAGAAAGATAACGGAATAAGACTAATCAATTAAAAACAAATGGTGGACAAAATAAGATCAAGCATCCTGATCAAAAGAAGTATTAAAAACTATAATATCAGGGCAATTCAATGAACCCTATCGCTGAAAAGCAATCAAATAAAAAGTCTTTAGACGAGACTTAAAGACTTGAAGGGACGGTGCCTGCCTAATGCTCAATGGCAATTCATTCCACAGAGTTGGAGCCAAAACAGAAAATCACGATAACCCCTCGATCGATATTTCGACCAGGGGACCACCAGACGTCCCTGCTCGGCTGAGTGAAGAGACCGAGATGGAGCATGCCTGTGCAAAAGTGCAGTAATGTAAGAGGGGGTACTGCCCTGGAAGGCTTTATAAACGAGAGTTAAGATTTTAAATTTAGCTCAGAATTGCACCGGGAGCCAGTGCACAGCATCCAGCACTGGGGTAATGTGATCTCGACATCTAGTACCTGTCAGGAACCTAGCCACTGAGTTCTGCACAAATTGGAGACGTGCAACCGTGCACTGGGCCAGACCGGCATATATGCATCCATCTGTCCTCTAATTGTTATTTACACATGAATGGACTGGATGTTTGTGTTTAATTTGGATGTTTATTGAAAGTTTACTGCTAAAACTTTGTTTTGTGTAACTCTATATTATGAAATCCAACAATTCCATTCAAACATGTATAACAGGAAGTAACCGTTGACAGATCTAGGATCAGAGAGGACAGCTGTGAAGAGGTTAGAGGCAGTAACAATAAGACCGATTTCCCCAAGACTTAACTATAATTCAAAAAAATAAAGATGTCATACAATCTCACTGTTACCAAATTGGAATGATATTTAAAGAATTTATTTGCAAACCTGATAACCATTTTTCATTTTCAAAAATATCTACTAAGCAAATGTCAAAACAAAATTTTGTTTGTAATTTTAAACAAAAAAGGTTTTAGTCTTTTTGTAAATCAATTCTTCATTTGTAATTAAAATGTAATCATTTGAACTGAATGCCTTTTCAAAAACGAATGCAAATGCTTCCTCTTGCAAAACAGTCCATATTATTATTATTATTATTATTATTATGTATAATACTGCACAGTATATTATAAAAACACATTTTATATCTTTGTTTTAAACAAACTATTTTCTAAGACAAAGTAGAACGTGCCTTTGGTATTTTCCCAGTCAGTTAAATCCAGTTCTCATTTTGAGTTCATCTGAGTTGGACCAGTTAAACCCAGACAATAATTCAAAAGTAATTCTTCAGCTTAATTTTTGTTTATTTATTTTGCCACAGAATAAATTTAATCTGAATGAAAGTGCATTATTGCAATTTAGTTGAAGTAGAATTATACAAAGTTTTTTTTTAAAATAAAACTATCATCCTCACACTCGGTCTGCACTTTAAACAGTTTCTAGATTGTTTTAAAATATGTCAGAAAACGTACAAATAAAGGATGGCAACTTGACAATTTGTGACAATTTTGAATGAGCCTCGTCTACGTACGTAGCTGTTTGTGGGAGATTGGTTTATGGACCCTCATACGTAAACGTTACGTAACACAAGAACAGCTCAACTTCCGTCTCTGACTAGACACTGCGACAACTCGTCAGAGGAAACCGTCGGGGAGAGAGAATGAGCTAATGGCTGCTGCTGTTCAGCGCACACAACTATAAACATAGTCTTTTTAGTGTGGTGGGGTAGTGATATGTCTTCAGGAATGACAGGACAAACTCGGTAAGCATTATTTTATTAGAAAGAGCATTTCTGTCTCGAGAAAGCATGCTAACATTCTTAAACTGGAAAGCTGTTCGGCTAAGCTAACGCTAACCTTAGTGCGGCTTGGCCTAATAGTAAAAGCTATTTATATGTCGATGAGTAAAAGTTATCCTGCGGGATATTCGTTGATCTTTAAAATCGTTCAATGATATGTCGTCCTTTTAATTGTTCGCAAACTAAGTCTGAATACTCATTCTTGTATTTGAATTGGTTATGTTGGGGAAATGGCGATCAAAATAGACTCGCTGCTTCATATTTCAGTTAGCTCATACTTAGCTTCAGTGTCTGATAAAAGCTAACGTGTTTGCCCGATAATTCGCTACCTGCTAAACAGTAGATGGTTATAGAGCCTAAACAACCCGAATGTGACTGATAGGTGCATAGTTTGCAGAAAATGATTTATTTATTTCACAATTCAAGTAGTTTCCAGGGCATTGTAAAAGCCATGTCTGTTAATGTGATGAATGTATTTACGACCTTAATCAGCTGCTCGGCTTCAATTTCAAACCACCTGATGTCGGTAAATGTCTTATTCTTAGGCGATTATGTGATATGTTAACCTCCAGTAAACGGTAACGTTTAATTTTTCTGTGTTTCAAAAGTTGGATTACCCCTTTGATGCATGAATTATGAAATCTTCAACCATGATTTTTTTTTTAATTTCATTCATCTTTAGGTGTGAATGAAACAGATTTCGACAAATACTTTTTGTAACATTTAATAATTTACAAATATTTTATTACATGTCCACCTCAGTGGACAGCGTGCATTCTGAACATGAAATATGTTGGCTTGACTTACTGAAGTCCACATGGAGGGGCTCAAATGCAATAAAGTCTTCAACAGCTGTGCTTAATAGCAAAATAAATAAATAAATGAAATAACAATTTTGAGTACCTGTCCACTGTAGTGACCATTATGCATCAAAGTGTTTAGCTAGTTTGTGACAGTCGTGGCTTTTCCTAAAATGTGTCTGTTTAAACACATTTTGATCACCAGTTTGAATTTTTGTGATCTTTAGTATATATGAAGTTTCATATTAATCAAACATATGTGTTTTCCTTAGGCCACACGTGTCAGCCATTGGGATGAGCCCAAACCTGTGTTGTAACATTTATGGTGTTCTGTTTGCTTTTTGTTTTCCAGCTGCGTAACCAGCCGCTGGGACAAGCCAGCCCGACCTAAAGAGAGCGCAGGTGTACAGCCGAAGCAGAAGAGTATTGAAAATGCAGCTCGCCCTGTGTCTTTATCAGGAGTTGTTGGAACTGCTGGTTTAAATAGCAAAGTTTCTCAGCAACCAGAAACTGAGGAAAAGCCAGCACAGGGAGGAGTTGAGATGGCAGCTGCTATGGCTGCTAAAATAAATGCAATGCTAATGGCAAAAGGGAAGCTTTTGACTCCTCCGCCATTGCCAGCAAAGGTACCTTTTTTATATAAAATGTGAGTCGGTTTTTGCAATAATAAAGGGTTTAAATTTTTCATTAACACTTTTCTTTTTTAGATCATATCTCCAAGTATCCCAGTACCAGCCCTTATAGAAGAAATGGTGGTCACAGAAGTAGATATAAACGATGTGCCACTAAATTGCAGAGACCTTCTGACTAAAGGCAAAACACAAGAGGAGGTAACACAACACACCTAACTCTGGAAGTCAGTACACATGAAAAGTTGTAAATCACCCAATATCCCTCAACTCTGTTATTTTATTTTTATCAGATTAGACAGTTTAGTGGAGCCATTGTCTCAACTAAAGGTCACTACATGACTGACGTTGAAAAGGGAAGTACAGGAGGGTATGTACACTTGTTTAACTCTTGTTCAGACCAAGTAGTTGTGCATTTATTCTCTTTAGTGTTTACGCTTTAAAACGGGCTAAGTGCCCTGAATGTGTCTACACTTAACATTTCAGTCATTTCAAAACATGTTAAAACAAAGTTAACACATTTAGTCCATATGAGTGTTTTTTGTATTTATTATTGTGTACATTTTGTTAGAAAAATTCTGAAGCGTCATCCATCACATAACCCACAATTTAGCAGTCAGGGAGTGGTAAACCTACTACCACTCCCATGGTGTTAGTCATTAACACTGCGTGTGTGAATGAGATCTGGTGCCTGTGGCTAAAGCAACGTGTGGTATGATCGTTTGAAAGATATGCAAGATGGTTCCTAAAATACATAGTTTTTTGTGTTCTTTGCTCCTGTTGACAGACAACAGAGCAAGTATGAAATTGTTAAACAAATGCAATACAAAATGTAAATAAGCAAGGAGTTAATAATTCATAGACCTTCAACTTTGTGGGGAAACAGAAAATGGTATGTGAGTGAAGTGACTTTTCTAACAGCTTCTTTCTTTTAGGCAAAGACCTCTGTATCTTCATGTGCAGGGAAAGACCCAAGAGCAGGTCAATAGTAAGTAGCTCTAAAAATCATTTAATAAGCCAAATTGGACGTTGTCCTACTTTAAAATTTGTGAGCAGTTTTGTAAAAAATGGCTAAGCTTCTGTTTACGGTACATTACAGATGTCTAACTCTCTTTTTCTCTACCACAATAGAGGCTGTGTTAAGAATAAAGGAGATCATCTCTGAAGATGTGTTGAGAGCTTCAGCAGCCTCAGGAGGACAGGCTCCTGTCATACCGCCCCTCACGCTCTATCCTCAGCCTCCTCGGCCTGTCATTCCCCCTTCTGCACCACGTATGCCCAACGCCACCGCAGTGCCAGGCCAGGGGCATCGACCTGCAGCTCCTCACACAGGGGTGGGTAATTAGTTCAGCCGTGTCTCAGTGTAAACAGATGTCAAATACATTGTAAGACTTTCTTGCAATTGAGTACCTAATCTTATCACGTAATATTTGGGTTTATATAACAGTGTATCTCAACTGAAGCATGTATATGATGTACCACTGTTACAAAATATAAACTTTTTTTCTTAATCAGACATTTAGCCACAGGCAGTATTTTACATACGGGGGTTAAGAAAGTGAGGCAAATGAAGCTGGTTGCCTTCACTGATACCTACCTCCAAGAGAAATTAGCAGAGAGAACATCCATGGTGTACAGAGACAAGCCCTGGATGACTGCATTTGCTAACAAATACATTCTAATGCCAAATAGATACGGTGTACACCTACATGATTGTAGAAGTTGATCGGCTGTTTGCTTTATCTTTAGAGTTTTGTGCACACAAAGATATTTGTGGGTCTGGACCAAGCATTGCCTTCATTCAATGTAAAGGAGAAGGTTGAGGGTCAAGGAGGTTCGTATCTGAGTCATATCCAGACAGAGACGGGGGCTCGGGTCTTCCTCAGAGGAAAAGGGTCTGGTTACATTGAACAAGCATCCAAACGAGAGTCTTTTGAGCCTCTTTATGTGTACATCAGGTATGTTTATTGATGTTTCTTTAAACCAATGAAAACCTGTAACTTTTCATGTTCAGAAGTATTTTTTAGAGGCATAAAAAGATGTATGTTTTGGTCATGGCCCACTTCAAGGATCTGTGCATCATATAGTAAATGTTCTTTGTGTGTGTGTGTGTGTGTCAAGTCTGCTTCATTTTTCAACAATAGTTCTTTGTGTGTTGCAGCCACCCAAATGCAGTTGGGCTGGAGTCAGCAAAGAAACTCACTGAGAGTCTGTTGGAAACTGTAAGTTGGTGATATTTCCACTGTAGGAGAAGTGTTATTGAGTTTATCTGAACTAGCCCTTAATCTGTTAGGAGGTAAAAGAAGGTGAAACTGCTCAAGCGTATAGTTTTCACTGATACCCACCTCCAATATTGAATGTGGTAGTGTGAACCACCAGATCTCCAGTGATAGATCTCGAGTGCTCTGCACCTACCCACAATCCCATTACTTAGAATGAATCAATGAAGCCTTTGTGGGATTTGCCTTGCTTATGAATTAGTTCTTGTTTTCTCTTGTTCTCCAGGTGAGAGCCGAGCATGCCCAAATGGTGTCAGTGTACACAGCCACAGGCTCAACACAACGTGAGTATTTTATTACATATATTAAAGAGATGGGTATGCTCAAACAAGTTGACCAAATATCAGCTGTGGAATGGCTGCATTCTTCTTTTGATTAATGCATCCCCTCTTAAAGTTTAGTTGTGGCTCCGCAGTTTGTTGAAATAGTTAGATCCGTGTGGTGTTTTACATTAATTAAAATTTTAACTGTCCTTTCAGCATATGCAGCACATGGGTATCCATCCAATAGCAGCTACTCTAGCCAGGCGTCCTGGTATACCTACCCAGCAAACGGGTATACTGGAGGATACGCAGCATATCCTGGAGCCGGTGCTTATTGGAGTAATACCGATGGTCCTCCATGTCAGTCCAACACATCAACAAACACTTCATCTTCCCAAGGCATGGTTCAGTATCCAATGTGTCCAAGGAAACCACATCCCTATATTGTCCAGGTGATTACTACGGCTTAAGTGTTAGTTGCTGAATTCTAGTTTCTGTTTCACGCCAAAAACATAAAAACCTTTCAACTCCTTTAGTGAGTTGTAATGAGATTATTTTCTTGGCTGAATCAGTGTGTGTGTATATAAGTTGGTTGTGCTCTACTTATTAAGGATCCAGGCAACAGTGACACGATGGAGCCTGGGGCATCTTTAAACATCCCCCCTGACTCAGGAAGTTCCAAACAGCATTCCCAAGAAGGGGATAAGGATGAAGAGGTTAGCTGGAGCACTGATTTCTACCATTAATGTGGAACAGAGAGGCACACAGATGTTTTCCTTCAGTAACTTATTACACATCTGCTGTTTTACACCCATTTTCATTATTGCAATCATTCTTTTCACACTAAAATAACACATTGAAGATGTCCTAGTAAAGGTTAGCGTATTGGTTATGGTGCATTCTGACTGACCAACCACGCCGTTTACGGTCCAGCTTTAAAACATTTGCTTTGGTCATCAGCTGAGCTTTTGTTATACGCTCTCCCAGATTTTATGATTCTCAGGAAAAAATGTTAATATTAAAACCCCAAATGTTACTGGAAACGAGCCGGTGTCGAAAGTAGCTTTTTGTTTTAAGCAGAGCTAAAAATAAAAAAGTATTCAGACTTCATGTTCTTAGCAGTAGATAAAATATTCTAAAGCCAGGAGGTTTTATATTGTTTTTGGTACATTTTTAAAATGTCTTTTTTAAATTAAATTTAATATAAATTTCCCTGTAGCCTAAGAGCTGCTTTCCAGAGTGTCCTGCTCATCTGGAGTCAACTCTTCCTTCAACTGGAGTCATGGCGGAAACGGTAGTAGAAAGGTCTGTTGATATGTTTTAGTCTCACTTGTATCATTTTCAAATCCATTTTGGTGTAAATAAAAAATGTTTTTATATATATATATATATATATATATATATATATATATATATATATATATATATTTTTTTTTTTTTTTTTAGAATACTGATGCCTCCACCACCGCCTGTCTTTGTGGCCCCTGTTCCTCCTCCTCCTACTTCACCTGCTCCTGCTCCAGCTTTACGCAAAAGAGAGAGAGAAGTTGTGATAGAAGAACCGGCTAGCCTTCCCATCAGCGCCGCATCATTGGGTATGCGTTCCTTCATTTTCAAATGTTCTGAGAGTCCTGAGAACTCGGGATGTTTCTGCTGCGGAGCTGTCTATTGCATGACGTAGCGTCTCCTCCCATGGAGCAATGGGGGAGGAGTGGAGACCTGTATGAATCCCACCACTGATGGAACTCACTAATGCGCTCTTCTTGTATATGTTTTTTGTCTTTCCCTTGTTTTCTCTCTCAACATGTGTCCCCGGACGTGCCTATAATGGATGTGTGCTCTGCTGCCGTTTGATTTGATATCTTCCCTCCTGGCTCTGGATCAAACGCACTGAAAAACCACCGCTTATGTGGGGCTCCTCAATGGGTTTCCATTTGGTTTTGCTCTCTCTCTCTCTGACCCCATCCCTCTCTTCTTTCATGTCTCCCACTTCCCTGTTTTTTTTTTCTCTTGTCTTTTTTCTTGTGACCTTCCAGATGTTCCAGACGAGGTGTGTGTGAAGAAGACTAGAGTGAACCTAAATGCTTCTGGGCTTGTGCCCTATGGAGGAGATTCCTCAGATGAAGAGGAGGAGAGGACACGCAGCAGTAAGACAGAAAACTCATAACTTCTGCCAGCCCTACCCCCCCGTCCCAAGATATCCACACATCCAGCAAATCCACACAATTCTCCAACTCTTCAGAAAAGTCCACCCTTACATGACCATACGTTGTTATGGACTTTAAGCTTTTTGGGATGTGTAAGCTTATTTCTGTCATTTTCTGAACTACGAGATTTTTTAAAAATCTTAGAAAAAATACTTTTTTTTTTTTTTTTCATTTCTGTGTTTCAGTTATCCTGAATCACAGAATGTTTACTGGTACAAGTAGCTTTTAACCTGTCCAGGGGGGAGCCTTAAACTGATGTTCATTTGTAGAGATATGTACATTTACCCACCAGCTCATTCAACCTCGGTGTGCATTTATTTGCAAACAACTCATTTTGCAGTCGCTTTTCATTTGACAGTGTTGCAGGTGACGTTTTTAGAAAACTCAAATCATCTTCTTTTTTTTTCTAATTTGTATTATGTTCATCATTGTTGAAGCTTCACTTTTTCTTTGTTTTTATCTGACCCTAAATTATGCCCAAATTCTCTTTAGACTAGGAGAGAAAAAGCTTTAAAAGCACATCAGCGGACACTTTAATTATGGAAGTACAGGGTGGACTTTTCCCGTTTCAACATGTGAATTCAGATGTAAATTACCAAACTTTTTTCTTTTTCTTTTTCAATTCATCTTTTGTTACTTAAAAGGCCCTTTTTAAGTCTCATCCCATCTTGCTGCAACAGATGGTTTAAATACATATAAAATCCAGTTAAATCTTTTCTTATCTTGGAAAATGGTGTATGCCTGTTCCCATGGAATACTATAATAAAACACCTAAAACTGTCTCTACTGATTCATTTGAGTTGGGAGTTTACCAAATGTGTTTAAACATTGTTTAATAACATTCATAATGGTCAACATCAGAAACATTCGTTTAGCGCGTTTATTTTTTCACCCGTATGTTGGGAAGAGACGCTTTCTATTAGATGAGTGTGTACTCGGGAGCTTGGATGCCGTTGTGGACCGTGAGTGCTCCTGGGCTGTCCAGGCTAAAACAAGGGTGGACATAGTTTTGAAAGTGACAGTGGAAGGTGTGCAAATGTTGCCCCAGGTTTGCATTGAAGAATGATAGCGTTCCCCCGTCGTAGTCGAGAGCCACTCCGATGCGTGCTGGGTACACGGTGATCCTCAAGTCCGGACTCTGGCCGTTGTGTAGAAACTCATATTTATGCCTTCACAGAAAGAGCCACATTACTATGAGTTTGTTAGTATAAACAGTGTTTAAACAACTCATGGTTGGTTGCCAATAGGAAAGCAGATGCAGACTTATGTGCAAGCAAGATTGTAACTGGCTGCAGATGAAACAAAATGAACAAGACTTAAAATCTGTGAAGGAAGGATTAAAAAGATGCTCACAATAGAATTACATTTGGGGTTTGTGGGACACACTGCTTCAAGTTAAGTCTTAAAAACATCCAGCTTTGCTCCCAAAAATGGTTGCTATAGAAACACTTGGAAGTAACATTTAATGCAGGATATTTCTTTCCTTTAGTGGACTTAGTCTTGCAGAGAGCAGCCTTCTCTCTTTTTTTTGTGAATGATAAATGTTCTAAAATGGGTGTCAAACTCAAATTCACACGGGGCTGAAATGAAACTGGGACGGAGTCGAGGGCCAAACTTAATATTTTTTGAAAAAGTGACGGCAAATTTGCACATTTTCTTTATCAACATATATGCAATTGTGAACCTTTTAATTTAGAAACAAACTTATTTCTGCATTAACACTGAATGTGGAATAACCAAATTACAAACGAGCAAGTCAGTTTTAAATAAAATACATCAGTGGTATTCATTACTTGTGGTATAATCAGCATTTTAAAAATCTATTCAGGATTTATGTTTTCTTGTTTATTCATTTTTCTTATGTTTTATTCTCCTTTTTTCTCCTGTAATAAGTTTCATCGCTGCTGTGACGTCTAGCTTTCCCCACTGAGGAACAATAAAGGGATTTTCACGGGCCAACAACAAAATAAAACTATCATTTTATCTTAAATGAAAATGCAACATCTCACCTGTTAACTTTCATGTTTTGGAGCAGAAAAAGAGCATAAAACCAACATATTTAAAGCTCAGTTTGCTCCGCTGGTTTACTGTGATGCTCACCTGTTCCAGCCAGATACCTGCATCATGGGGTTGATCTGAGCTGAGGAGGAGACTCCTGTTTTTTTGTTCATCTTCATCATAATAATGACAACATTAGATGACAACAGGTGCTCACATAGGTTTGTGCTGCTGAACATGGAGAGCGTCTGAGCAGCTTTACCACGTTGTTATGTGTCGGGGAGGAAAAATAAAAACTACAGCAGTTATATCAGCTCTGGAAGTTAGTTGGTAAACTTTCTCTTTCAGTCGTGAACACATTACTGAGTGGTTAAAATCTCTGTTTCTGGGCTTCAATGTTGGCAAATAGCTGAGTAAACTCGGCTCTGAGTGAGAGGAGTGTTTACTTTATCCGTGACAGCGGAGCTGCAGACGTTGGAAAAAACACAAAGGAGGGGGCGCTTCAGCTCCGTGCTAACGCCGCAAAACATCATGGGAGTTATAGTCTTTTAGGTAAAATTGGCCAGCGGGTCAATTTTAATATATTTTTGAAATTTATCTTGCGGGCCACATAAAAATGCGCCTTGTGTCTGACACGTGTCCTAAAAGCTAAAAATACAGTCTGCCTAGTTTCTCAGATCTGCACTAACTTGTTTTTCAGAGAACCAGCGTGTTCATTTTGGACTTTAGCTGGTCAAAATCCACGTGCTTTGTTGGAAATCAGATTTCTGTCACTAGCAAAGGATTCAATCATCTCAGTGGCAAACCAAACCTACCTAAAACATTTTTATTTATCTCAAATTTGAAGGTTGGAGATGAGCAGGAAGAGTGTCTTTTCCAGAATGACTCATAACCAGAGACTGTGCACCACATTCAGTGTTTAAAGCAGAGACCGACCGATGTGTTTTTTAAGGCCAATACCGATTTTTTTAAAAGAATTTTGTTGCAGATGGTCGACTATATATATATATATATATATATGTGTGTGTGTGTATATATATATATATATATATATATATATATACACACACACACACACACACACACACACACACATATATATATATATATATGTGTGTGTGTGTATATATATATATATATATATATATATATATATATATATATATATACACACACACACACACACACACACATACATGTTTTAGCAGCACATTGATTGTGAAGAAGTTACCACTCACTGTGTGCAATTTAAATTACACAAGTCAATAAATCTCTTAATATTTATTGAACTTCAAATATAAAACACTTAAATGGTGTGTTGGGGTCCTTCGGGCAGTGGCGGATTTAGCAATTTGGGGGCCCAAGGCGAACACAGACATGGGGCCCTTTACACAAAATTTTTGACAATCTTACCTTTAACTAGATTTGCAAAACTCCCCTCTTCTGACATGAGTTATTTTCCCTTTTTATTAGTCCTCCTCTTTTTTCCTGTACTTCTCTCCCTTTGAGCGCTTTCAATATTTGCTCTGCTTTCTTCTTCCTGTCAGTGCTCCTGTGCTTTAGCCTTAGTTATTTTTTTTTTCTATTTTCCATTTTGGTCTGTGTTTTCCTCCCTTTAAACATTTTCCATTGTCTTTCCTTTTCTGCTTCCTGATGTTTACATCGAAAAACGACGCCACTTTCAGAAGAGAAAATAAAAGCTTTTATGAAGCAAGCTGCTGCTTTCTCTTATTGGAGCCACTAGGATAACTCAGTTTCATGCTTAATGTTTTGACTATTGCTTTGAATTTCTTACGAGCACTCCCGCCTCTCTTCTTATTATTTGTGGTCTTATGCCACTTGGCAAACAACAATTTGGTGCATTACCGCCACCAACTGGATTGGAGTTGAATGACTACCAATCACTTCCTGTTTGTGCATCGGTGTCTTAATAACCCTCTTATGACCATAATTATAACAGGGCTCCCTGGTATTTTTTCTTAAGGCTGTAAAATTGTAATAAAAAAATTGCAAAGTGTTCTCCTTTTTTCAGAACAACCTCAGCTTTCAGTGTATGGTTTGTGTTTAGAATTTATTTCTTTTAAAGCCTTTAAAAAATCAGCTTAAAAGTGAAAAAAGCAAAAAACGGATTTGAATTTTTTACATTTATTACTGAACAGGAACTTCAAAATTACTGGGCAAACAATTTGTCGTCTTCGTCTTCCTCCGCTTATCCGGGTCCGGGTCGCGGGGGCAGCATCCCAATTAGGGAGCTCCAGGCCGTCCTCTCCCCGGCCTTGTCCACCAGCTCCTCCGGCAGGACCCCAAGGCGTTCCCGGACCAGATTGGAGATGTAACCTCTCCAACGTGTCCTGGGTCGACCTGGGGGCCTTCTGCCGGCAGGACATGCCCGAAACACCTCCCCGGGGAGGCGTCCAGGAGGCATCCTGACCAGATGCCCAAACCACCTCAACTGGCTCCTTTCGATCCGGAGGAGCAGCGGTTCTACTCCGAGTCCCTCCCGAATGTCCGAGCTCCTCACCCTATCTCTAAGGCTGAGCCCGGCCACCCTACGGAGGAAACTCATTTCGGCCGCTTGTATCCGCGATCTCGTTCTTTCAGTCATTACCCAAAGCTCATGACCATAGGTGAGGATTGGGACGTAGATCGACCGGTAAATCGAGAGCCTGGCTTTCTGGCTCAGCTCCCTCTTCCCCACGACAGATCGGCTCAGCGTCCGCATCACTGCAGATGCCGAACCAATCCGCCTGTCGATCTCCCGATCCCTCCTACCCTCACTCGTGAACAAGACCCCGAGATACTTAAACTCCTCCACTTGAGGTAGGACCTCTCCCCCGACCCGGAGGTGGCAAGCCACCCTTTTCCGGTCGAGAACCATGGTCTCAGATTTGGAGGTGCTGATCCTCATCCCAGCCGCTTCACATTCGGCCGCGAACCTACCCAGCAAGAGCTGAAGGTCAGAGCTGGATGAAGCTAGGAGGACCACATCATCCGCAAAAAGCAGAGACGAGATTCTCCTGCCACCAAACTCGACACACTCCACACCACGGCTGCGTCTAGAAATTCTGTCCATAAAAGTGATGAACAGAACCGGTGACAAAGGGCAGCCCTGGCGGAGTCCAACCCTCACTGGGAACAGGTCCGACTTACTACCGGCTATGCGGACCAAATTCACGCTCCTCTGGTAAAGGGACTGAATGGCCCTTAACAGAAAGCCACCCACCCCATACTCCTGGAGCGTCCCCCACAGGGTGCCCCTGGGGACACGGTCATAAGCCTTCTCCAAATCCACAAAGCACATGTGGATTGGTTGGGCAAACTCCCATGCCCCCTCCATCACCCTTGCAAGGGTATAGAGCTGGTCCACAGTTCCACGGCCAGGACGAAAACCACATTGCTCCTCCTCTATCTGAGATTCAACTATCGATCGGACCCTCCTCTCCAGTACCTTGGCGTAGACCTTTGCAGGGAGGCTGAGGAGTGTGATCCCCCTATAGTTGGAACACACCCTCAGGTCACCCTTCTTAAAGATGGGGACCACCACCCCGGTCTGCCACTCCCTAGGAACTGCCCCCGATGACCACGCAATGTTGTAGAGACGTGTCAACCATGACAGCCCTACAACATCCATAGCCTTGAGATACCCAGGACGAACCTCATCCGCCCCCGGGGCTCCGCCGCTGTGTAGTTGTTTGACTACCTCAGCAACTTCTGCCCCCGAGATCGGACAGTCCATCCCCAGGCCTCCCAGCTCTGGTTCCTCCTCGGAATGCGCATTGGTGGGATTGAGGAGCTCCTCAAAGTATTCCTTCCACCGTCCGACTATAGCCTCAGTTGACGTCAGCAGCTCCCCATCCCCACTGTAAACAGTGTGAGCGAGTTGCTGCCTTCCTCTCCTGAGGCGCCGGACAGTTTGCCAGAACCTCTTTGGAGCCGATCGATAGTCTTTCTCCATGGCCTCACCAAACTCCTCCCACACCCGAGATTTTGCCTCGGCAACTGCCACTGCTGCACCCCGCTTGGCTATCCGGTACCTGTCTGCTGCCTCCGGAGACCCACAGACCAGCCACGCCCTGTAGGCCTCCTTCTTCAGCCTGACGGCTCCCCGAACCTCTGGAATGGACAATTTAAACTTTGAACTGTATTGCATCTATTCTGAAAAAAGTTTGAACCTTGGTTTCTTTTTCAGCAGTTTTTAAGACCATTTAGTTTTGTAAACTTTCAGACGTTTTTATTTGATGTGGTAGACCTTGAAGCAGTTTCTCTCCAGCTGCAGGCTGAGTCCTGCACACCTCACACTGCCATGGGGTGCTTCTCTTGCACACCGTGCACTGCTATACCAAAAACTTTTGTTTTAGCAAAAATAATTATTTATTGTAAAAAGATAAATAATGCTGGAATGAAGCTGAATCTTACAATTAGCAAATAGTTGAGGGTTGTTCAAATAAAAAAATAAAGACTGAACAAAGGTTCATACCCTGGTTCACTGGAGACCTGTCGTTCTTCGTGGTCACTGACTTCAGATAAAAGCCTTCTTGGACACGTATTAGATCGCATAGATTTTTTTGAGGAATTTCCATAATTTCATTCCGGCTTTTTATGCTAATTAGATTCCCCGTTCCGTTATCTGCTTTCACCTCTGCGCTGTACTCCGTTTCAATCAGGCTGTACAGCAGGATTTCCCCTCGTAGCGACATTTTCCATAACTCTGATTGCTTCGTGCTATAGATTGTTGGAAAGCTGCTTTTATGTACTTTTAGGAACCGTTGGAATTATTTGAATCTGATCAGCCATTCAAAAGTTATAAAACGGAGCATTTTGGATAACAAACTCAGCACGTCTCTGAATCTGTGTTGTGATTCGTTGCGCTCAAGACAGGGAATCCTGGTGGCTACCGTAATATATTGTATATGCACCAAAAGCCCCATTTTTAATCTTTTCAGCACTTTTAGAATTTTAATGATATCTTGAACGGTTCAGGAATTATGGTAATGAGAATTGCGCATGTCCAATCCCGTCTGCGGCGACAGGTTGGTAATAAGAATATTGTGGCATTAACAGTGGGGTGCCGGCGGTCAGGGCTAGGGGGCCCCCCAACACAAGGGGGCCCCAGGTGGCCGCCGACCTATAACTAATGGTAACACCGCCGCTGTCTTCGGGTCCTTTCTTCAGTCTAGTAGTGGCGACAGTTGGCCACACGGGTTTCTGTTTGTTTTTTTGTTTTTTTCCCCCCAGCTTTTAAAAATAATTTTGTCTGATGGCCAATATAGAAAAAAAAATTAATATATTGGTCGGCCTCTATAGTTTGAAGTCACACACAAGCTGTTGATTCATTAGAAGACATAACGTTTCATTGTTTGGTACCTGGTTGGACTGCGGATGTGTTTCATACACCAAGAACTGCTGTTTGCCCCGAGGTATGAGTTCCTCTCAGTGTCCTCATATGCGACTCCAATCCGGAATTCCGTCTCATCATCCACTTCAACTTCCCAGTAATGCCTGCCTCTAACTGGAATCAGATCCCCCAGGATGGCTACACATCTACACACACACACACACACACTCCATAAAGAGCTGCAATAGAGGCCCAATCCACAGTCGCATCTGTACTCAACCTTGTAAAAGTGTTGTCATCGAGAGCCAATGCGCTTATGGGTAGCTCCTCATCTCCGTAAAATATAGTGAAGCCATCCTCAGAGATGGAAAGGCATGGATGGGCTGTGTCCTCCAGGAGGTGGAAGAACGTACCTGTGATTTCACCCAATTGTGTTAAAGTAGGAAAAGCATGCCTGATTTTTTAATTATGTTATACAGCAAAAACTACAAATAATATGTTCACATTTATACAGGTGCTGGCCAGTAAATTAGAATATCATCAAAAGGTTGAAAATATTTCAGTAATTCCATTCAAAACGTGAAACTTGTACATTATATTCATGCAATGCACACAGACCAATGTATTTCCAATGTTCATTACATTTAAATTTGATATTCATAAGTGACAACTAATGAAAACTCCAAATTTGGTATCTCAAAAAATTAGAATATTCTGAAAAGGCTGAATATAGAAGACACCTGCTGCCACTCTAATCAGCTGATTTACTCAAAACACCTGCAAAGGCCTTTAAAAGGTCCCTCAGTCTTGTTTTGAAGGCACCACAATCATGGGGAAGACTTCTGACTTAACAGCTGTCCAAAAGACAATCATTGACACCTTGCACAAGGAGGGCAAGACACAAAAGGTGATTGCTAAAGAAGCTGGCTGTTCGCAGAGCTCTGTGTCCAAGCACATTAACAGACAGGCGAAGGGACGGAAAAAATGTGGTAGAAAAAAGTGTACAAGCTCTAGGGATAACCGCACCCTGCAGAGAATTGTGACGACAAACCCATTCAAAAATGTGGGGGAGATCCACAAAGAGTGGACTGCAGCTGGAGTCAGCGCTTCAAGAACCACCACGAGGAGACTCATGAAAGACATGGGATTCAGGTGTCGCATTCCGTGTGTCAAGCCACTCTTGAACAAGAAACAGCGCAAGAAGCGTCTCGCCTGGGCCAAGGACAAAAAGGACTGGACTGATGCTGAGTGGTCCAAAGTTATGTTTTCTGATGAAAGCAAGTTCCGCATTTCCTTTGGAAATCAAGGACCCAGAGTCTGGAGGAAGAGCGGAGAAGCACAGAATCCACGTTGCATGAGGTCCAGTGTAAAGTTTCCACCGTCAGTGATGGTGTGGGGTGCCATGTCATCTGCCGGTGTTGGCCCACTCTGTTTCCTGAGGTCCAGGGTCAATGCAGCCGTCTACCAGGAAGTTTTAGAGCACTTCATGCTTCCTGCTGCTGACCAACTTTATGGGGATGCAGACTTCACCTTTCAACAGGACTTGGCACCTGCACACAGTGCCAAAACCACCAGCACCTGGTTCAAGGACCATGGTATCCCTGTCCTTGATTGGCCAGCAAACTCGCCTGACCTTAACCCCATAGAAAATCTATGGGGTATTGTGAAGCGGAGGATGCAATACGCTAGACCCAACAATGCAGAGGAGCTGAAGACGACTATCAGAGCAACCTGGGCTCTCATAACACCTGAGCAGTGCCACAGACTGATCGAGTCCATGCCACGCCGCATTACTGCAGTTATTGAGGCAAAAGGAGCCCCGACTAAGTATTGAGTGCTATACATGCACATTCTTTTCATGTTCATTCTTTTCAGTTGGCCAACATTAGAGAAACAAACATTTTTTCATTGGCCTTTAGAATATTCTAATTTTCTGAGATACCAGATTTGATGTTTTCATTGGTTGTCACCTATAAATATCAAATTTAAATGTAATGAACATTGGAAATACATTGGTTTGTGTGCATTGCATGAATATAATGTACAAGTTTCACGTTTTGAATGGAATTACTGAAATATTTTCAACCTTTTGATGATATTCTAATTTACTGGCCAGCACCTGTATGGCCTATTTGAATTACTTGTAACTTTTATAATTGATTGTCCACTAGCGGTAAAAATGACTAAAAACCAGGCGTAAATGTACCTGTTGTGGAGACCGTTACAACCTCACTCTTCTCACTGGGCCCACCAACATTGACCGCTCTCACAGAGATCAGGTAGCGTCGTGATGTCTGCAGCTGGATCAGACACTGACAGGTGGGGACGGCTACTATGGACCTGGATTAATACATCAAAGAAGAAGCTCATAACTCAGAATTTTACTCTAAAGGCCAATTTTTGAGACAATTATTTCTATACTTCTACACCAAGGCACTTAAAAATGTGGCATAAATCTAGGTGGTGCAAAAATTTTTTAATGTGAATATGTTTGCAGTGAGTGCACAAAATGTCAATAGCAGAGTGATACAAATAATACAAAAGGTCGAGCTGCCTGTGTGAATTCTTACCGATTATTACATCTGAACTGTGCTTACAGCTTTACGTCAAACAGAAAAGGTGTGGGAGATATATTTTACTGTTGAGCAAATTACAGTTTTGCTTATGCAGTTCTCTGCCAGAACCTTGATTTTTTCATTGAGCCAAATGGCTGTTTTACGGATAGTTTGCACGTCTACCATAATAAAAGCCTGCCATAAACATGGTAAAGAACTGTTATAGATAACCTTTAATATATTTTATTGTTGGTATGGTAAAGCATTAAGGTGCAACTTAATGCTTTATTTACCAGTAAGTGACCAACTTATTTTAAAAATGTTCTACAACTCTGGAATGAACTGAAATATTTGCTCTAAGAAAGTGTCGTAGAAAGAACTGTCATCTATTTTCTAACCCTAACCCATTTTTCACAGCAAATAAAAAGGAAACCACAGCGCACACACTGAGAGACAAAATATGGATAATTTTTTCACACAAATTTTAAGTGCAATATATTTAAATTAATTTCATAAGGTGAGACTAAAAACGCTTCTGTCTGCAGACTCCTGCTCTACAGTTTAACTTTAAATAATGTCCTGTCTCAGCACCACTAAATAACTAGATCTATACATTTAGGGACTTTTGGCACATTTTAATAGTTTGTTGTGAGTAAAAAATGAAAATGACCCCATGTATGAGGACAAACGCAGCTCAGGCAAACACTGCTGCAGGAACTAAGCTAAGAATAGACTTTCTAGGACAGAGCACACTTTGATTCAGCAGCAATATGTCCACAGGACCTGAAAAATACCAGGCAAGCAAAGCCCAAGCTTGTTTATGGACATAAAGTAAAACCTGTCAGTAGCTGGGTTCTCGTACTCTGTAATACTGCTCTCTGTGCCGTCAGAACCCATCTCTCTGAGCTCCACGGTGTAAGAGTCCACAGGGTTGGTGTTTCCTGATTCCCAGCGGATCAGAGCAGCTTCTGGACAGCTGGAGCACCCCCTCTGCTTGATCACTGGAGGCGATGGCACTGTGTGGACCAGGTTCAACCTCATTTAAAATGTCATACATCAAAGGTGTCAAATGTTTATTCACCTTGCTATAGGTAGGTGTGACATTTCATTACCTGTCACATATAAGGCCTTCTCACTTGCAGGGCTGATGCCTGTTGTGTTTGTAGCTGTCACCCATAGCTCATACTGGGCATTGGGAAGCAGATCCATCACGGTACAGTGGGTCTCCTTCACTTTCACCCTGCTCTCTGAAAACGGCAGACACATCATTAATCCTCCAGACAAAATCCAGATGAAATTGAAACTGTTGCAACCCTTAATTGTTTTGCAGCTGTAGATGCAGGCAGCCCTGACTATATATCATACCATGTGGTGCACCAGTACCGTCTGCTGGCATGTCCTCCAGCACTGGTCTGTAGTAAAGCTCGTAGAACTCCACCGTGTCGTCAGAAAACAAACTCCAGCGCACATGCAGGGTCGTCTGGGTGGCCGAGTTGGGCATCTGTGGGTTGATTACTGGGGCAGACGGAGCTGTTTTTGATGTTACAGAAAAAAAGTTAGTCCAGTTTTATTGTTATTTCATTTATTTATTAAGAAAGCACCTTAGTGCCACCAGCCATGGCTGCCAAAGTGCAGTACATGTTAATCATAGATCATATACTTTAAAATTAGAGACCACAATAAGACCATGCTAAAAATGGATGTCATGACACAAAAAACACTAAAAGGCCAAAAACAAATCAAAATGCACATAACAAAAAAAAAAAACATTCCACGAAATAGCCAGAAAAATAACAGTAAAACCAAAAATCAAATAAAAGCACTAGCAAGTTAACTACATTAATAATACTGCATCAGTTTAGTTTTAAAACTCCAGACAGTAGATCAGGGGTGTCAAAGATGCGGCCCGCGGGCCGGATCCGGCCCGCAAGCGGGTTAAATCCGGCCCGCGAGATGGTTGTGTAAACTTTATTTTCATACTTTACAGTGTAGAGTGAAAATAAACGTATCTTTTTTAGCAGGTTTTCTCTGTAATGAGTATAAATAAAACAAAGCTGCGCTCAAGGCTCACACAAGAACTTGAATCACATCCTGAAGTTGGCCGCCACTCAGGATGTGGCTTCTGATATTGATGTGCTGGTGAAAGCTAAAAGATGTAAAGTAAAATGAGTCAAATAAACTTTAAGTGCTGCATGAAATTGATCTTGCCATGTGATCTGTAAGCTCTTTGAATCACTAAGGAATGTTTTTTTTTAATTTGTTTATTTATTTATTTCTTTGTTCAAATTTTCAAGTACACTTCAGGTTTTGTACTTGTACTACACTGCCCTCAGGCTCCAGCCTTGTTTTATGTTGATTGTATTAAAACAAAGAAAACAATCTGAAGTTTTTTTTTATTTACCGGTCCGGCCCACTTGGGACTAATTTCCCTCAATGTGGCCCCTGACCTAAAATGAGTTTGACACCCCTGCAGTAGATTATCAAAAACAATAACACCCTGACTAAGAGTGAAAATAACAACACAAAAATAATGCCTTTACAAATGGGAATTCATGGTTCCATCAGTTACGACAAACGGTCCGGGTCCCGAAGCAGCAAAACATCTTGAGACCATCACACTACCGCCACCGTGTTTGACTGTTGGAATGGTGTTCTTTTTATGAAATGCAGTGTTAGTTTTACACCAGATATAACAGGACACACACCATCTAGAAGTCTTAAGTTTAGTCTTGTCAATCCACAAAATATTTCCCAAAAGTCTTGTGGATCATTGAGATGATACACGCAAAAGTGAGATCAGAATGTATCTGAAATCTTCATGGATGCCATTTTAGTCCATCTCCATCTGATTTCCCTACGTGGATGAATTACTTTAACTTTCCTTGAAAGGTCTTTGTATCATACATCTAACGTAAACCTATCATTTCTGTCACTCTGATATCACTGTGATATTATTGTAATTTTGTCAAACAGATTACAATATTGTGTCCCATCCCATCCTGACAAGCTTCAGGGTATAAAAATATCATCATGCGAGTTTTTCCATTATTCTGTTCCATAAATCTGTCATCAAGTGGTCCTGAAACTAATGAAGATGCTTCAGATAGATATGGTCTAATCACAACTAGGGATGCAACGATACCACTTTTTTCCAAACCGATAAGATACCGATACTCGGATCTGAGTACTCACTGATTCCGATTACCAGCACCGATATTTCTACCACACAAAAAAATGCAATGATTTGGAATACAGATTTTATTTTCTTCTTTGCTTTCAACAGGAAAATACTGTGAGGTAGATAAAAAGTAAAATGTATGACTGGAAATCATCACTAAACTAAAATATTAGGTGAACAGAAATGACAAGTTGCAGGGAAGCCATTTTCAAGCAACTGCATTGGTATCGGTTGCTGGTATCAGTTAACTTTTACCGACACGATACTGGTATTGGTATCGGTGCCGATACCAGTATCGTATCGGTGCATCCCTAATCACAACACTCTCCTGGTTGCTAACCTCACTAAATGTATGGACACACGAGCCTCGATGTGTAAGAAAACTAAAATCAGTTGCTATGTGCAATCAGCCTTGCCAGGACTTTTCTACTGACCCTATTCATTTGTAGAAGTTTAGATGTGTCAAAACCAAAACTCACAAACTCAACTGCTTTGACGTCACAAAGAAAATGCTGTTGCGAAAATGCCACCATTGAGCATAGAGGATGCGCTTTTGAATCAGACCTGGAATGATGTTGATAGACTCCATCATGGTTGTGACATCTGACAGATCAGCGAGTGGTGTGTTGAATTCAAGGCTTGTAGACAGGGTGAGGTCAACATCCTCTTTCACAAATGTTTCAAATCTAGTTAACAATGAAAAGAAAATCAGAAATTTTGCTAACAGGTAAAAAATGCCATGCCATGAGGAAACTCCTCCTGATTTTTGCTACTTGGAGCTACAACAACAGCTTCATGCCACACAAACTTAAACCTGTAAAAATGTTAGTTGTCACGCCATGCAAACTCACTAGAATGGTCATGTTTACCTTTTAATGATGGGCATAACAGTCTGTCAACAAAAGTTAAAAAAATCAGGCAAATGGCTTTTTCAGATCAAGGCAGCTGAACAATTTCCAAAGTTCTGCAGAAACTGAGCTAAAGCACCTTCAGGAAGAGTCTCTTGTCCTGGCTGCGGTAGGTCTCCTGAGCTGTCTCAATAAGCTCCTTCGAGTTGCCCAGTGCCTGACCACAGGCCAGCAGCTGGCTGTACAGAGACTCCAACTTACTCTTTTTCTCTTCCTCCAGTTCACTCGCCCTTTCGTCATATCGCTGAGACAAAGTCTGCAGCACATCGTTGTAGTGCTGCTCCAAGAGTTGCTCTTGACGGCCAAAATTCTCCTGGACAGATTTACATGATCATGGAGGTCCATTCAGAGATTTACATTAGTCATAGAGAAGAATGGAATGAGAGGCAATAAAAATAGATTTGTGAGTCTTCGAGATAAGTTATGTATGTCTTTGAGTCAAAAATAGAAAATCAATCATTTCAAAAACAAGAATAGACAAAATTTTCCTTTTAAAAGTAGTAAATCACAGTTAAAACCTATAAATGACACACCAAACCAAATATGACTTCTTAGTTTTACCTCAACGGTGAGAAAGATTTCCTCCAGATGACCTGCAAAATTCTCCATCTCAGCAACCTTCCCCTGCAGTCGGTTCCTGATGGAGACGATGTCACTCTACAAGCAGCAAAAAGTCAGAGTTTATCCCTTTATGTTGTAAAAAAAAAAAACAAACATAAACTATAACTGTTTTCTTTGTGCAGGTTTTTCACCCATTTGAATGGAAAACTGAATTCAGTGTAGATTTCAAACCACCAAATGTTCATGAATGTGCATTTATGTTTAATTGCAAATCCTCAGTTATAAATGATGTCACCACCTCGGGTTCTCCCTTCTTGAACACTTCATCATCATCACCATATCCATCTGCTGCCCCAGTTGGAGATGGAGAGTTGTCCTCACAGGGTTCAAAACGAAATGATTCATTGGTGCCGACTGAGAACCTCTGCAAGGTCCTTCCAGCTCGATCTGAAGCCAAATTGAACATCTCCATGGTTGTTGATCCTCTGCTCAAGTCCTGGTGCTCACCTTCCTCTGAAATCACATCCAGCCTGAGCCCTCGGATTTCAGTCAGGTCCATGAAACTGTCAGAACACAAGTTTGAAATTTTCTGGTTCTAGGTCAAATAAATCCTCTTTTTTTAACTCATATAAGTCAATAAACACAGCACTTGTACTAATCATATGCAAATTACCTTTCTATTGATTTAAAATGTACCTTTTGTAACTCAGTAAGCAGTCCGTACAAAGCAACCTTTTCAGGGCTGTGTTGGTAAGAAAGTTGCAGAGTACTCCCCTCAACCATGATAAAAATAGAACACATCTCAGATGTCAGACATCTAAAAAATCCACTAAGATAAACTAGAAAAATGAACTAAAACATTCTGTTTACTTGATTGACACATATTTATTCTGTTGACTCAGAAAAATAAAATGTTTATATATAGTCTGTAGGATGATTTAGGCTGTTTTTGTGGATGGAATTCCCCGAGCATGTGATTCAAAGGTCAAAGTTGAACGCGAAACAAGTCATTGCGATGCATTCAGGGATCCTCGTAAATTCTCCAGTGAGCCACTGAAACGCTTTGATTCGATTTTTGCGCCCCCGTTCATGCCTTAGTGAAACAACGTAATAAAATCAAAACATGCCCCTATTCAATCATTTATACTTTTTTTTATAAAGTTGGGCATATGCTATTCAGTGGGCCAAGATTACGTTTGTTACATTAAAGAAATCTCACATTTGTTTCTCTTACAGATTATAAACTCATCCTGATATGTTTCTCTGATCCATTCCTTATATTAACATTTATTGAAACCAAATACTAGAACTGTGTTTAATTGAGGGCTGATTATTTGCGTTCAACGAAATTTTTCAAATTTCCGAATATTTGTGATTCTTGAAAGCATCTATCGTCACAGCAATGGCGGATGTTGTAAACAGAGCCAGCAGCTTTCTGAGGCCAACGCTAAACCTCCGTTTTTGAGATGGACAGCGTAGAGTTAGACCGGTTAGACAGCCTGGAAGGGTGGGTAGCCATTAAAAGCGACATATTTGAAGAGGAAGAAACGTTTAAGCTGGGTTTTATCGTCCAGTGGAATGTAATAGAGTCCAAGTTCGCAGTCACCTGTCACAACCGCACGTTACAGCGACAGAAACGCAAGGCTGAAGTTTCCGTCGGTGACCCGCAGATGAGCTGGGCTGGACTCTTCTCCGTCAGTGATTTAAAACACATTCACCAACAGTTTACGTGCGTGGCAGACGTCCTGGGGGGCTGCTTCCCGGATATATCCGGCTTTGAAGAAAGTAACATCTGGGACTTGCTGTTTCTCAACCGAAGGTCGTGCCCCGAGGATGACAGCGAGAGAGATTTTGATGCCCCATGTAGGAAACTGGAGAAATACTTCAGCACTGCCATCGACCTCTGCGGTCGGAAGATTGTTCTGGAAACTTTATTCACTCAGGATGAGCGGGACGTTGAGGAATATTTTGAAAACTTACAGGAGTTCAAGAAGACGACGATGCAGGAGGAGATGTCGAGGGCCAAGAGTCACCTCAGACAGGTGAGACAGTATGAGGGTTGATATATTTGCATTATTCAGTTACTGAATGTTTCAGATTCTTGCTCGTTTGCTCCGGAGCTAAAGAGGTTCTGCTTATTTCCCCCGACAAGCTCTCTGACCTGCTGTTTGGAAAATCTCCTAAAAATGTTTATGAAGGCAGAAGAAAATAAGCTTTAATCAATTTCCAGACAGAACAATTCTCTCTTTAAAAATGCAAATCTTAAGCACCACATCTTAATATTTACAGCTGGAAGAACAGCTGGTTAAATGAACATTTCCCTTTAAATCTATATTTAGATTTGGCTCAAACTTGTCAAAAGACAGAATGCTGTCAACAAGAAAACTTGTTACTCAGCAAGATGTTTCCTATGTTTATTCAAAACAAACTAAACTAACTCAATTTCATGTTTTTCTTTCATTTCAATCATTGTTAGCTTGGATTTAAACAATTTCTGTAACATTTGACTTCTCACACTTTATTTACCTGTTTTAATGAGATAATTGTTTGATTTGGTAGAGTTTAGTGATTTATTTATTTATTTATTATGCTTCATTTTCCTGGAGTTAAAACGGGAGCCTGAATACTAGCACCACTCAGTGGTGGGAAAAAGCTCTAAAACTGGATGTTGCAACCCTGCTGGTATATTTTTCTGCTTTTAAAATTAGGATGAATGTTGTTTAAACAAAGAAATGTTTGTTTGGTGTCCACTGGTGCACAAGAAAATCAACATTCTAGTTAGTCAGAGCTAGAAGTCATGCAGGATGATCAGTAAAGTAACCAGGCTAGGAGTGAAAGTGTTTCTATGCTCTTGTGTTTCCAGCTGCTGCAGAGCCACCGCAGTGCTGACCGGATGGTGGCGCTGCTCAGGATCTACGAGGCAGAAGATGAAGCTTATCGAGACCTGGTGGCTGTTGCCACCAGCTTCTTCCAGTATCTGCTGCAACCTTTCAGAGACATGAGAGAACTGGCTTGCCTTTACAAAATAGAGATTCTGGTAAATGAAAAGTCTGCATTTAGAATGAAAACAAAGTTCAGTTTAACAGTCACAATGCAAATCAAAGATCAGTGTAAAGCTTAGACAGAATATTAAGCAGATGAGGTTTTTAAAAAGTCTATAAAGTTGTTATTCTGTGTTATAAATTCATGATGATATTCTCACACACCCATGATTGACAATATCCGTGTTTTAGTTTGTTTTAGTAAAAATATAGCATTCATATGCTATTTACTCTTTAGTTACTAAATCTTTCCTTTCACGTATATCTATACTGAGCTTTATAGAAGCAGAAAGATAAACGCGTTTCAATGCTCTCCATTAGAGATTATTGAGGGTTTATCTTCCAAACCAGAAAGTAGCTTCCTTTTTGACAATTGTATTCAGAATAAACATCAGCTTCATGTGGGTTTGCAAAGCAGGAAATCACTGTGTGTAAACTGTCCACTGTTGTTGGTTGTTTATTTTTCCCCCTGTGGGTCTCTGCAGAAGTCTTTGGAGTTTGAGGACTTGGGTCCCAAGAGAATCGCAGCTCTGGAGAAGGAGGCGGAGGAGTGGAGAATGAAAGCAGAAGACGCTGCCGCCTCTATTCAGGACATCACTGTCACCTACTTTGCTCAGACTTCAAAGGCTTTGGCTGGTATAAGTTGTTGTTTATTTTTCCTATTTTTTCATAAATCTTGTCACACAAGGAAATAAATAACAAAATTCATTGCAGTATCTTATTTATGATGGCGTTAAATAATCAAAACAGTCTATACAAGAACAGATTTAGACAACAAGACACAGGATTGATTCATAACTTTAGAAGAACATTTTTAGCATGTTTTGTATTTTTGATCAAGTTTATCTAATCAGCCAATCACATGGCAGTTGCATCAGTGCATTTAGGGTTGTGGTCCTGGTCAAGACAATCTCCTGAACTCCAAACTGAATGTCAGAATGGGAAAGAAAGGTGATTTAAGCTATTTTGAGCGTGGCATGGTTGTTGGTGCCCGACGGGCCGGTCTGAGTACTTCACAATCTGCTCAGTCACTGGGATTTTCACCCACAACCATTTCTAGGGTTTGCAAAGAATGATGTGAAAAGGGAAAAACATCCAGTATGCAGCAGCCCTGTGGGCGAAAATGCCTTGTCGATGCTAGAGGTCAGAGGAGAATGGGCCGACTGGTTCAAGCTGATAGAAGAGCAACTTTGACTGAAATAAGCACTCGTTACAACCGAGGAATGCAGCAAAGCATTTGTGAAGCCACAACACGCACAACCTTGAGGTGGATGGGCTACAACAGCAGAAGACCCCACCGGGTACCACTCATCTCCACTACAAATACGACAAAGAGGCTACAATTTGCACGAGCTCATCAAAATTGGACAGTTGAAGAATGGAAGAATGTTGCCTGGTCTGATGAGTCTCAATTTCTGTTCAAATGGTAGAGTCAGAATTTGGTGTAAACAGAATGAGAACATGGATCCATCATGCCTTGTTACCACTGTGCAGGCTGGTGGTGGTGGTGTCATGATGTGGGAGATGTTTTCTTGGCACACTTTAGGACCCTTAGTGCCAACTGGGCATGGTTTAAATGCCACGGGCTACTTGAGCATTGTCTCTGACCGTGTCCATCCCTTCACAGCCACCATGTACCCATCCTCTGATGGCTACTTCCAGCAGGATAATGCACAATGTCATAAAGCTCCAATCATTTCAAACTGGTTTCTTGAACATGACAATGAGTTCACTGTACTACAACGGCCCCCACAGTCACCAGACCTCAACCCGATAGAGCATCTTTGGGATGTGTTGGAACGGGAGCTTCGTGCCCTGGATGTGCATCCCACACATCTCCATCTACTGCAAGATGCTATCCTATCAACATGGGCCAACATTTCTAAAGAATGCTTTCAGCACCTTGTTGAACCAATGCCACGTAGAATTAAGGCAGTTCTGAAGGTGAAAGAGGGTCAAACACCGTATATGGTGCTCTTAATAATCCTTTAGGTGAGTGTATATAAAACATACGTATATCGGTTATTAGCCATAACAGCAATAATAATATCAGTATCAGCCCAAAATTTCATATTGTTATTAGCCAAAGCGTGACGCAGTAGATGTAAGGTCGTGATTCACAACCTTGTAGATTTTCTATCCTTTTAATCTGTTGAAAACCGTTTAGGTCTGACATTGGTTCACTTATTTTTCAAACCCACATCATAGGTCAGGCGCAGGATCAGTACAGAAAAGTCTCAAGAAAAACACAGAGGAACCGTCAGAATGCCTAAGTCCGGCTCTTTAGAAGTATAATGTTTACGAACGTTTGAGCTGTTTTAAATCTATTTCATAAATTGTATAATGTAGTTGAATGCGTGCTGCAGAGGTCTGACAGATGCTCCTGTTTTTGTCCAGGTATGTTAAAACAGATGGAGGAGGATAAACGTCGTTTTGGACCTGCTGCCTGGGCGTCTGCTGCTCCTAGGCTGGAGAAACTGCGCTTCCTTTTTGCTAAGGAAACATTGCAGCACATGCGAGCTACAGAGATGTGTCTCAGTCGCAAAAAAGACACCATCAAAGAGCGGGTGCGTCTTGCTAGAGTTGTATTAACGCTAATGGCTTCTCTCAAGGTCCCGTCAGTTGATATGTGTCATGTCAGCATAGTGGAGTCTGGGAGGTTTTGGAAATGAATCATGTTTCTTCTCCACCATCAAGTGGTAGTAGTGGTTGTAAATCTGCAGTGTGATAAAGGGACCATTGGGCTTTTTTTATTAGCTTTTTATTCTACTCTGAATCTCTGGCTGCAGAGAGCTTTTGATCTATTTATAAAGCTCTCTCTAAAAACTCAGAGGATCCCCACCGATACCCCCCCCCCCCCCCCCCCCCCCCCAAAAATCCTGCATGCATAACTAAGTGAGTGTGTCTGTGCGTCTTTATACGTATTAAGACTGAGCCAGCTATGTGTTCTGAATGAGGGGTTTTAATGTCAGGATCGCTGTATTTACTGGAAACTGCAGCAGATAAGGTGCCACACTGAATATGTGAGTTTTATTTATGTTTTAGATCAGAGAACAGAACATTTTCACCATTATCACCTTTATATTGCTGCATTATTCATCTTTAATCTGTGGATGCTGGAGGTAGCTGCTGCTGTGAAGTCAACACTAGCCTTTGCATAGACAGCTGCCTGCTTCTAATGAGATCAGTAGTTACGCCTATGCAGAATTTTTTGTGCTGTTGGCGCCGTAACACCTCGACTCTGATGAATGCGCTGGGGTACCTGCAGATATCGCAGCGTGACGCTGTTTGCTTATATGGTGTGTTTTTGTGTGCACGTATGATGTGCTCACAAGGAATTCAGAACCCTTCACACATTATGCTAACATCATTTAAATTTAAATGCATTACAGCCAAAGACAAAATTAGCACAGGGTTTTTGCTCATTTTTGCACTTTTCTAAAGTAGAAAAAGGAGAAGAAATGTACATTTCTAGTTTCTGTCTTTAAATCCTTTAAGCTCAAAGGCTCATTTTTTCCTGAACAGCATCAAGATGTCTGAACTCTTTGATTAGAGTCCTCTTGTTCTAAATGAAGCCAGTTGGATTAGATTTTTCAAGATGTTTCTGATTATAAAATCAGCTTTGAAAAAATGGCCCTCAGTACTGCAAGGTCCTGCATGGTCCATTAACAGTTTGAGTTTATTTTCTGAAGCACTCTCAGCTACTTTCACATCAAAATGCACCTTAATGTCCGCAACTTAATAACTAATACAGTAATAATGTAAGTCAAAGATCTCTTATAGGACCCAAGTTGCCCTTGACTGTGAATTCACTCATGCTCTGATCTGTTCTCTAGTGGATTTAATGTTAACAATGTTTTCAAGTTTACACACAAATAAGCTTCTTGGTTGGATACAACCGGGGACTGTTAAAGCTCTAATAAAGTCCCGTGGAGACGCTCTGAGATCAGAGAGCTGATCAGAGGAAATACCAGAGCCGTGACTTGTTTAAAACTTTCTCCAGACTCCGTTATCTCTGGAGAAACCTGAGAAAAACATGTCCACCAGTGGTTCTTCTAATTTAACTGAAACACTGTTAAGGAGGATCTGGAGAGAACGAGTGGAGAATCTGAAGGTTAATGTTCCGTTATTCATGTTCAGAAAGTGATTTTATTAGTTACAAAGAGCATTTAAGGACGTTTGCTCTGAAGGTGGCTGCCATAAATAACTAAATGCTTTACAAGGTAACTGTTAGTTTCAGCTCCGTTTATCACAAAATTAAACCTTGTAACCTCTAAGGTAGCGCGACTCAGGGTTGCGAATGACCACAGTCACCATTTCTTCTGAATTGTGTGTACTGAAACTCTTAATTTCCCTCTGGCATTAATAAAGTATCTTTGAACTGAATTGAATAAAACCCTGCGGTACATCACACTTATTCTCATTTCTTCTTTGGAACATCGTGTTCAAGGACAGTCTAGCAGTTTGTCAAAAACTGAGTCAACTCTCAGTGAGTATCTATGTGCAGTTTTGTTGAAGTATTTGCAAAAGACACAGCTTTAAAAAAAAAGAAGCAGTTATTGTGTTGTTTTATTAAGAGATGTCCTTGTTGTTTGTTTTTGAATAGCTGGAGAACCTGCTGAGAAGAGACCAGAACCAGAGAGCTGATTCAAGGTCTGCATTTGGGGACGGACGGCAGCAGGACACAGTAGACCAGCTGGAACTGCAGTTCTATGAAACCCAGCTAGAACTATATGATGCCAGGTTTGAGATCCTGAAGAACGAGGAGCAGCTGCTGGTGGCTCAGATCGAAACCCTGAGAAGACAAGTCAAAGGTAAAGCTACTGCACACTTAGGGACCTGTCCGTCGCTATATAAAGCAGCCGCAGCGCCGCTACCTGCATATAAACCGTGTCACGGACACTGCCATGTTGAAATGACGCTATGCATTACGGGGCTCCCAGGGGCAGATAAGAGTTGGTCTCTCTCCGAGAATAATTATGAATTTAACAATGATTACTGCCTGATGACATTTTCCCAAATCTGCAAAGCTCACTGGAAGGACACAAACCGAGGACAATATTTTCCTGATATAGGGTTTATTACTCAAGTAAGGGTAAAAAAGTATCTGATTAGAAGGCTACTTGAGTACTTAGTATCATCTGGTCTAATATTTTTAAATGATGATATCAAACAGACAAAAAATAAGAAGTTATGGGCAAATATTGGTATTTTAAAGACTAAAGGGAAAAAATGTAAACAAATAAACAACATAATTACAAAATAACACATTTTAGGCAAAATTTAGACACAAACTGAGGACAATATTTCCTGATATACAGGGTTTATTTAATTGTGTGAAAATGTAGCACGTTTAAAAAAAATACAGCGATAATACCGAAAACCGTGATAATTTTGGTCACAATAATCGTGAGGTTAAATTTTCACACCGTGACAACCCTAGTCCTGAACAGGATTGTCTCTGATGGGGTGGCAAAACACAATTTATAATGCAGACACAAACGACCCTGAAACTAATTTTAAAATGTTCAAGATTGTTAATGTTGTGGAATGTAAAAGGTGAAACTCTGAAATGTGGAAATACAGCGCTGTTTGGTGACTTGTCTGCTTATTGTCTCCTTTTCTCTTCGACTGCAGGTATTGAGTTATTGATAAAATCCCTAACAAGCGCCCGGACCGCTAAAGATGCTACAGCAAATTTAGGAAACAAGTTATGTAGCTTAAAACATTTTTTTCATTTATCAGGCTTAATAAAGCAAGTCATGGAAGTCTCATAAATATTAGAACAAATTCAACTGAGCAGAAAACTAGAAAAATTAAATGTGGCTTGTTGAACATTAGATCCATTTTTTCCTAAGACTTTGTTAGTTAATGACTTGATTTGTGATAATCAGATCTCTTTGCTCTCTCTCACAGAATCCTGGCTGCAGCAAGAGGACTATGTTAGCTTAAACGAGTCGACTCCTTCAAATTATTTAAATCATCATATTGCTCGAAGTACAGGGCGAGGAGGAGGAGTAGCAACCATTTTTCATTCTGACTTATTAATCAGTCCCTTACAGATTAATAGTTACAGTTCGTTTGAACATCTTATTCTTAGTTTTCCTAATCCAGATTGCAAAACTGCAAAACCACTCTTGTTTGTAGTTTTATATCGTCCACCAGGCCCTTACTCTGAGTTTTTGGATCAGATCTCTGATTTTTTATCTGATTTGGTGCTAAATACTGATAAGGTCATTGTAGTGGGGGATTTTAACATACATGTGGACATTGAAAATGATTGCCTCAATGTAGCCTTTAGTAATATCTTAGACTCAATTGGTTTTACTCAAAGAATACATAGCTCCACCCACTCCTGCCATCATACATTGGACCTTGTGCTGACTTATGGCATAGAGTGTGCGGAAATAACAATCTTTCCACATAATCCAGTCCTCTCGCACCACTTTCTGATAACCTTTGAGTTTTTTTTATAACTGAGTTCTCGAGACATGAAAGTAAATTTTACTATAGTCGGTCTCTATCTGTCAACGCTGCTGCATCTTTTAAATCAACCGTTCCATCTTTACTGTCCTCAGCATCTCAGAGGCATGTAGCAGAGGGCAATATTTTCATTTCTAGCCCCTCACAAATTGATAATTTAGTTCATAATGTTACTTCCTCTTTACGTGTGGCATTAGATGATGTTGTCCCTTTAAAAAAGAAGGCACAGGAAGTTGGCTCCCTGGTTTAATTCTCATTTCCGAACTTTAAAACAAAACTCTAGAAAATTGGAGAGTGCATGGTGCTCTACACCAGGAAGGACAAGGACACAACAACAGCATTATCTAGTCAGATGCGGTATCGAGCTTGCAACCTTCCGATTACTGGACAACCCGCTGTACCTCCTGAGCTACTGCTGTTCTCAATTTAGTGATGAGTCACTTTTGTAGACACTAATGAAGGCTGGGGAGATGTTTCAGCTGTTAGATTAAGGTGTTAAAAAGACGAACACACAGCGAGGAGATCATTTTTGCCTTCGGTTCTAGAAACAGACACTAGGAGGTGCTAAAAGCAAGCCAAAACTGCCTAGGGCCCCTTTAACAAAGAAGCTCATTCTACTTAAAACTACAATAAGGTTCAGGTTTAGTTAAGCTGTGTGTGTGTGTGTGTGCGTGCGTGCGTGCGTGTGTGTGCGTGTGTGTGTGATTAGACCTATAAGCTATATGCTCACAGGAAGCATTTTTATTTTTCCATCGTGTGTCCTCTTTAAAGGATCCACTGTGGGGAAACACTGTATTTTGTTGACGTGAATATTTCCCTAATTGCTCCTCCTGGGACAAGAGATGTTTGCCTCTAAGGTGTGTGTGTGTGTGTGTGTGTGTGTGTGTGTGTGTGTGTGTGTGTGTGTGTGTGTGTGTGTGTGTGTGTGTGTGTGTGTGTGTATGTGTGTGTGTGTGTGTGCGTGCGTGCGCGCGCGCGTGCGTGCTGTATTCGCCTACACTGTGTGTGTGTGTCTGTCCACCAGTCTGTTTATGTGTACACATGTCGGCTGAGTGTAATTCTTAACCTTAATAGTTTTCAGACTTTTGTTAGAAAGCATAACCACACGACCTCCATGTTTATGTTATTGTTAGAAGGTGAATGCTGGGAAGATCTACGAGCTTATGGTGCTTATGAAGGAAACACTCGGAGCAGAAAGAGCAGGACTTTTCTAAATTTAGGAAGTTTTCACAAAAAAAAGTGAGTGGCATGTGTTTGTGTTTCAGAGCTGAAGGAGGAGGTGGTGTATTATGATGTGTGTGAGGATCAGGAGGAGCTGCAGAGCATGATCCACACAGATCTTCAGCAGGCCGATTCTCCGATCATCAGTCAGCTCAGGAGACGCCTGCAGAGCCTGGAGAGCAAGAGAGGCAGCATCTGTTCCCGGAGGGCTTATCTACGCAACAAGAAGGTGTGAAAAACTACAGCAGCAAATTTCTTTTGCTCTTTGAGGAGAGTGGCACTTCATTTCACCTCCAGTCAGCTCATTTGTTTATATAAACTGTGTAAATGTGTTTATTAGATCATTTTGTTTGAGACTGAGTGTTGAATGATGGTGCAGTTGGTAGTGCCGTTGCCTTTTAGCATGCAGGTTGAAGGTTTGAATGCCAGCTTCTGCCTTTCTGTGCAGAGTTCATGGACCAGACATGGACATGAGCACAAACCGAATTAGACACATTCTGCTATCCATTTAGAATAATCTAGTACAGGTTTTAGAAATCGTAAGCGTAGCATTTCCTGAGTACTGGTGTGGTTTTATCTGTAATTTTCTGTAACTGCAGTACTTCTATGTGTGCCTCTAGGATCAGTGCATCGAAGCACACGAGCAGAAGCAGCTGGCAGGCAAGCAGAGCTCTATGCTCCTCAGCCAGCATCATCAGGTCCACCTGGTACGTCACCACGGCAACGAGGCATCCCACACAGACACTCCCACACCAGCAGTAGCTGCAGATGAAATGGGAACTGTTTTTTTCTCAGTGTCTCCCTCTGTTGCCTGCAGAAACGAGAGAAGAGGAAGGAGGAGGAGCAGAAGAGGAAGCAGTGGGTGGACCAGGAGCGAGAGAAGACTCTGAGCAGATTACGATCCTTCAGAGAGGTCAGGCTCCTGTAGCACCACTTCTGTTAACAATCCCTCTAAACTCCATACAAAAGTACAGCTTTGGAATTGAATAATTATTAGCAAATGTTGGCAAGAAAATGGATCGAAACTCTGACTGCAAACCTGGGAAAACACCACCTTATATGACGGGGCAGATATAAATAATCGTCTTCAAACTCCAGCGTGGTGCAGCCTCAGACAGCTGTTGGTAACGCTCCTAAAACATGACTGATTGTTTAGATCTGATTACCTGAAAAGAAGGTTTATGTAAACGTGTGCTTATCTAAGGAATGGGTGGGGGCTCAGAACACCATCAGTAAACGGGGCGGAACATCTGCTGGAGCGTCAGTCCTTTATTTCTACAATAGCGAGATCAAACAGAAGTGAGGTCAGGGTTTTTGATGTCCAATTATTTGAATTTACATTTCTCTTTTTAGACAAGAACTGTGGATTTTCTTTTATAAAAAGTGAAATGGCACATATTGTTTAAAATTTTAAATGGCAGACGTCACATACCGCTCACCAAACGGTCTCGGTGGTGAGACTGAGTTGTCCCGTTCGAACTGTTCAAATCAGTTATCCTTTAATTCAGTCAGACTTTTATTTCATAACAAACATTATATACCCAAGATCTTATTAGACACCCCTTCCTACCTTTCAGGAAGTACAAAATAGGAGGGTTGGCTTTTAGGATTAATAAACTAGTTAAAAAATTACACTAACCATCCAGCATCATCCAGAACCTTCTGTTTGTTCAGAATGCCATCTTGTTCATGTTTGAAGAAAAAGCAACATTCCATATCAAAGTTTTCATCCTCTTTTTGGAATGTTCATAAATGATTATTAATATAATTATTAATATTATTACACTACATTTTAATAAAAACATGTCAAAAGTTAAGCTGATTCAAAAGGTCGTTAACATGTATTGGATTTAAACCATGTGGTTATTAGCATTTTCCATAGTGTTTCATCTGTTTTTGTTAACAAGGCCATCCTGCAGGAGTAGGTAGTGAAAATTTACCACCTGTCAGCGTCTTTAAACATGTATGCTTTTAGTTCTCTGCCTTTAATCTCTTGTGAGGGTCAAACTGCTTTAATATCAGAAACCTTTGATAATTGGGGCTGACTTTTGTTTATGCCTCTAAATCTGTTGCATCTTCTAAAGAGGCGACAGGGCCCGTACATCCTGAAGACACCCCAGTCCAGGAAGTGTCCTTCAGAAGTCTCTTGTGTGTCCCAGCCAATGTCCATCATCAGCCTCTCACCCTCCACCTCCCCTGAAGAACCACCCTCCATTCGCCCGGCACCCAGACGCAACAAAACACCCAAAAAACAGCAGCCTAAAGACATCCCTGTACAGATCTACTCCGCACCGCCACCACCTTCTGTACCACCTCCTCCCCCTCCTCCTCCACCTGCCATGCCACCTCCTTCTCCTCCTGTCCGAGCCTCGCCTTCCTCTGAGGACGCGCCAAAGCCTCTCTGTGAAAAGGAGGAGCCTCCGTTTCCAGCAAAGAACATGCTCAAACAGAATATAGGTGAGACTGAAATGTGAAAAGTGTTCTGTTGTTTTTATTTTATTCTCCTTCTGCATTATGTGTGCTAAGGTATTTTTTTTATGTCTGCATTGATTCAGGAACTATGGATGAAATTCTGGCCTCACTGCAGCGCGGGCAGATTAAGCTTCGAAAGGTCTCTGCTGTCAAGTCTGCCGAGGACCCTAGGAGCAATCTGATGTCTGCTATCCGACAGGGAGTCACCCTCAAGAAGGTTGGATTTCATTGTTAACTCACCCTAGATGTTGTCTCAGCATCAGACAGTCAAAACAAGAAGTGAAATGGATGAAGTGTTTTCATTACTTGGTTTGTCCACCAGAGAGCATTGACACATTAAACAAGTCCTAATTAGCTTGTAATCATAATTATGTTAAAAGGGTTCCAGAAAATGTCAAGTTATTGCTTGCCTTGTTTTTCTCTAGATTTGTCAACAGTGACCAACTTCTAGGTTATGATCTATACTGGTCTAAATGGAGTCCATCCATCCATTTTCTGAACCCACTTTGTCCGCAGGGGGGTGGGGGGGTGTGTGCTGGTGCCTATCTCCAGCGGTCAACGGGCAATCAGGCGGGGTACACCCTGGACAGAGAGCCAGTCCATCGCAGGGCAACACAGACACACACAGGACAAACAACCATGCACACACACACTCACACCTAAGGACAATTTAGACAGATCAGTTAACCTAGCAGTCATGTGTTTGGACTGTGGGAGGAAGCCGGAGTACCCGGAGAGAACCCACGCATGCACACATGGAGAACATGCAGACTCCATGCAGAAAGATCCCAGACCGGGAAGCGAACCCAGGACCTTCTTGCTGCAAGGCAACAGCTCTAACCACTGCACAGCCTCTAAATGGAGTCATAAATACCAGCTAGGAAAGTCACATTTCTTCACAAGGCATTTCTTTAGTTGACAGATAAAAGCAAACATGAATGAAATCTTCTGGAAAAATATTGAAGCGTTTAAATTGAGCTCTGCATGAATTTTTGTTTGTCATAAAAAGGAGAATTGTATTAAATCTGTTCTTCTGGAAAATTGACTTTTTTTGTGTGTCAAACTCAGTGTTTTACGTGAAACTCAATTTTATGGGTTGCAGCTGTGTTAATGTTTTTATTAGAGTGAAATGAGTCGTAAGTTAAACTGTCACTTGTCCTGTTGCAGGTGGTTCCTGCGCAAGAAGAAGTCCCGAGCAGAGGAGACAACGAGCTGGAGCGCAGCATCAAGGCTGCGATGATGAGGATGAAGAAGGTGGCAGCCGACTCAGACGAGGAGGACAGAGGTGATGATGACTCACATAGCACGGACTGGGACAGCTGAGAACACACACACACGCACGCATACAGGCGTGCAGATGAAGCTGCTCTGACCACCCCTGTACTGTGAGCTCCAGCTCGTCTTGCAGGATTTCACCAAAGAGCTGCTTCTTTACCGCAGACGAGATTACGCCTCCTCTGACTCAAGCACTTTTGTCTGCTGAAGCTGTCTCGCTGTAATCCGTTTGGTCTTCTCCAAGTCGCTCTGAGATGTAGCATTAAATCCGGATCTGCTCCAGCCTTACTTACTCATAAGTGGCAGAATCGGGATTTAATCTCCTCTGAAGAAGTTTGTGTTTTGCAAGAATCTCAACCTAAATGACTAACTGTAGGCATTAGTACACTAGTGAGCTGTGTGTAAAAGATTAAAAAGTTCCTAAAAAGGCTTTTTGTGAGGCTGCTGCACAGCAGGGGAGTCCTCTGCTGCAGGCAGGCTGCTACCACACAAATTCTCATCTCATATGCAGAATTTAAACACAAGAATTAGATTGCAATTTAAAATGTGTTTATTAAATCAAACCCTGTGAGGGCTCCTTAATTGTGTAACAACAGGAAGTAAAAGTGCAACAGGGTCTACATGTACGGGTGAATTTGGGATCAGTCCACAACTGGTTAAGGTTTTCAGATACTAAATATTCTATTAACCATTTAATTTCATACTATTCTTCTAACTCTAATCTCTGCTAAATACTGTCTGACTGTATGAAGTTGGTGGCTTCCACACGTTTTGAAGAATCGAGGCTCTAATGCATCATGTGCTTAAATGATTTGCAGAATGTTGCAGAGAAACTGAGCTGGAAACACTGACACTGCTGTTTAATAATAAAGAGGGCAGGAGAATGGTGGTTTTCGCTGCTTTGGTGTCTCACGCTGTTACTTGCACAGATGTGTTGTGCCTGGGTTGTATTGACATTCTCGCTCTTTAAACATCATCCAGCAAGGTGTCAAACCAGAGCTGGTGAACCCCAGTGAGTGTGCTCTGGCGGATCTGTAGCCCACAATAATGACTCACAGGGAGATATCCATCCTGGCTGCCGTCGCTCGCTCAGATCTATTCAGCGGCGAAGGCTCAGACATCCTCAGCCAGCTGTGATCGACTGTGTTTAGTCCAGTGGACTTAGAAAGCAGCACCCCCACCCACAGTCACTCTGCCATGTTTTATGTGGACAAAGTCCAGGTCGCTCAGGTGAGTGACAGGTCATGCACCTCCGGGGTAGACGCGCCACAGGGGTTTTTGACAAACCAGTCAGTCGTGTGTCAACAGGAAATTTCCCAGCATGTTACCATGGTAACAGCAAGTCTCAGTTGCAGTGGCCTGCAGTGCCATCCCTCTCTCGCTCCCTCTCACACACGTGTACAGAGCAGCACAGTGTCTTAATGTTTCACCAACTCGCCCACTCACCAGTCGCACAATGAGCTTCAGAGAATCGGCTCGATGAACAGCAAAGGAATGACGCTTTTGGTGTAAGCATTGGGCTAAATAATAATTAACCGGTTTACTTTATCAAATTAGTGTGTCCATTTAGAAAACCGAGATGCGATAATGCCATTTGTAGCTCCATAAACACTAAAGCTGCTGTTGCACAGACAGTTTTATGAAGCAACAAGACAAAATGGATCTTTAAACATGAGACTTTGTATCTAATGAAAAATATTAGGTTTCATCTGTGGCGCACCTTTTCCAACATTTAATATATATGTTTTTATACAATTTTCCCCCATATCAGTTCATATTTTTATCTTTACATAATTGTTTGAATTTGTAATAAATATAACCTCCCTCTGCACCAGTTAATCTAGCATTAAAGCATTTTTTGGTTAAATCAATGTGTCATTTAGCCATGAGCATTTAGAACATAACACTAAAAGGCTTCAGTCAATCATACTTTTTTTTCTCCAAAAGTCTGAGTGGTATTGAGTTGCCAAGGCAACATGTCCTCTGATCCAGTACAGCAGTGCCCGATCACGTTTGAATTTCCGATTCCAGGTGTTTCCCACCTCAGAAATGTTTGCCATATATGGGGTCAGAGTGGAGAACCGCACGTCAGCTACCTTCTAGTTTGGATCACACCTATATTTAGCTCTCAAAAAAATTTAAACTAAAAGGAGAGGAGGGGGAGTCGGGACTTGATGTGAACGTTCATTCCTCCTGCTCAGCACTTCTCATCCTTGGAAAAAAATGCTTAAGACTGCATGAATTAGTTGAAGAGTTAACAGTTTCTTTCCCATCACTGTTACCTGTGAGCACAACATGGGGAACCCTTCCCAGTGAACCTCTGAGGGAAGAAAAAAAAACACTTACTGCCAAATGTAATTAAACTAAACTTTATCAATTGTCTGTTCTGTTGTATGTTAAACAAAAATCACAAAAGTGCACAAGAGGCATTGGTTCAACAGGAAGAAGCACACGCCGTTACCGTCCCAATTCAGGCAAGTTACAAACAGGAGAGAAAAGTCCCTTCATTAAATATCTTAGCCTTTTGACAAGATCAAAACAGTGATGAGAAATAGTCTCATGTCAGAGTAACAGAGCAAATGTATTCCACCAGAGTGCCTTTGATCTCAGATGCAGCACTTATTAATTCAGCTGCAGCACGGTTCATAGTTCGGAGTAGCTCTCAGTTTGAGAGTTTAGTGTTAAGTACATTGTTCTACATCAGGACAACAAATCGAGGGTGATTTACTTGGTCTGAAACACATCTGCAGAGAGGCACCAAAAATAAATAAGACTAAAAGCAAGAATGACAGGGTTTCTAGTGAAAATAACCCGATCTACACCCCCTCTGAGAAGCACACTTTCACATTATTCACCTGTCTAGCAGCACCATGTCCCCTCTTCCAGAAATAATCACCATAACAGAAACAGGAGTTTAGGAAGCACATCAACAGCCTTAGACACACATGTTTGTTCTACAAACAAACAACACTAATAACACACAGAATAAGGTCCTTCAACACCACACTCATGGCATGATTTGGATTTTTCTGAACAGAAAATCCTGAAACAAGAGTTTTCCTTCTTTATGCAAATATGAATCAAAATGCTTTTTGGTGATGGAAAAACAAACTTGCAGGGGAAAAAAAATCCTCTTCCAGGAGATTTTCATGTACCGTTGAGCGTCTGTGCGTTCTGTTACCAGCCTTAGGAGCATCAGGACAGATATGCCTGTCTGTTTTTATCAGAGATCATGTTTCTCCATCTTCAGGTTAGATCACAAAAACCAAGTTGTCATTATGGTGATGGTCATCAGCTGGCCTGTTCTCCTTTCCAGGGAGATTCCCCCTGGAGGCACTTCGTGTCACGCCCATTTGTCGTTTACGTGCATATAAATTTTATATATACCAACTGTCTTCTAACACACCTGAGATAGACGAGGCAGCTGAGAGGACAGTCTGTAGAGGGACTCGATCTTCAAATCTCTGATGGGGCCACCAATTATTACTTTATTAATGCTGAAGAGCATCGTACTTGTGTTGTCCGTTTTAGCCCTTTAAGCACCCTTTCTACTCTAAGCTGTGCTGAGTTTCTGCAGCCTTAAAAAAGTGACAGATGGACAGAATATAAGACCCACCACCATCTCTTGTAAATTACACACACACACACACACACACACACACACACACACACACACACACACACACACACACACACACACACACACACACACACACACACACACACACACACACACACACACACACACACACACACACACACACACACACACACACACACACACACACACACACACACACACGAGTAAGCTCAAAATATACTTGTTTCACAATGCCAGCACACAAAATGGAGTCATTTTGTGAGACATACTGGCGTTCCTCGTTTTAGTTTACCAATCTCCCAAACATCTCTCTCGCTCTCTCTGAAGGTGGTGTTGATTAGAAGCCAAAGCTGATAGTTTCAGAGTGGACATCACCTCGATGAGGGGGGGGGGGGGGAGGTGCCACATTGTTTCTGCCCTGAAGAAATACTTTAGTGAATCCTTCTTGCCCTGACCTCTGACCCTTTCAGCTCTGCACCACTTTCCTCAGTTATCAACACCCAGTTTGGAGAGTCCCTGCCTGAACTCATGCAGCTCATCTATCTTCCCATCCAAAATATCCATGAACTTCTTCAGCTCGCCCTTCATGTTCCCTTGCTTTTGTCGACTGTCATTTATGTCCACTCGAAGACCCTCGACTCTTCCCTCCAGTTCCTTGTTCCTCGTCTCTGCAATCTGTGGACACACGTTTAGGGAAATGTTACAAAACACCAAGACTTTTAAAACGAATATTTGACCAGAACAGGTTTGGTCAGGAACAAACTTGCTCTCACTGGAATGTGTGCACAGAATGATGTTTCTTCAATTTTTTTTTTTAACCTGTGATTGTTGACTCTTGCTTTTATTAACCATGGGTGAAATGAAAGGCACCAACAAATAAAAATTATTATTATTTAATAATATAAATTGCTGTGACTTTCAGGAGATTTAAATTGTTTAGACATCAGCTGTTGGCTGGTCCATACTAGCATTAGCTTATCCGTCAATATGGACATAAAAGTTATTTCTTCAAACTGTGGCTGTTCAGGAAAGCCATCTACAACCTATAAAGTGGCAGTGTGTAGTTTCCTGGAGATATGGGGCAGTAATAAATCACTGGAAGCAAGGGGTATTTTTGTGTTTAAGTGGCGACCTTACCAACGAATGGCCATAAAGACTAAAAAACTGAGTGTCGTAGCGCATTTTTAAAAACGTTTTTTAAAGTGACAGTGAGTGTTTTTACCTTAAGCATCTGGAAATATCCATCGAAACGTTGAAAATAAATAAAATGATGTCCAGTCATTGAAAACTATTCGGGGCTTCGTAACATTGAACCATAAAATTGGGTCTATAGGGCACGGGTCTAGCATCTTTGGGGGACGTCATATTAGACACCATATTTCTTTCTGGCCAGGTCAGAGTCCTGTGCCTGTCGATGACATCACACTAGATGACTGGCTAAACCAACGGCTTGACGGAAGTTACGTTACCGCTTTCAGAAACATTCAGGCAGTAAGAAAGACGAATTTAACAACAAAACTGCTAAACTTTTTCCAAAACCTATGTGAATCAGAATCGAAAAACAGGTGCAATATATTTTGGCCGAGTAGTATTGCCGTAGTATGAGTATGTCTTCAGCAGACGCAGTACCCGAAGCAGATCCGGAAGCTACAGCGCCAGAAAACTAGCATCAGCATTGCATTCTCTCGATGGAGTTAACTGAAGGATTATTAAAGTCTGCGGAGTCATGCTGGGGTGGCGTGCTTTCTGCTCCACAGGTAACATTTACCATAATGTTTTTTAAACTAGCGACAGTCACGGTGATGCGGTGTAAAACTACCCTGAAATGTATGTATATACTGCCCTCTAGCGCCAGGAAACTACACACTGCCACTTTCAAATGGAAACAATAACTTTTACACAGAAACACTTTTTACTGCCCAAAATGTCCTTTAGCTGATGTCAGTCAGAACAGACTTGTATTTATTTACAGCAGAGGTGTGAACATATGCTGCCTGGCTGCTACAACAATGCTTTTCTGAAAAGTAATGATCTACAGTAGAAACCACATCGTTGCATACATAAGGGTGATTTGGTGACTACGTTTTTCCGACTGTCGGGCGACATGAGTAACCAGTAGCGGTTTTAGGCACGGGCAGACAGGGCAGTTGCCCGGGGCGGCATTTTTTCATGACACAAAAGGGGCGCACAAGCGCGGAGTAAAAAAAAAGGAAATCTGCGCTGCACCGAGGTTTTCTATTATCTGTCATATGACAGTGTCTGGATTGGAAACAGCAAGTTGGCGCCCCCTGCAGTTGCAGGCGCTCCTGCTGACTGAGAACGTTTACGTGCACCGTGTGTCTATGAAGAACAGGAAGGGGAGGGGTGCGGCGGGGGAATTCACCTCTGCGTCTTTCCCAAATGAAATGAGCGTGCAGGGGCTGAATCAACTGTATTAACGTGGCTAAAGTCAATCACATCTTAACGTTCTTCCATATTTCATTCATAATATCATAAACACAGGCCTATCATTCTTTCAGGTTACTCTGAATTGTGTGAAATGGCCGAATAAAAAAAGGAAAAACAAAACGATTTTGTGGTCACCCCCCCATCAAGGTCAAATAGTTTAGTCCTGACTAAAGGAAACTTACTGAGTCAGGAGCCAAACAGAAGAGATGAACATAAAAAGGCTAAAACCACCAGGTGCCCCCATTCAGGGGGAAAAAAAGAAAAAAGAGGAGAAAGATAAAGGTATGTAGCTCTCATGATGCATGTTTTCAATTTTTTGAACCAGTTAACTGGGATTTTAACGGTTAAATGCGGTCAACTAGTTGCTAACAGAGCTAGGGCTGAAATATTGAAACGAATATTCAAATGGTTCGAAAAAAGTCCTTGAATCGTTTTTTACTGATTCAAACTAGGATTTGTTAAATGCTCGCTGCAGCCTGTGGCCTGCCTGAACAACAACAAACACATGTTGATCAAGTTCACATAATAATAAATAAAACAACTCTACAAGCAGAAGAAAACTCCCCAGTCACCACTAACTATCCTGTTTATTTATTGCAGATGGCTGCACTGATTATTTTTTACATGATTTGTTCTGTAAAAGTTGGCATTTTTGGTAGTCTACAGTTGTATTTATGTCAGTTTAAATTACAATTTCAGAGGCAATTGTAAAATAATATGGATCATGATAAAGATCTATTGGAGATCTACCCCAACTTTTGGACTGCTCTGCCAGTCACTGTGGCTCCAGCTGAGAGCAGCTTTTCAAAACTTGATCAAGTCATACCTGAGGTCACCTATGTTTCAGGGGCGGCTCACTAACCTGGCTCTGATTAGTATCAATCACTCAGTAGGGGAGCAGATTTCATATGATGACATTATTGATGACGTTGCATCAAGGTTAGGTTTTAATTGTAGTTTGTGTTTTCTGTTCTAAGTGCAATGCTGTGGTGATTATCTTTAGTTTGTTATGTGTGAAATATTTTTGCTATTTAGAATATTTATTATCTATTATGTTCATATATTCTTAATATTTAGTTATTGTTTGTTTTTGTATATTTGATTCTATATATTTTGATACAGTATATAATGTATAGTGCTTTACATTCTGACAACTTCATAGTAATTAATGTAAATATGTGCAACTTAGAAAAATGAATGTTCAATAGTCGTTCTAATAAAACATGCCTGTTTGTAGAAAACATGCGTGTGTTCATGCTGGTGGGGTGGTGTGGTGGTGGTGGTGGTGGTGGTGGTGGGGGGGGGGGCGGTTGGGGGGCGCTCAAAAGGGGCCTCGCCCGGGGAGTAATTCGATGTAGAACTGCCACTGTGAGTAACACATTAATGCTAAGGATACCTTTGAAGGGAGGAGTTTTAAATAGGTGCATGACGGCATCCTTCAGCTGACTCCTGAAACCTGATCTACTCGTGGTGGAGGATCATTTTTAAATAGATGAACCACAATCAGAAGAGGAATAGTTTGACCCTGGGAAATGTTTGATACAGAAAATTCCCTTTTTCTGCAGCAGGTTTCAGAGTTTTGGGCTTTCACGTCCAAACAGAAGGTATTCAGGGAATCCTGCTCTCCAAGCTTCTCTTCAGCAAGAATAGTTGCTAGATAAACTTCTGCCATGGTCACTCATGCAGCTGGCATTTAGAGAAACAAACCGAACAGTGCAGGACCTTCAGATGTGCCACAGTTGGTTGCAGTCTCCGTGGTGCTGCGGCTCAAAGGTAGCACATACATGACAGCTTGGATGATAAACGCTGCTCTGAGTCAGTCAGCACAGACTGAAAAAAGCTCCAATGGCCATGTCAGACTTGGCATTAACAGTAGATGAAGTCACTCACGGCCCTGCTCTTCTGGTTTAACAAAGTCTAGCATTACGCAGAGAAATGAGCCTCTGAAAGTGCTCTATGTTACAGAGATGACAAAACCGGCATTGTTTCAAATTGGATCTAATGGGAATAGCCCCCACACTAAGACCTGACCACTAAAGGCCTGTGAAGAACTATTTAGTACGTGGAACAGAAAATCTGCTCTAGCAGGAAACCTAACAAGCTCAGAGGATGATGCTCATGCGCCGAAGAAGAAAAAGCTTTTCAAAGATGGAAGAATCTACTCAACATTGTGCAGGCAGAGACCTTTATTATTAGATACAGTAACAACAAAGCGAGCTAGCGAGACACGTGACAGGAACGTGATGTCACCAGCCTCTCAGCAGGAGGATGAATAGGAACTCCTTTTCTTTACCTACGTTTCTAAGTACTGCTCATGCCTCAGAGCCTGTTTCTTAGCTTTTTATGACAGGAATTGTGTTCAAGGCCTCCCGTTTTATGCCTGAGAAATGTGACGCTGCTTTAAACGTACCTTCAGTTTAGCAGTGATGCTGTCACACTCTCCCATCAGCTGTGGGATGATCTCTGCCTGCTTCCTCAGGTTTTCCAACTCCTAGAATTAAAATATTTAAAACAACTCATTAAAATCTCTCAGCTTATATCTGTTGGATTCTGAACAAAACAAAACATCAGAGCTTGAATAAATGTGGTTATTTCTTCTTTTAAAGCTGATGAGAAGCTTAAAAGTTTTATTTAAAGTAACGAGCTGCACTGTTATGTTTATATAAGATAATTTGGTTAAAACTGTGTGTGTAAAAACACATTTCAGGTGTTTTTTCCTTTCTCATGCACCAAACAGCATTTCCCACAAATCTTTATCACCGAGTGATTCCTCCACATAATAATAGTAATTACCGTAGCAGCTTTTGTGCTTTCCTTTTGACCAGCACAGAGGTCAGCACCACAGTGAATCTTTAATAATTCATGAGCTTGTTTTTAATTGGAGGTGGTGACGGCGTGTATCTCTGAAAGCTGGTGAGTCACCACGCAGACGAGGTTCTGCGGGCCGCCTGCTGCGTCAGTGCTCTGCAAACAGTGAGCCCTTTTTTTATCCTCCGAGCTGCGGGTCAGTGGTGGGAACATTCTAGCCGATATACTGCAGATCGGAAATGCTGGAGTTCCCAGAAGACCCGATTCTTTTCGTGCAATCCTTCAACATCAGCTTAGGTCTCTTTGAACTACTTTCCCTCCTGATGTTGTGTGAAGTATACCACCATCCACAGAAGGATGTAGATGTTCTAATAATATTCTAGCTGCCAGGTCAAAACAAAAATATTCCAGACATGATTTTCCTCAGGCCATCTGAAAGCGTCTCCATGCAGCATGGCCTTTACATTTCTTTTCTCAGCATCATAATAAAAAAGTATCTAAAGCAACTTGGAAAAAAAATACACAAACTCAGAATGTTTATTGTTCTGCATCAAGTTGTTTAGTGTTAAAATGCTCTTTTTTGAAGACTGTGTGATAATAGTTTTGTTAGAAATATATTATAAAATCCTGTAAATCATAGTATATACTATACCTATTACCAAAGAAGATCCATCTCTTCAACTAATAAATACATTTAGATTCACACTTGGGGTGACTGTTGCCTTTACCTTGATAGAGTCAATAATTACTAAGATAATCCATCTTAACTAGACATAACACCAGGGAGCAGACAGCTTGGATTAGCTGGTCCATGCAGTAGGACAAGAGTTACTGGAGAAGATTTAAAATCAGAGATTCATCTTTAAGAACCAAAGGAAAGAAGTATTCCAGTTTCCTTTCATTCAGTCTTTAGGATTATAATAATCTGGAAAACTAAAAAGTATCACCAACTCAAATGTAAACCACGGTTCACTTTAAAGGAAAATCTCCAGTTACTGATTAAAAAATATTGAATGCACAAAGGTGCATCCAACATTGCTTTAGTCTCTAATTAGTTATGACCTATAATAATAATAATAATAATAATAATACATTTTATTTAAAAACACATTTCAAAACACCCAAGGTCACTTTACAAGATAAAACACAAAATACAGTAAAATACCAGAATAAAACCATTACTGTTGCGTTTGTAATGCAGCTAAAGCCAAGGTCATTCTGGTCTCACTAATACTGATGCAGCCGTCTGTGTTTGCTGCTAACCGATGCTGATGCACACACTTGCTGGTCCCATTATAAGCAACACCTTCCTATAACCTGATTTATCTACAGAACTGCCTTGATTCAATAAGGTGTTGGAAACAGCCATTCTCCTCTGACCTCCGCTCAACTGCTGTTGCTGATCTTTTCTGGATGTTATACCCAAACCAGCCTTGCACCAAAACATACGCAGCAAACACAGACGGCTGCATCAGTATTAGTCACAAGTCACTTAAACCTGCTCTTTTTCAACATTCCAATGCTCAGCTTGAATTAAGCCATCTTCACCATGTCTAGATGTCTAAATGCTGTTGTGTGATTGGCTGACTGAAATATAGAAACCTCTTTAATTCCCATTTGAAGGACAATTTTAATTAACTTTGCCATGTTGGATGCTCCTCTCTCAGCAACAATCCTACAATTACTCATAAGTCTAATCAAATTTGGACTTTTTCTGCATGCCGGTGTTGATTTTAGACCAATGTCAAAATCTAACCTCAAAGCCTTTATTGGCTAATGTCAGCACGCAAATATTTTCAAATTCCATATTTCAAATTTTACAGTTGTACAATCCTGAAAGTAGAAACTGAAACATAACAGAATACATTTTTGACAATAAAAACCTGTGACACACAAACAAAACTGGGTACACCTGCAGCATCCAATTAGCCATCGTCACATTAATCTATAATTTTTATTATTATTATTATCTCTACAACCAATTCAGTTTGAAGCTATGAACTCTGTCTTTGTAAACACTATCACTTTGTAAAGGAAGAGAGCAAAAGGAAAGGGGAATACTGGAGTAGACATGAGCAGAAACACAACTGCAGCAGTAATCAGAGGGTGTGCAAAGAGCCACAGCACCACTAATCAGAGCCACAGTGGCCATCCTCCTTAAACGTCCACATGTACAGAGTGATGCTGGCACGATCACACACTGAGAAACACGCAGCCAAGTGCTTGAGACTTGGCAAAATGAAAATCTAAATTTCTTAGACAGCTCTGAAAGTGTTAGGAAAACCACATAACCTATGTGGAAAGCATTCAGAAAGAAAGAATACACCCCCCCCCCCCACCCCCCCGTGCGCTCTTTTCCATAAAAACAAGATCAGATAAAGGAGAGGGAAGGAAACCCGACTTGTGTTCTGAGGTCAGATGAGACATTTGTTGTAACAGATGACTCAGTTTTATCACAAAGTTAACGATTCAGGTAATAACTTAAAAAAATAACTAAAAATAAAAAATAATCACAGAAGAGATTCAAAAGAAACTGGATGAGTCCACAGTAAATCCAATAGAAGACCTTTGGTTTGGTTTTCCCTGATAGACTGAATATTTCTGTTTTTTCAACAAATAGAAAAGTGGCCATACTAATTCATAAAAAAAAAAACTTAAAAATATCCGACTCAGTAATAACTAACTTTAGCTGAATTAACTTTTTACTGTGCTGTGAATTATTGATGTGGCAAACTTGGTTTTTAATTTGGCACCGGAGCAGTTGGACTACTTTTTACGAAAAAGTTAAGACCGCGAGGTGATAACATTTTTCATAATTTGATGTTTTAGTTCAGATTTTAAAAAAGCATCAAGACGGTTTGTTTTTAGCTGTGTTGGCAAAACTAACAAATACACAGAAAATCCCTCTGAGGTGGAAACACTTCCCGAGGGAGAGATGCTGGAGCTCCATTATTCCTTTGATATGAGCGGCTGAATAAACCACTCATTTTAACACACACACACACACACACACACACACACACACACACACACACACACACACACACACACACACACACACACACACACACGTCATAAAATTGGAATTTCACAACTAAGTTGATTTATTTCAGTAATTCCATTCAAAAAGTGAAACTTGTATATTAGATTCATTCATCACAAACAGACTGATATATTTCAAATATTTATTTATTTTAACATTAAAGGGACTTTTCGGACTTTTGAATTTTTATGCTCGTGATTGCCCCCTCAGGCCAAAAGCGTAATGGCAGCTTCAATGGTAGGCTCGTGTACGAGGCGCGCATGCTGTACGTGCACACTCCTTAACGAAAATAACAGCTGAGACAGTTCCGTGTGTGTGTGTGGCCTAGAGCACAGAGGACAGGAGAACGCGCAGCTAATTAATTAAATATTTTGGTTCTGTACCTTTCTCTTCAGCACAGCCGGCAAAGGTTTATGATGGGTCAGTCCTCCTGCATGCTCTTGAAAAACTGTTCCAAAATTGAAGTTGAACCCACATCTTTTTTATCCATGAATTCAATGCCTTTCGGCGAGTCTCAAATAAAAATGTGGGCGTCTTATTACTGCAAAAAAATTATCATTAATGTAAAAAAGAAACTCCAAATAACAAACTATGTTCACACCCGGAATCGAACCCAGGTCTTCTGCATGACAGTCAGATATCTTACTAGGTGAGCTATAGCGCCAGTGGTGTCCATGGTATCTGTAATATTTATTTCCTTGATGACAGCTGAAACAACGTCAATCCAAAGAACGGTTCTGAGCGAAAATGGCTATTTTGTTGCTAATTTGCAGGAAATGTCTAGAAGAAAGTTCTACAGAAAGTAGCTAAGGGTCCTCAGAAATGTAGCTAGCTTTGTCACTAGGTGTTAGGAACAGCGACGAAGTCACTGAGTTGGCACTGCCTCTCTCTCTGCTGCTAAAGCTACGGATAGCAAATGCTACGGGCTATGCCTGGGAGTGAACGCGCAGCCTGCTCGACCCGAGCAGCTCTCTTTTTCTGTGATTTTACAGAAAAACAGGCAATCACAGTAAAAATGCCAGGGCTCATTCTACAGGACCAGGGCATTGCAGGAGAATGTAGAAATTTATTTTTTCTATACATGTTTTGACTGTCAAACTTCCTTATAGTCCCTTTAACTGACAACTAATGAAAATCCCAAATATATTAGAATATCAACTAAGACCAATGCAAAAAAGGACTTTTAGAAATGTTGGCCAACTGAAAAGTATGAACATTGAAAAATATGAGCATGTAAATGGTAAATGGCCTGTATTTGATATAGCGCCTTCTAGAGTCCTGGAACCCCCCAAGGCGCTTTACAACACAATCAGTCATTCACCCATTCATACACTGGTGGGGATGAGCTACAATGTAGCCACAGCTGCCCTGGGGTGCATTGACAGAGGCGAGGCTGCCGAGCACTGGCGCCACCGGTCCCTCCGACAACCACCAGCAGGCAACGTGGGTTAAGTGTCTTGCCCAAGGACACAACGACAGTGACAGACTGAGCGGGACTCGAACCTGCAACCTTACGATTACGGGGCGAGCACTTAACTCCTGTGCCACCATCGCCCCAGCACTCAGTATTTAGTTGGGGCTCCTTTGGCCTGGATTACTGCAGCAATGCAGCGTGGCATGGAGTCGATACTTCTGTGGCAGGTGCTATGAGAGCCCATGTTTCTCTGATAGTGGCCTTCAGCTCTTCTGGATTGTTTGTCTGGTGTGTTGCGTCTTCCTCTTCACAATACCCCATAGGTCAGGCCAGTTTGCTGGCCAATGAACAGGGACACCATGGTCCTTAAACCAGGCACTGGCAGCTTTGGCACTGTGTGCAGGTGCCAAGTACTGCTGGAAAATTAAACCAGCATCTCCATAAAGTTGATCAAGAGCAGGAAGCGTGAAGCGCTTTAAAACTTCTTGGTAGACGGCTGCATTGACCTTGGACCTCAGATAATACAATGGACAAACACCAGCAGATGACATGGCACCCCAAATCATCACTGACTGTAGAAACTTTACACTGGACCTCAAGCAACATGAATTCTGAGCCTTTCTCTCTTCCTCCAGACTCTGGGGGCCTTGATTTCCAAAGGAAATGCAAAATTTACTTTCATCAGAGAACATACTTTGGACCACTCAGCAGCAGTCCAGTCCTTTTTGTCTTTAGCACTTTAACATGTCTGATGCCGTCTCTTGTTCATGAGTGGTTTGACACACAAGGAATGCGACAGCAGAAACCCATGTCTTGCAAACGTCTGTGCGTGGTGGTTTGCTGACTCCAGCTGCAGTCCACTCTTTGTAAATCTTCCCTACATTCCTGAATGGGTTTTGTTTTCACCATCCTCTCCGGGGTGCCGTTATCTCTATTGTGGTCCACTTTTTTCCTACCAGATCTTGTCCTTTCCTTCTCCTGTCTATTGGTGTGCTTGGACACTGAGCTCTGTGAGCAGCCAGACTCTTTAGCAATGATCTTTTGTGTCTTGCCCTCCTTGTGCAAGGTGTCAATGGTCGTCTTTTGGACAACTGTCAAGTCAGCAGTCCTCCCCATGATTGAGTAGCCTACAGAACTAGACTGAGAGACCATTTAAAGGCTTTTGCAGGTTGTGATGTTGCACCAGAGGTCTTCAAAATTGAACCTTTTCACAATATTCTAATATTCTGTGACTCTGAATTTTGGATTTTTATTTGTTGTCAGTTATTATGATCAAAATGAAGTCAATACACATTTGAAATATATCTGTGTGTGTGTGTGTGTGTGTGAATGTGTGTGTGTGTGTGTGTGTGTGTGTGTGTGTGTGTGTGTGTGTGTGTGTGTGTGTGCGTGCGTGCGTGCGTGCGTGCGTGTGTGTGTGTGTGTGTGTAAACTCTTATTTAACAGCAGAGAGAGTCCAGTTCCAGAAAGCGAGCCTGTTGTTTTAAAGACCAAACTGCTGCAGTCTCACCTGCTCCTTCTCCTGCAGCTCAGCCTCCAGCTCCTTCACTCGAGCGGTCAGCTGGGCGTTTTTCTGCTTCTCCTGGTTGGCTTCGTTACACTGGGCCTCAAGTTCTGCAATCTGAGCAAAGAATAAAACAAGAGGGTTCCCTTTTAGTCAAGTTTCATCTGCCGACAAGACTGCTTTTACTTTATTAACGTTTTATGACATTTATTGACTTGTGTATCAATCTAGTCTCATCTTGAAAACTGACATTTATTGAAACAGAACAAGGAGCGGCAGCATGCGACTAAAGTGTTGTTGCAACAGCAGCCCATGCCGCTGCAGAAACAGCCCACATTGATTATGAAACTAAAATGATTCTATTTATAGTGGACTCAGACTTGTGCTGGGAACACTGAAGCTAATGAAACGTAATGCATTCTGATTTCTCGCCATAGAGAAATCAACATTTACCTCATCAATATTACAGAAGGGATTCTCTTATCATGCTTGACAGATTTTAATATATTAACTCAACTGGTGGGGAGCATCAAATCATTTATCTACTCTTCGTCAGAGGCCACTACAGAAATCTTAAGCTGTCACTAGTTTCTCCACCTACAGGACTGATGTGTGTGTTGTGTGATTCAGCCTTCCTGTAGGACACTCTGTGGCTACCTTTTGCCTGAGCGCGTCACTCTCCTCCTTGCAGGTGCTGAACTGTTTCTTCCAGCTCTCTACATTAGAGGAAGACTCCTGCAGTGCATCCTCCAGTCTGGCGTTATTTTCTTTTAAAGTTTGGAGCTCCGTTTCCCACTTCTTGGTGTTGGCGTTGCTGCCAGACAGGAGAGACAGAGACATATTAATGGGTGTTAATGATGGAAGTGAAATTGAGACTGAGCAGCGGTGAAATGGCTGAGTCTTGTGTCTACTGACAGGGCACATAATGCTGCAAAAATCCTTCTGTAATGATTTAAAATTAGCCACCATCATGCTGCCAAGTGGTATTCAGGCCCAGCAAAAGGCATAAGTTAAATAAGTTCTTATTATATTTTGTGTATCAACACAGTTAGTTTTTTAGATGACAGGGTGCATGCGTTTCTTCTAAAATATGGTTATGATTCACATCGCTATTTGCATTTTTCATGCGTGAGTGGTTTAAAATGTTCTAGCCTGTATTTAATGTGGATAAGCTAGCACAGCAGCATCCTGCTGCAACATTTCCACAAAGATAAACCCCAAAGCCCTGTAGAGGACCGGGAAGGACCAACGGGGACAGAGAATAAGCTGAACGTTTTAACAACAGGAGCAGGACACAGGGATCTGATGCCAGGATTTTTTCCTTTTAACTATTTTTTAAGTGACCCATAACACGATTCTAAATGTTTAGAGTAATTATGCTGAAATTATTGTCTTTACAATATAAAATTTTCCATTATTTATTTATATTATTTTATTGTTTATTTAAATCATGAAGACATCACAAAGTCCAGGAATTATTTAAAATTCCTTAACAAAATAAAAGCTGGCCAACATCGTGTTTTATGAATTAAGCTTGTGTCCTTGAGGACAACGTTGGTTATTGTTTTATTGTTGAAGTTGTGAGAGTATGAAAAAGTGGATTTTTTTTTATTTATGCAAAATGTTATACTTAATTTTTTTTTAAATCAAGCCCTTTTATGCATTAAAGCAGTTACAGAAATAAAACACAGGAATCCTTTAAATCTATGAAACTAAACATTATCTACAGCTGTAATGGACATTTCCCAACTTGGTTACACTTTAGATTTTCTCCTTTTCCCACCTGGATAAAATATGACTCTCTTTACTATTTTCATAGATACCCAGATTTAATTTAGGCAAAAACCACTTAGTGTAGCCGTTAATTGCCTTCGCCATCCCGAGGTCATTTTGATCCCATCTGGAAGCACATCTGGCGTTTCATACAATAACAGATTTCCACGCATCGGGATTAATGAGTTCAGATAAGCTAACAGTGGAGTGAAGAGTGAATCGTTGTCATTTCTGTGACATCATCTGAGCAGAAATGAAATAAATTGTTCTTCCCAAGTTTTTTTGAAATAAAACCTTACCTCTGCTCTACGACGCTCTTCAGACGTTCGTTTTCAGTCTTCAGCTGGGCGGCCTCTGGACTGACGATGGAGATTTTTTCATCATCTGTTCCGTTAAAGCTTGACGCCTGGTCGGCTGAAGGCGTCTGGCGTTCAGACTCCTAGCAGGGAATAAAATACAGGGGGGGGGGGGGGGGAAGTATTACGATACACTCTCTCTATGTGGAACAAATGACCAGGTCTTACTTCTGCAAAGACCTTGAGCACGCAGTCAGCAGAAGGGTGAGAAAATGCTGTTGCAAATATTTATCACATCATATTGGCCGGCAGCTTTGTGGGTCAGCAGCAGCAGGAGATTGATAACTCAGACAACATTTTAAAAAAGAAGTATTTTTTCATAAAGCCTACTTGTTCTGACTTGATGGCTGCTCACCTTCCTAACCTATGGTGTAAGATGACCCTTGACCTGTCATTTATGAATGTTCTAGATTTTGTTGACATTCAAATCAACTTATTAACAACTAGAACCCATAAACTCTCTCTTCCTCTTAACTACTGGTGATTTTTTCCTCTACTGTACCCAGCAGTGGGTGGGTGAGGCCTTACCTGAGAATTATTAATCACCATCTCCACCTTCTCTTCAGATTTGTCCCTTGCCATTTTGGCAGCATCTTTTACTTCCTGAAATTTTTCAGCAAACTGAAAACACAAGACAAAAGACTGATCGAACAAGCTAACCTCCCATAGGAAATTACAAATGTAATCATTTTTAAACGTTTTGGGTGAATGATGAAGTTAATTATCCAGAATCTCAGGAACAGATAAAACTACTCCCTTCAAAACCTGAAATCCTTTACAACTTCATGGTGATTAAAACCATCTGCAGTCTCCAGCCAACATGAGTGGCTTTCTACAGAAATGTTTCATCTCACCTTTGACAGCTGCTGCTCTGAAGAAAAACCCAGTCCAAACACCGTGTTGGCCCTGCTGTCTGCCCACTGACCAAACTTCTGTGACGTTTTGGTGAACGTCATGTTGGGTGTGATTGTGCTGTTGATGATAACCTGTCAGGAATAAAACAGCCAATTACATTTCTGGAGATCTGACCGGTCATCGATGGAGTCAGACTAATATATTGACTTCCAGGATCGTTCTCATAGATTTCCATCAGGATGGAACATGCTCAGCTTGATGCTGCTCAGTCACACTCAAATGAAAACATTATAAATATTCATTAACGTAGTGCAGGCACATTAATCTCAGCAACAGAAAACAGTGTCCTAAAAGTTATTTTACTCAACAATCATAGATAAATGGTCGTACTTCTGTTAATCAACCAAAGACATCAAAAGGTACAAATACTCTGCAGCAGCGACTACTGACCCAGTAACGTTTACTCAAATTTTGGTCCATATTTCTTACAGAACATGTTCACTGTCTGTAGCCAAGGTGACCGGGTGTCCTTTGTGTGGAACGGCACAACATTTAGTCCCTCGTCCCTTGTCCCAAAAGCTGGGATAATGTCCCACATTTCAATTCGCCCTCCTTCCCAGATGTCATCGACACTGTAAGGCTAGCAGTCTTGTAAAGATTTGGGTAATATCCAAACGCTGTGATTGAAGCAGGAAATACTCATTGTTGCTTTTTTTTTTTTGAATGAAACATTCCACAAGTGGGGTTAAGTGCAGGTAAGCTTGCAGTTGCAGCCTAGCTATGTTAAATAGAAAAGGTTTGGTGTAATTTTAAAACACCAGCTTATAATAAAAAGGATTTTAGTAGAAACTGACTAATTAAAAGCCCATAGCATTCCACCTGCAGCATCTTTCACGCCAGAGTGTCAACCTAAGATCATGTCATGATGAGAAACAATAGATATAGATGTTTTTAAGTCTTTGTACGTCAGCATTAGCCAGTCCTCGCCGCCTCAGCTTCTGCTGGTACAGAATGCAGCAGCACTGTTTTTAACAGAAGACTATTCTTATTTTAGCTTCTCTGTACTGGCTGCTGATCCATTTTAGAGTTCGGTTTAATTCAATATTTCTGTTTAAGTCTTTAAACGGTCTAGCCCCACCATACCTCTTTTGACCAGCTGTTCTTGAAAGTACCCAGAACACAAGCGGAGATTTTCTGTCCTCTCTCTTTGTCTTTTGATTCTGTTTAAGTGTTTTTTTTTATTTTTGTGTGGCTATTTACAAGTTTTCCTGTATTTGATTTTACTTTTCTGAGAATATGTTCTGTGTTTTTTTTTGGCACTTTAATCTGCCATTAAAAAAATACTTCATAAATAAATTAGGCTTGGTCTATTCAAACCTTGAAAACACCCTTAGGTCCATGTCTGCTCATGTGACATCACAATGTCTCACATGATCTGTTAGCATTCAAATTGTGAGTTGTGAATATCTCTCAGCTAGTTCTGTATTGAATTTTAGCTCCGTATCTGTAGACTGCACAGTTGTAGTCCTGTCCCTGTTCGCTAAGGTTGATTAGCTGCCGCCATCTTGAATTGGGTTGTCTCCAAAAACTAAAGGTGGATTTCTGGTTTTTTTTTATTCAAATCTGTCCAATCTACAAACAAATACACCAAGGTAATGTCTTCTGCCTTTAGAATATTAAAGAAATAACATATGAACTTCTGTATAGATTTAAAATACAGCCCAGTAATCCTGTGATGCGAGAACATAATTTCATTAAGCTCTATTAATGCATTGCAGAGAGCAGCAACAACATGTCTGACCCTGTACAGAGGGTCAGACGAGGATGTAAACACAACAGCTGTAAACCATCACAATCCCAACGTCACCACAAAGATGTGAGAACTTTAAAGCAGCACAGGCCAATTACCCCAACAATTAAGACACAACAGAAGACAGATTAATCACAGAGCAGTCCTTGTTTCATAGCAACATGAACATAGGATTCAGGAATCCAAACTGCTGACAGACTCGTGTCCTTTTTTACGCCTCCACCGTCTCCCTCTCCATCTTTTCAGTGGCCGAGGTGTTGAAAACATTTTCACTGCATCATTACTGGACACAGACGGCGCCAGCCCAATGAGAATATTATTACACAACACCATTATTAGCTTTATTCTTTGAAAGATCATCTCCCACAGACACACCTTTATCATTTTTCATATACCGCAAACATCATTCAGGCAGCGTTCGCTCCATCAGCAGCAACTTAACAAGCTGCCACTCATCAAATTTTAAAAACACCACTTTCAGAGGCTTCACCACAACAAATGTGACCCAATTTACCCTGAAGAGGAGGGAACCTGCGCGGAGCCCAAAACAACACTCACTCGTCTCATTTAAAGCAGCCAAGTGAATATTTAACAGAGCTCACTGCGCTGGCTCAAAGACAAGTGTTAAGATGAGATAAAACTTTAATGATCACTGAGGAAGAAATCAGGCCGAGGCCGCTGGAACAGGAAATAATCATAATGTAAACAAACAATAGATGCAGGTTTGTCCACAAAATGCCTGACCATCTGTACATAAATTAGTAATAAACAAATAGCATCAAATGCATGATTAACTAATTTATAATAAACTAACATTAGAGCATCATCACTGTTCAAATCATTTATCACCATTTCTGTTTCATGTTGTTGCACAAATCAACACAACGAGGAGCTTAAGTCTAAGAACAAAAACATGAATACAAGTCAATGGGGCTAAAAATGCTATTTTCTAATCCCGTTATGTGCCATGGATCTCACATATGATGTCTGTGAATTTAAGACGCATTTTGATGCCAAGAACGAGCTCATTTGCAAATTGGGGAAAAAATTATTTTAAGTTGTGTGTGAAAATACGTCTAGGACTACAAAAATGCGCATCACCAAATTGATGTCATTGAACTGGAAACGGAAAAAGGCAAAGGGAAAATGGCTTTAAGTTAATCAAACTTGAAATCCTTGGAAAGAACCACCATAAATCTGGCCATGTGGTATGTAGCAGCTATGCTAGGGGAGAGGAGATTCTGTGGTGACGTCATCTATGTGACACACTGCTGTCCAAGTTGTAGTCATGCTGATGACAAACTTTTACAAGCCGATCAGTCTCAACGTACATGACAGGCGTGGTCAAAACACACATAACTTTTTATTTAAAGTGAAGTAGTGCAAACCAGGGCGTTTTAGCTCTGTTGACTTGTGTTCTTTTTTTTCGTTCTTCCAGGGACCCGTGAGCTGACTGGAAAGAGAGAAGACTTGGGCTTCCTATACAAGTCAAACTTTCTGCTGTAAAACAGGCCTATTGATCAGCCACCACACCCCACTGTGGTTCTGTGAATAAGAATCCAAACAAAAGTACCAGTAAAGGCTTGTGATTTACCCACTTTGTTTATAACAAGCCGCCGTGGAAACAAAAGCTGTATTGTTTTTTTTAAACACATTGTTGGTGAATATGCAGAGGGTTTTCCCTTTAAACAAGAACCAATTAATCTAGAAAAAAAAACGATCAATGATCAGGAACTTGTTCTACAATCATCTGACCAAAAACAGAAAAACTGTAACTCAAACCAACAGAATCTCTTGGTTTTAAAACAAATACATGTTTTTTTACATTCATTGTGTAAAAAGTTGGTTTTGCCCATCAGCGACAGTAAATTACATATCTTTTAGCTCTAAAGGTATCGACCTCATCAACAGAAATATTAAAACCATTTTCATTTATTGAAACACTGAATATTTACAGCTGTGAAATGTTTTCACTTTATCAGATGCCCTTCACTGCTGCTTTATAATAAAAGCACCTCATTGAGCAGTGAATGGCTGGCAGGATAAAAACATAAAATAAAACCAGCATTTTTCTACATGTTAAAATTTTTTTAACAACAAAGAGAACATCTCAGCTGCGTGATTCTATTTATTATACACCTTATAGTGAATAGTATAGCTAGCTAGCTACAGCACACTACATCCCAGCTTGGTGTATTTGGATCTATAAAGCATCAAACCAAATCAGTGATTGAATGACCAGACTTCAAGGTAACTGGTTTTTGTTGGGCTTCTGAGTTTGTGTCAGCATGTAGGAATGTACACCTCAGTGAGAACGCTAATGTGGGAGTGGGAGGGTGTGACAGAGGAACAGCCGAGTGACGCCAGCAGCTGTGTGGATGGAGAGCTAGGCTGCAGATCAAGTGGCGCACGAGGCTCAGAGCAAAGCTGGCTGATGTCCCGAGGGCCAGCAGGTTACAAGGGAAATGTCTGCAGTTGATTATGTCAGGAGAGTCTACGGGATCTGCAAAGTCTGCAAACTAAACATGAAAACATGGTAGAAGTGCGTAGGGTGAGTGAACAAAGTGATCGTTGTTCTAGCACTGCATACCAGATCAATACAGTACAGAAATCCCAAAATAGGATTTCTATCCACCTAAGTCATGAGGGAAAAAAACTGTAATAAACGATGTGAGTTGGCAGTGCAACCAGTGAAAGACACCTTGATGTCATCCAAACTGAAAAAAATATTTTAAATGATTTAATGCTCATGAAGTACAAGCATGACAGTGATAAAGTATGCCTACATATTTTTGTAACTCTGGCAAATATGTTTATTTCACAGAGTATAAATGGACCTCTAATATGTAAATAGGGCTGAAAACGTTTAAATTGCTTTGAAGTGTCGATGACGCAGGTTTGGTTTTGAGTGGTTGGCTGGAGGTAAATGTAGTTACAGAGAGGTGGGATTAACATCTGCAGTCATCACACAAACAAGGGAGAGCTGGGGTTTCCGTTGGTTAAAGCGAGGGCGGTTTTCTGCTTTAGGACAGACAGGAAGAGGAGTCAGCCATTTATCTTTGGAATGTTTTGTTCCACCTTACCTGCATTCCTTCAGTCTACAGATCCACTTAATGCTGCATCGGTGTGCAAAGTCACAATTTTGACTGTTTTCAGACTCAATTCCTCTTTATTTGTTAAGAGACACTCATCTTGTTGCAGATCTTTATCTGTTTTTATAATAGTTAACTTCCTGATTTTTAAACTTCAGGAGAACCAGCCTCTGCAGTGGCTCGAGACAAGTGGACTAATAGGTGATTCTCAAAAAATGAAAATCTGATGCAAAAGTCTGTTTATTTCAGTAATCCAACTTAGACTGAGAAACCATCTAATGGCTCAGGAACCATTTGCAGATGTTTTGGATTCATTACCTGATTAGAGTGTCACACTGAGTCTAGAGTATTGAACCTTTTCACAATAATCTAATTGTCTGAGATTCAGAATAAGCTGTAAGCCATAATCATCACAAATATAAGAAATAAATGCTTGAAAACAGTGAGAATAGTGTTTGTTATTAGCCTCATGGGCAACCTCATGCCTTTATTATCACCTGTAAGTCGCTTTGGACAAAGGCGTCTGCTAAATACATAAACATAAATATCTGGCTTTACATGTAATTAGCCTGTCTCATTGATTAGTTCAATATTTATTGAAATAAATTAACGTATGCATCATATTCTCATTTTTCAAGTTTCACCTGAATGACAGAATACCAACTCTAAGGAGGAGCATGTGTGATCATGACATTTAAAACACATTGCACCTACAAATGCCCAATGTCACTTATGCATTATATAGACTGCCCCAGGTTTTTATTGGCTATGTATATTCATGTGTATTTAACCATATAACAGTCATGCTTTCAGAGCATCCATTAAAACAGCTCTTTAAAAAACACTTCTTCACTTTGGTCGTGTCCAAAACATCTGGATGCTCATGGTATGATGGTGACCTTTTGTTCATATCTAGAATATCAGACCACGGTGTAAAAAGGTGGCTTTGATTTTGTATTTCGGATTCAGACTGAACTTCATTATCCCCTCTGGAAGGTTCCTCTGAGAAAGTCCGTTTCCCCTGTTCCAGATTCAAACCATTTGTGTTGGCGCACAAAGAACATCTAAAACATGCAGGACAGTGGTCCTCACGGCCCAGGATTGTTCACTACCACGTTACTCTGTTGTTTACAGTGAATTTTTGTTTATTTTAGGGTTAAATTAGAGGTTTGCGAGTTCAGTTCTATAGCAAAACAGCTACTGAATGAGGATTATGAGTGTGAATGAGTGACAGTAAAACATGCTAAATTCTTTCATCATCATAACCATCACAAATAGATGAATATAGGCTGATGGTCTGTCACATGTGTACACCAGCACGGATTATTATTCTCGACAGATACGTTCCCCCTGCAGCTAGAGCACAAACTACAAACATTTGATGGCTCAACATGAACGTGCCTTTGTAAACAAGGATAAAATTTAAAGGAAGTTATCTCTTTGGAACGGAGGTAACATTTCATGAATTCTTATTCTCATACCTGACTTATAATGGTGCCCCTCAGAGATTATATGACACATATACGGTTCTCTGAAGGTTACAGGAGTGGAGATGGAGAATGGATGAGTGAAGAGAAGAAAGAAGGCTCCTGGCCATTATGCATATCAAAAAACACATTTATCTAGAAAAAGGTATTTGCTGTCGGACTTACCACTGCTGATTTGCCTATTTTATATATAAAAAATTCACTTAAAGCTGCTTTCAACCATACACTACATAAAGAGGGAAAGAAGGAAATCAGTGAATTGCGGGGAAAGGCGGAATAAGTAGAAAGAGCTGAATAAGGAGGGGGTGGTGGTGGTGACCTGTCTGTGAACCAAGATAAAAAAAAATACTTAAATCAAATGAAATAATTAAAAAAAATCAGGGTTGATCAAAATTACTTGTTTACATATTGCATATAAAATTCTTTATCAAAATCTGCAACTGATCATTTTCCAGTTTAATCTGATTTGCAGATATCATTAAAATCTATAAACTGGCTTTTCACAGCTTCATATTTGGAAAGAACTCCTCAATAAAACTGGATGCATTTTCAAAAACACAACAGGTTTGCATTTATTCCCCCCCAGCACAAAGTGCTTGCTGTGCACAATCCCACATCCAGATAAAACTGCAGAGAATCTTGGCAGAGCCACAGCCAGCCGTTTGGTTGGTAATCCTAATCCACTCCATTTCTGAAGTTGCTCAGCAGGTGAAGTGGTTGATTTAAGATTGCACAAAAGGTTATTGCTTAACACTGTCAACAGAGTGATATTGCTGTCATAAAAGCTCCTCCAGTTTTCACACAGAGAATCTCCATGGAAACACATAATCTACTCTTCTACTGAAGAAAAAAAAGAGTTGTAATATGAAACACCGCCAAACTCATGTAGTGTGCCTCGTGACTGTGATGTCTCAAGTCCAGTTTGTGTATCTGACTATTTTTAGGTGAATATTTTTGTTTGTTAAGCTACTTAGCACTGACCTAAAATCATTTAAGCATAAACAGGGATGAGCCTGACATTTTAGGATGCCGTCCTCAAACAATGCTTTTGGGTTTACATCATTTTAGAGGACTCTTTAATAATGCTCAAAGACCTTTTAAAGACAAACATATAAATCATGGTGCTGGTCGGCAGGAGCGGTGAACGCTACATCAACATGCTCGACGAGTCCTTCTGAGGGCATAACCTCCTCTTTGTCTCCTGAGAGTATTTAAAATGTTTGCCATGATCTCCTTCTGAAGAGTGCAACACAGATTCTACACACACACACACACACATACCTTGGATCCATCAACGCTGATAATGCGATAGCTGTTACGTGTGCTGTCGTAAAAATAGGAGACGGTGACAGCCTGCTTGCTGGCTGGAACCCAGTTCTTCTTGGTGGATGGATCGATTTGGAAAACATGGGCCCTGGTGGTGTAGATCGGCTGCTCCCTGGAGAGCAGAGGGTCGAAAAGAGGGACAACGTTAGAAGGGAATCAACATAAGATGGATGGATCAAGGAAAACAGCTGAATTTTATCCAAACGCACAGTTACAGTCTTAATATCGGAGTGTCAAAGTGTTCCTCATCTTCAGAGACGCAGAGTCCTCTGAGTCTCGGGACAAACTGCAGGTGAAAATGCAACACAAACCCTGCAGTAAATCCTCATGGATACCCAAGGCCATTAGCACATCAACACCTTTGTTCCTCTCAAAGGTGTCAGTAACACAGCTTTAGTTGTTATTATGCTCGCCTTTCTGGTCTGTGAATCCAACAATATGTTCCAGACACTTAACGACTTCCGATAAAAACAGTCGCAGGAGTGACTCCTTTCCAGTGACAAACTCCATCAATCGACTGAGACAGAGAGCGAAACCTACCTCAAAATGTTTTAAACACATTTCTGCAGTGTTCATTTTTCAAATCAAATTTCACATTCCATTTATTTTTGTAAACAAAATGAATATGTTCTATTAACCTTTTTTTATCACATTCTAGTAAAACAGCACACATCTTTACCATAAATCAACACTCTTGGATTAGTTGCAAAAATTATGACCAAACTATTGTATTTTTTGCATGGATTTCATATAATGGATTTTGAAGTACTGGTGTGTAGATCCGTCATGTGAGACACAAATTTTGTATTTCTTAACCTCCTTCATTGTCATCTGGCTCTTTTCTGATTTAATTTCATCATTTAATATTTTTACCAACTCAAAATCATTTTCAGTCATTTTTTAAAATCATCTTTTTTCCCATCCAAGTAAAAATCTGCACAATCAGAAACAGAAGATGAATCAGAAACTCAGACTAACTCAGTAATTCGAATAAAGATGTAAAATCATGCGGTCTTTCTTTGAGATGGTAAAGTAATTCACTTCACAGCAATAAGCCATTAGCTGCTTCTGTGAGGCACAGGAGAATTAGCACGGGGATGGAAGTGCAGACCGAACAGACACATCCAACTTTAAAAACGGATTTATCCTCCCTCTCTGGCACGCTCACACATGTGCGCGCACACACACACACACACACACACACACACACATACACACACACACACACACACACACACACACACACACACACACACACAGCCTAACCCAAAGCTGAAAACAAAAAGCATCTTTTAAAAAATATATTTTTACATCCTTGACTTCAAACAGCTGCTGTCCAATAAATACTTTCTTCAGTTGGCCTGTTATTGTACGGAAAAGGAACCACTTATAAGCATGGTCATTTTATTCAGGTCAAGAAGCAAACTTCATCTTTACTTTTATTACAGATATTAAAAAAACAACTTTCCACATTTTTAAGAAAGTAGTAGTTGCCTAGTTTACCATTTAACTGTGCTTTGAGGTAGAACATAGTCATAGCAATGCACTGAGATGGAAGCAACTCAAACACACAACTGTTGAAGCGTTCCACTGCTAAAAAGTGCAAACTACTTCATTGAAGGTTGAGCTTAGCGTCGACTGATCTGAGCAGGTTAAACCGGTCCAGTGTCAGTCTAGTGAGGGCAGGATGAGTGTTTGAAAAGCTCTTCGAAAGTTCCAAAAGTGGAGAATAATTAGGTGGAGAGCCTGGATGAGAAGTGTCAGCACAAAGCTGAAGAACTTAGATTCAGATTTTTAAAAGTACCGTGAAGGTATTTCTAGTGCAAGTGCAGCATCTTCATGTGGAAATGATCTTAAAACATGTTTAATTGTCTGAGATTCTTTCAGATACCTACATTAAATGATTGGTTCTAGCACTTTCCCAAGATATTTTCATAACTGTTGAAGAAATTGTGTTGAAGCTTTGTGAACAAAGACGTTACAGAAGATGAAACTTCTTAGCTGCAGTCAGACATTTACCTATACCAGTACATTCATTCATATTCATATGCTGCTTTTTTTATTGATTTTAACTGTTTTCCAAGGAAATTTTCAACATATCGTATCAATGAACTGGGAGCACATAATGAATTTTCTCTCATCTACACTGAGTCAAAATTAAAGAGTCAAATATAAACATACATTCAACTAAATGTTTCCTAAGTGGTGCTGAAGGTTGTTATGCTCAGAAGAAAGAACATTGGTTCAGATGTTGAGGAACGACCCAGGAACCAGCAAATCTCAAAACTATTCGTCTGGTGGGCGGGATAATGCAACAGCCTGGAACGAAATGGTAACAGCTCGTTTGAAACGGCTTTTACATCAATTTTGGACTATTTGGATGTGGGCTTTATTAGAATCAGGAGCAGATAGATGTATTTAAGTACTTTATTTAGAAAAATGATGTATTTTCGCCTTCTTCAACAGCGGGCTGCCTCATTTACCAACATCCGTTGCGGTGAGTTGTTCATTATCTAGTAGCATGTGAAGATCATTTGAAAGACAACGGTAGAGCCCGGCCCACGACAGAGAGTCGTCAATGGGGCGTTGCCAGATTAAATAGTATATTTATTTTGTCTGGCTTGCCAGGCTAGGGTGTTCCAGCAGAACAGAGATAGCAAAATCAAATCAAAACTGGTTTCTGGCTGGATGTAGCGGGTTCCATTCAAAGCATTCCATAACCTTCTTTTAGACGTTTGTGGACCTCCATTCAAACCTGAGTCTGTATCAAAAACAACCTTTTTAAATCATCTCTACTGATTTTGCCAAGAAGACCAATCAAATTAACCAATGAGACAGTAGAAGAAAGTTGATGGTAGGAAAATACATGGTAAGAACGTACTACATGACATCTACCCAGTCAGTACTGAGGTACTTAACTTTGTACTAGAGCACAGACCTGTAATCAAACCACACAGCTGCAGTCTTACACCAGCACAATGTTCCTTTTATTTCACGCTCTACCTCAGTTTTTACAGTGTAAATGCTAAATGATACCATTTTGGAATGCTTCTTAGCGTGCAGGTACATTTTCATGAGAAAAAAAACTCAAACTTTATATCTTGAGGCATGTAGCATGTTCTCGGTAAACTCATCATTAATAACTGTTTGAAACAACTAGTGTTTTTCTCGTGTGCTGCATTAACCTTAATTCAAATTATTTGAGAGCATTTACTAGTCAGACAATCCCAAACAATGTCCTCAGGGTACATATGGTACCAGTTATTGTGTTTGGCTAAAAAGAAAAGGATGTTTAGAGAGCATGTTTACTTCAGTAACACTAGACAGTCCAACATGCTGCAAATATTCATGAGCTAATAAAACTTTTACTTTCACTGGGATTATGCTTCTTAGATAAATGAAAGCCCAATACATTTGCTGTCCCCTTTAAGCCTAATCTCAGTCTTCATCTGCTTTGGGAACAACAAAACCCATTATACAGATCACTGTTGTTGCTTTCTAAACACACACACACACACACACACACACACACACACACACACAGACCTTTGCTATAGCAGTATCTGAAGCCAGCTCACACTGGCAGCAGAAAACAAGTGAAAGGCCAATGCCGAACACATGGCTGCACTTACACAACTGTTGGTAGTGATCTGCTTTTTGGAGATTAAAAGCATTAAGTTGATTGATTTTTAGAGATATTAAAAAATACAACACTGGGGACTGAATTCTGGTCCTGATGACTGCAGAGTGCTCTCTGTCCCCATCTGGTGCTTTGAATAATTTACAGGTGTGTGTTTCTGTGAGGGGGAAGCAGGTATGTGTCTGTATTTATTTGCATTGCCACCTCAGGTACATACACGCCAACAATGCATGCCTAGAACACATTAAAACAACTGGGTGTTACTGGCTGAGAAGAAAAGAAACTTTTGGATCAGAGCTTTGAAACTCTTACTTTAAAGAATCTGAAAGTGTAATGTCACACAAGATACCTTTAGAAGTGGTCACACATAAGAAAAACATTTTAACAAGATAGGAAGATGCCACATGTGTCAACAATGGAAACAGCTTCCTTCTTTGATGGAAATGGTAAAGGTAAATGGCCTGTATTTGATACAGCGCCTTCTAGAGTCCTGGAACCCCCCAAGGCGCTTTACAACACAATCAGTCATTCACCCATTCACACACACATTCACACGCTGGTGGGGATGAGCTACAATGTAGCCACAGCTGCCCTGGAGCGCACTGACAGAGGCGAGGCTGCCAAGCACTGGCGCCACCGGTCCCTCCGACCACCACCAGCAGGCAACGTGGGTTAAGTGTCTTGCCCAAGGACACAACGACAGTGACAGACTGAGCAGGGCTCGAACCTGCAACCTTCCGATTACGGGGCGAGCACTTAACTCCTGTGCCACCGTCGCCCCACTTCAGGTAGGGATTTTTACGAAGTGACTGGCAGTCACCTTGCATCCTCCTTATAAGATCCGGTATGAGAGCAAACGGCTCCATCAAGATTCCACAGTGTAAGAATCCACTTCAGGCTAAATTCCCGCAACAAACATTTCTCCATTCCTCAGTCTGAGCTCTTTGTCTGAGAGATGACTTGAGGTCAAACGGAACTGTTCAAAATGTCAAAATATGTTTGACAAATGTACAACATGAAAAGCTTTACAAGGCAAAGTGCATTTTTGTTGCTTAAAAAGTGAACATCACCAGGTTTACACGTTTCACAGCACACTCAAAGCAGCAAAGATAACACCAGGCATTGTTCAACTGAACAAATGCATAGAAATGGAAAGAAAATGCATTATTTAGTTAACTTTTCTATTTAAAAAATTACAGAAGCACACAATACTTGATTATGTTTTTAATAAGGACTATCACATGTATCACACCTGTTGGTTAAATGGGTCGGCGAAAGTGTGAGACTCAGCTTTACGCCACGTTTGGTGTGTGTGTCAAGAATAAGAACTGAAAAGTAGTCAAGTGTGTATTCAGGTACGGATGTGTGCAGACCCACGGGCACAATAATATGAATGAGTCTGTTATATAAGAGGATATCTTCATTAGTCTCCCTGCCAGTGGGGCTTCATAGGGTCATCAGGCAGCTGAGGA